TTTTATTTGGTAGTGTGCTCTTTTTCCTTCGACAAGTTCCCATTTTTCTTTGCAATAAGTGTCTCATAAGTGCCCTTTCTCTGGTAAATGACCCTAATTTTCAGGTACGAGAAGTTACTCATTTTCACTTCAGATAAGTGCCCCCTTCACCTCCTATAAATGCCCCTTTAAAATCATTTTCTTTCAAGTAGTGAACATTTTCCTTTCTCATAAGTGTCCCTTTTTCATTCACATAAGTGCCCCTTTTCATATTTGATCATTGCCCCTTTTCAGGTGCGATAAGTGCCTCTTTTCACCTCTGATAATTTTCCTTTTAACAATGATACGTGCCCCTTTTTGGTTCTAGTATGGGACCTATCCCCTTTTCATAAGTGCCCTTTTTCAACTTTTATAAATGCCCCTATAAAAAATCTGATAGGAGCCCATTTTTGGTGAAGAAGGAGATAATGGAAGTTTGTTGTTTGGTAGTTGGAACGTAAGTTTTATATAATGTTTTTAAGAAATAGACAGTTTGTATGAGATCAGGAGTGGAAATTTTCTGTCATTTTGAGAACCAAATTTTGCATCAGTGATATTCTGTTTCATTGGAATTAAGTTTCCCGCAGAGAGGATTCAGTTGGTTTAATTAAAAAAGGAAGAGAGTCAAATGAAGAACCAAAAGCAATATGTCTTTAATTTACTAATGAGAACTGTTTTTTTGAGATCTCCTTACACAGAATATTGGAATGGGGTTTTTCACGATAAATGTTGCTGGAGACATCAATATTCATGAAAATAAAGTATGTTTCTATCACCAGGAAATACAGAATTTTCTGTCTACATGAACCTTTCCTGGTTGATTATTAATGCATTTGCCCACTGGTAACATAATACTTTCACAAGTTGATATCCCTCACCATTGCATATTTTTTTGGTATATTCTAAAATTCGTTTAAAAATAGATGATATCAGTCTGGTAGGCCAACACTGCAGGCAAGAATCAGAACTAAATAGCATGTTATTAATTTCATTACCACTCTTATATTCTCTGAAATGTTATCTTAATTGAGGGTGACTTGAAAAAAAGTAATAACTTGGAAGGGAGGGGGTGCAACCTGCCACACGCTTCTACCTCTTGGTTGCTTTGATCCATTGCCGAAAATATTTTTGCACCTATCATCCCCCCCCCCCCCCCCCAACCACGGATACAAATCGACACCCCTGGCTGTCCAAATGAAGATTTAGATCTTGAACTGTAAATGTTACTCTAAATACAGTGCGCATGTAATATTATAAAAATTCTGCAGAAAAAAAATCATTGATATCATCACAATATCTGTACCAGATCCTGTTATTTTTACTTGAAATAGGCTTATACTTTTTTGTAAAACATCCTTAGAGAAAATATATTGCCTAATCATCATAGAGCACTTTAATGCTTCCACTTCAAATAGTAAAGTTAAAAAATAGAATTGTCTATACTGATTGAGATGACATGTATGCAATAAATTTCCCTTTTTTCAATAAAATATGCACAATCAAGAAATATTCAAATTCAAACACATGAATAGCAATGAGTGATCTTAATACCTGTTAAGCCCCCATCACACCAAACTAGTTCACTACGTTCTGGAACCGTCCTAGAAAATCGTAAAACGGGTTGTGGTCGGGGCAGAATGTGTAAAAAAAAGTCTATAATACGATCCTATGTTCGTTCGTAAACAGTCCTCAATACGTCCATCTCGTTTGTTCCCCGTCCACAGCCAGTTCATATTAAGTTCAGATCGGGTAGATTATAGTCCAAGCCAGTCCGTAGTCAGTTTAAACCCATTATTAACTAGTTCTACCTCGTTCCCAATACGTCCAAACCCATTCTAATTAGTTCGCCACTTGTTCTAACTAGTTTTTAACCCGACCACCCCGTTTAGAGGCAGTTCAACTCTTTCTCATCTCGTTCTGAGTGCGTTTAAACGCGCTCCTAGAGCGTGTGCAATCCCGTCCTGACTCGGGAGTTATAAAAATCCAGAGCGTTCTCGCCATTCCTCATTCCCGTTCAACTTCAACGCTTTAGGCTTTGCAGATCAAGACGTTCGAGTCAAGCATCTATCACACCAAACTAGTTTTCACTACGTTCTGGAAAATGTTGCCAAACGGGCTCAAACTGTGTGTGAACGGAGTGAACGTATATTAGCAACTATTTACGATCTTTTTAAGGACTGGGCTCGGACTGGACTTGGACGGGAAGTGTGGTCTATAACTTTGAGCCTGTTCAAAATTCTCCCCGTCCTGCAATTGGACGGAGTGACAACGTACTTCAAACGAGATGGACGTACTACGAACGGAATTGCCGTACTTCGATCCTACTAGGAACATGTTTCCACGTGATGTGGTCGAGCATCAATGAGGAAGAACGCGCTCGGTTTGTATAGCCCTCGAACCAGGACGGGATTGCAAAGCACGATAGAAGCGCGTTCGAACGCACTAAGAACAAGATGTTGAACTGTCTCTGAACGGGGTGGTTGTGTTATAAACTAGTTAGAACAAGTTCCGAACTAGTAAAAATGGTTTGGACTGCTTGGAAATATCAAATTTATCCGATCTGAACTTGATATGAACTGACTGTGGACGGGAACAGACGAGTTCGACGTATTGTGGACTGTTAATGAACGAACTAGGATCGTATTAGAGACATTAGTCCAGTCCGAGCCCGTCTATAAAGTCCTTAAACAGGTCGCAAACAGTTGCTATGACGTTCAACTCCGTTCGCACACAGTTTGAGCCCGGTTGGCAACATTTTCGAGAACGTAGTGAGAACTAGTTTGGTGTGATGGGGGCTTTAGTAAGCTATGGGTAATAATATTAATTAATGAGTTTAATCTGAACTGATGTCTGATGAAAATGGACGAACCACGTCTGGAACCTCATTCATTGACAAATCTTCTACAAAAACTAAATCACTAGAATTACTATGAAGACGAGTAAGAAGTTACAAAAAAGGAAAGGTCTTTTGAAGCCTTCGCTTTAGCCTTGGATTTTTTCCCTCTACCTCCTTAACACACACCTCTTGAACAATGCAAGCAATTTCTGTAATCTTAACATCTCCCGACCCTTCTTGAACAATGCAAGCAATTTCTGTAATCTTAACACCTCCCGACCCTTCACCACTCTTACATCTACAATTTATTACAGAAATGATCATATACCATTTCTTCTCAAGCTTTTCTTCTCTGTCCTTCTTTGTGAGAAACCTTGTATAATTCCGGGAGCAGCTCAAGTGATATCTCACTTCCAAGGCGAAAGGGTCCTTTCTACGATTCTCTACCAGAATCTTCTCATCTTTGCGCATTTCTGCAGCAAGTACTACCTGTAGAATTTTTTTCACACTAAGTTAATTTCTCCTTTTTTCTTTTCCTTATAAAATGCTCATAAGCTGTTTTGTCTTTTCTACATGATACACTGTACTGGAAGAATATGCCGGGCTGAACACAATTGCTCATCTGGTTGCCTTGGTCGAAGTTGTTAGATTTTCGAAGGTGGCTTCTTTATCACTGATCACAAAAAGAGAAACAGAACCAAAAAATTATTATTGGTCCAAGCTTTACATGTAATAAGGAAATACTAGTACCCCATGTATATACAATTCGAACACATGTTCAGTCCCCTTCCTAAAAAAAGAATACATACATTTTATTGTGGACAAAATAATTTTTAAACATCTTAGTTAACAAGATTGAAAGCTGAATAATTGTTTCACAATGCTGACTTGCTAATGTGGCCAATTACTACCCGAGCTATGTTCTGAGTGGCATTACAATTAGCTGAATTAAAGTGTTCATTATTTTATAATGTCCACCCAATAATGTTTGTTCTAACTTTAATATATATCCATTTACCTTACGAGGTCAACAGTAAACAGTTTATCACCTTATCTTACATGTATGAGCACGGAGATTCAGCACTCGCAGTAACACAGAAGTGCATACAATGAATAAAACTGGGACAATTGCCAGGAGAGACAACAGCCACGATTTAATTTTCTTTTAAGTATTTTTTTCTACCAACAAGGCCGTGAGTGAAATTTATTGTATGATATATGTCCTTTACTGCCATTCAGATATCACCAATTGTAACTAAAGTGGAGCTTTTGAGTGAATTGTATTTTACAGTGATGTTGGAACATTTTAGAATCAATAGAGGTGGTCATGTTTCCACTTCTATTAATAATTATTGTTTATAAGACCCCAACGCCAACTCGCAAGCCAAACTTTTCTTTTTTTGCGTGCGTGTGAAAGTGTCTGCTTATTTAATCAGGGAGAGTGTAAGAGACTCTCCCTGGTTTAATCATAAAAATGCTTTTGAAATAGTTTTAAAATGACAGCGATAAATTACCTTTATGTCCTGATCTTTCTCGGTCCTTCCTGGCCCTCTCACCCTAGTTGTGTCGGTAAATCCCGATTATCTTGCTGCAGTAGCAGCACTGAACTCACATGGAAGCAGACACTGCATGCATATAAAGACTCAGAGTATAGGGACTGTGATTGGTCAATTGCACTCTGGGCTCTAAGACCCCAGCTGTGATTGGTCAATTTAGGAACAGCTATGACATCATCATTGCAGAATGGCCGCTACATACAGTAATTTTTGCAACTTTGTGAAAAATGTACATATTTGGAGATGGGGACATATGTCCCGTTGCTCTTTTAATGCCCTCATGGTTAAAAAGAAATGGCTGAAGTGTTCGGACAACTTCCATGATATATGTTTGTGTAGCCCCATGTACACATTAACATGTACAGTGCAAGTGGCTATCAGCAAGGATGAGTCGATATCTTATCATTTTGATGATTCCAAAACCTCACGTTGTACACATATTCTTGATATGCTTCATCATCAACTTTTTTACTTCCAGACAGTTTCTTTCACGATGCAATTGCATGATCAGAACTCAACTTTATCTTTAAAAAAATAATGACATGCCAAACATTGTCATCAAGGTCTCTAATGTTTAACTATATACATAGGTCTACAGAATGAAATCTAGACCTAGAGGTATAGCGCTCATCATCAACAACAAAAATTTCGAGACCATGGAAGTGAGGGCAGGAACAGACGTAGACTGTCGCAACTTAGAGAATGTCTTCAAACAGCTTGGCTTCGATGTAATTGTACACAATGATGTCAAAGGAGGGGTGAGTACATGATGTACAATGCTTAGGACCAACATCAACAGGGCCTTCTGTTGACAGCATCTATATGTCGGTACTGTATTTTTCAAAAGAGCTTGTCAAAATATTGCACCATTCCGCTGTCTTGTATTATATTTCATTATATTTGGTTAATGTAGAACATTGAACATGGATCACCTGTCAGCAGAGCATGTGTGGTACATCTGTAGGGTTTTAGGACGCCTACCTCCTGGACATCCACCACCGGATAACCCCTCCCAAGTCAACTATCCCCTAGGTTTGACTACCCCTTGGGACAACTACCCCCAGTAAACTACCCCTAGGACAGCTACCCCCTAGGACAACTACCCCCGGACAACTACCCCCGGACAACTACCCCTAGGACAACTACACTTACCCCCGGACCACTGCCATCCGAACAACTACCCCTACGACAACCATCCTCTAGGACAACTACCCCCGGAAAACTATCCTAGGGGTAGCTGTCCGGGGTAGTTGTCCGGGGGTAGTTGTCCTAGGGGGTAGTTGTCCTAGGGGGTAGTTGACTGGGGTGGTAATCCGGCGGTGGATGTCCAGGGGATAGGTGTCAGGATACGCATCTGTAGTAACACATTGTTTGTAATGCAGATATAGTCCCCTCCACCTCCGCCTCCTTGAGACCCCCCCCCCCCCCCCACGTTTTAGCATGTCCAAATTCATGTGTATACAGTTGTGGTTTAGGTACAAAAGGCGTAATTCTTATTATTATTTCATCAAACTTGTGTAGGTTATTCGGCAGGTGATTGAGCAGCTAAGAAAACACAACCACTCCCAGTTCGACTGCTTCATATTCACAATACTCACCCATGGGGAAGAGGGCAAAGTTTATGGCACTGACGGGTGTCTGGTGAGGATACAAGACATAATTGGTCGATTTAGTTCTGATCTATGTCCGACTTTGAATGGAAAGCCCAAGCTCTTCTTCGTACAAGCATGTCGAGGAGGTAAGTCAAAAGTCATATCCGCATCGTCATCTTTTAGTGTCCATTTTTTTCTATGTTGTTGGGTTGGACATTTCATTTTCGTATGGCCCTAATTCTCCAAGCCCTTATGGGATCGTTTTATGAAACCAACTCCCTGGCAGTCATATCTTTGTCGGCGACCTATAATTTTTCGATAATATCGGTTAAAAATATATAGTCTTTGCCATGATCGGTCAGATTTTATCCTGAATTACCATATTAGATGAGGCTTAATTTCACTCAAACTGGTTAAAAAGCAAAAATCTAAGCTAGTGGTCGCACAAATGATACAAACTTCCAATTTGCATGAAAATGTGTTACTAATGATATGGACGAATGTATAAAATTGATGAAGCTGGAGGTTGCTTTAGGGACAAGCGAATGGAAATTTACAAGCAATAGGATACAATAACTCATAACCAATCGAAAGAAGACCCTGAATTTTATTGAAGTTAGGAAAATAATTTAAACAAAATAGATTTCAAGACTCACAGATTTAACATTGTATCAGTCCGGACCCCGGCCTTCCAAGAAATTTAGTGTCGAGCCCTGCATGAACAAAGTCCTTAAAGCAAAAGATCAAGCTTTACTTTAATTTAGTGTCTGGACTCACAACCTCCCCAACCACCCGCCCCCCCCCCCCCCCCCCCCACCAACAAAAAAAAATCCTAGCAACGATGCAAGTTGTATATATACAGTGCGTCTCAGAAAAAACGAAACCCAGAAGTATCGATGTTTTATCATAACTTAATCTCAACCATTCGGTTGATGCTACTCAGATGATGCATATTTTACGCATGAGTGATTCAAAGTAATTTGAAGGAAGGAAACCAAAAAGACATTTGGCGGGCGGTATCTGAATTTCGAAGAAAAATTCCCATTTCTAGAAAGTTGAGTTTCTGCCCTTTCATATGACACCTCATTCAGGAGAAATGAGCCTGGAATAACAAAGTTCTGTTTGTTTAATGTAGCCCTTACATTTTCATAATTTTAACAAACGAATTCGTTTTCATTGAGTGCCTGCCGTAGCAAAAATGGGATTTGACAAAAGACTTAACTCCGTTTCGTTGACAATCAGCCATGCATGAAGACTCTCGTCTACGGCTGATTGTCAACGAAACGGAGTTATGTCTTTTGTTAATTTCGTTTATTGATACGGCGGGCAGCTAGTGAAAACGAATTCGTTTAATAAAATTATGGAAATGCAAGCACTACTATAAACAAACAGAACTTTGTCATTCCTCGCTCATTTTTCCTGATTGAGGTGTCAAATGAAAGGGCAGAAACTCAACTTTCTAGAAATGTGAATTTTTCTTCGAAATTCAGATACCGCCCGCCAAATGTCTTTTTGGTTTACTTCCTTCAAACTGCTTTTAATCACTCATGCGTGAAATATGCATCATCTGACTAGCATCACATGAAAGAGGAGACTCTAAGCAAATATGTATCATTCATTAATTATAGTTGTGATTAAGTTATGATAGAACGTCGATACTTCTCGGTTTCGTTTTTTCTGGGACGCACTGTAGGCCTATATGCCGTGACACTCTCTATACAGGCTTTTCCATGCACCAGGCTTCATATTGCACATTATATTTTAGACTCAAACATGATGGAGTCTCTTTTTAGGCTCATTGGACGAAATAATCTGGTATCCCTAGAGGCCACGTATAGGTGCAGCGGATTAGTAAGAAAATTGTGCACTTTTTGAGAAAAGCATGAAACTTCTAGCATAGTTAGCTTTCACCATAAGATTTATTTCCCGATGTGGAGGGAAGTCAAATTTGACCTCTGATGACCCTGAAAGGTCAAATCCAAAATGGCCGCCAGTCCGCATGGTGTAATGTATAAACACGCTTAACTTTTTAACCAAATAGTCCAGAAAAAGGTTTAAGGTGCCATTTCCAACTAAATTGGGGATGCCAATTCATTTGGTAACGCTTTAGAGATCGCCAGAACTTAGGGTTTTGCATTAGGGTCAAGGTCAATGTCAAACTTGACTAAAAATAGCAAGTTTTGAACGGTTTCAAAAGATTTTCCCATTTATTTGTCATTTGTTCTCCCCTGTGTTCTCAAATTTCTTTAAGAATCGTTCCCCTGCCTAGTCCCCCACCTTAATCCTTTTCAGTTAGTTTATTTCACAGTTTGATTTGACCTCTGATAACCCTGAGAAGTCAAATCCAAAATGGCCGGCCGCCAGCTAGTCCGCATGGCCTAATGTACAAACGCGGGTAACTTTTGAACCAATTAAATAGTCGAGAAAAACGTTTAAGGTGTCATTTACAACTAAATTGGGGATGCCAATTCATTTAGTAATACTTTTGAGATCGCCAGAACTCAGGGATTTGCAATAAGGTCAAGGTCAATGTCATATTCGACCAAAAAATTGTTTGTTAGTTTGTTTGTTTGTTTTTTAAACTGTGCCTCCATTTTGACACTTAACGAGTGATTATTTTTTTTAAATAATAAAAAGACCCATGTACCACCACTTTGACTATCATTCACTTTGAATTTCATAGAGCTGCTTATCGGCTGGTTATGTGCTTACGTATAGTTTCTACCAGGCGCGGATCCAGGATTTCTTATGTGAGGGGGCCCAATTTTTTTTTTTTTTTTGCTCCCGAAAATTTGAAAATCGCGCCGGCCGAAAAGTAACAGTCAAAATCTAACAGTTATCCAAAACAAGAGCAAAATGCAGTACACTTAAGTGCAGCTTTGACACACTTGCAACATCCAGTGCACCCTTTCTTGCAGCGACAGTGTATCAATTCATGGCACGATTTTTTTTTTTTACCTCCGGGAGAGTGGTCCAAAGAGGCTGCCACCCAGTTGTTACGTTTGTCCAGCCCAAGTCAGACGGCTCTGGCATGATTCTTGGCCAATGTCTAGTTTCAACAGTAAGTTGGCCTGGTAGCAAGTACGCTTGATGTGCTGATTGAGTGCTGCCTGGGTTGGAGGAAGGTTCTCCAGGTTTCTAGACTTCTGTGCGAAGAGCTGTTTCCTGGCATCACACTACCATACTCTCACTGGTTCGGTCTTACATCAGCACCACAAATCGCTCTACCAATAACATTGGTCTTTCACTGACCTCACTAGGCATGCACAGGAGTTCACTGAGGAAATCATTAACCTCTGAGAAAGACTTCCAAGTTTCCCAGGCAGTCTTAATTCCTCGAATGCATAAACAGTGTCACACCCGGTGAACGCATGAAAGAATGAGAGAGTCATACACGGTGTCTGACTCATGGTGGCAACCGTTTTGTGAAAAGCTATGTACCGAAAGCTTGATCTGACACCAAAAGCGATCCACAGCTGATCAGGAGCTGTCTTGCTAAATGAAGCCACGGTCAGTACAACCGCATCAGTACCAACAGTACGTAAGGTTACCCGTTAACACCCTTTTTGCACAGCATCTGCCACATGCAGTAGACGAGTGTCAGCCTCCTCGTGCGAGCATGGGGCAAGGCCTGCCCAGTGTGACTCAGCACGAGAGCAGAGTACTCCACTTCTGTTGCATAAAGTTCCTTGCCCTGTGGTAGAGGTAGATGAACGGTTTCGCGTGACAGGAAAGCAAAAAATTCGGTTTTGTTCTCATTTACTCGAAGGAAGTCCTTCCATTTTTTTGGCAGCACAGTAGAAGGAGCCACCATTTAGTGCCCTTTCCCGGCCCCTTTCCTGTCTTGTTGAGGCATTCAGGTAAGTATATTCACCATAGCCAAGTGCGATATGCGGATGTTTTTCTCGAGTTGAGCAAAGATGTATGGGGCAAACACTCTTTCTCCATACTCTTTGTTCTTGAAGTTCCAGGATTAAGCATTTGAACCACAGCTGCACCATCAAGAATTATTGCTTGGGCCACAGGTGCACTATTGTTTTCGAGCCGATTTGATTACAGGCAGCAAAGTAGATCTGCTTTAACTGGCGGGGCTGCCTGGTTTACATGGGAAAAGAAATTGTCCATATCTCCATCCCGTGTCTGACACGAGATGTACATCCTCGAAAAGAGATCACAGTTACTCTTAAGTGCTGCGCGCTGTGCCTTCTGTTTTGACATAACCTTGGCCGGCTGCATGCCGACTGAAAATTGGCAACTTGTTCGTATGAAGTGTTTGTGTGACAGGTGTCGTACACTGCTCTAGCCTTTCTGTCACAAACTTTGTGTAATGCTCCACACCTAGGGTCTCAATCCTAATCCCCCCCCCCCGTTTTAGCCACTTGTTGGGTGTCCATGATATGTCGATTGTGCTAATGACAAGTAGGTCTTGACTTTGTTCTAGAAATGGATTCCCCATCTTTTTCAGTACTGTCACAAGTGCCTTATCATCCCTCAGGAATACTGCCTGCACTCCAGGTTGCTGGTCATGGGGATGTTGTCTAGTGTTAGCAGAACCGTTATTTTGCTTTATGGCCTGTTCCTCAAACTTTGTAGTGATCCTTTAAATTACTAAGAACCAAATAAAACACAAAGTAACTTAAAGAACAACTTACCAGTATTATTGAGCAGTAATGGAAATGAGCAATTTTCCTGACTAGAATTGAGGTGTTTGCCGTATACTGCCTAGCTGCCCACGGACCATGCTATGCATAAGGTCAGTTACAAGACAAATAATGGTTTGGTGCTATAATTATTGAAATAAACTAACTGAAAGGGATTAAGTTGGGGCACTATGTAGGGGAACCATTCCTAAAGAAATTTGAGAACAAAGGGGTGAACAAATAGCAAATCAATGGGAAAACTTTTTGTAAATATTCAAAACTTGTTATTTTTTTGTCAATTTTGACGTTGACCTTGACCTACATGCATAACACTGATTTCTGGCGATCTCACCTCAAAAGTGTTACCAAATGAATTGGCATCCTCAAGTTAGTTGGAAATGACACCTTAAACGTTTTTCTGGACTATTTGGTTCAAAATTTATAAGCGTGTTTGTACAATTATCCCATCCAGAGTTCCGGCCATTTTGGATTTGACCTCTTAGGGTCATCAGAGGTCAAATCAAACTGAAATAAACTAACTGAAAGGAATTAAGGTGGGGGACTATGCAGGGGAACCATTCCTAAAGAAATTTGAGAACATAGGGGAGAACAAATGACACATAAATGGGAAACTCTTTGTAACCATTCAAAACTTGCTATTTTTTAGTCATTTTTTACCTTGACCTTGACCTACATGCAAAACCCTGAGTTCTGCCGATCTCAAAAGTGTTACCAAATGAATTGGCATCCCCAAGTTAGTTGGAAATGACACCTTACATGTTTTTCTGGACTATTTGGTTCAAAAGTTAAGCGTGTTTGTACAATTTGACCATACGGACTGGCAGCCATTTTGGATTTGACCTCTCATGGTCATCAGAGGTCAAATCTGACTTCCCTCCACATCTGAAAATAAATCTTATGCTCTAAACTAACTATACTAGAAGTTTCATGCTTTTCTCAAAAAGTGCACAATTTTCATTATATGGGAGCTTATCCGCTGTACTAGTAGGTGAGATAAATTTGTCAACCGATTTTCGTGTCAATGTCAGAGAGACACGACGAAGGAGTACAAGCAACGGACGGTATTACTGAAACCGCAGGTGACACTCAGGTCATGTCGCAGATGGATGCAGTCAAGCTGGAGGAGATGACGCTTATAATGGAACCAAATTCCACCGATAGCGTTGCATACGGTCGTAAGGTGCCTAGTCGAAGCGACATGCTCATTGCATATGCAACTGTGACAGGTGAGACTTTTTTTTTGGGGGGGAGTATTAAAGCTAATAATGAGTTCTATGAAAACGGGATGTAGAATGTAGGAAATGCAATTAGGCAAATGACACAACATGACCGTACATCATTCTTTTCTACCACGCCTACCATCCCATGCAAACAAATCCCCATCAAAAACTGATAACCCAAGGCTAGAAGTGATAATGCATGGCTAAGATGCGCGTATGCGTGCCTCTGGCGCATAGAAGCAACAATTGCAACCTTTTACCCATGTTTTTAATGCGATCCATGTTTTTATGCGAAAATCATTTTTATGCAATGCTCTACCTGTAACTAAATCTGTCCAAATACAACATTTCTGCATTTTACCTACAATGTATAATTTGTTTAATTCATTGTAGCATCTACAGTGTGAGTCAAAAAAAAGTTTACACCTAGAAAATTGCTAATTATTTTAAAAATCATCTATGAATAGTAAATTATTATACATGTTATGAAAGAGTGTTTTATCCCAAATCATTTGGTACCATTTTATGTGGTATTTGTTCTCGCCTGGATGAACACGAGGCATTGTAAGCGAGAGTGCAAACATCGACTTGCGCCAAAGTTGCCTATGTGATGTTTGAATAAACAATTGGGATTTGGGTATTAATTCGGTCTTTGCAGATCCAAATAACATCCCTAACAAAAGTAATCATGCCACACATATCACATATCGAATATGAAATATCAACGAACATTTGTGCGCGCGTGTGTGTGTGTGTGTGACTTTGCTTCTGCAAAAAGCATATGCAATGCATTTCATTGATACATTCAATTCATTCTCTTACTCCGCTAATCCCAACATAATACATATTGTAGGCATCATTTTGGCGCAAGTCGATTTTTGCACTCTCGCAAACAATGCCTCCTGTTCATTTAAGCGTGAACACATACCACACAAAAATGATACCAAGTGATTTGTGATTAAACACTCTTTCATGAGATGTATAATAATTTACTGTTCATAGATGATTTTTAAAATAATTATCAATTTTCTAGGTGTAAACTTTTTTTTGACTCACACGGTATTTGATTTTTATATCTCCTGGATTTAGTTCCTGTTGTCGTCTCTAGTTTTGTTTCTGTTCACCCTACTCATCTGGCTATGCATTTTCCCACCCATAGCATTTATTTTTTTCGAATTTCAAACAAATTTATTTCTATTCCTATAGTGTATAAGTTCAATATATAATTCTATTCCAAACATGGTAATAATATTCAGATTTCTGTATATGTTCAAAGCAATTTGCCAAAATGTGCAGCGATGGCGACCCGATACTTGCTCTGGCTGTGGTAGCTCCAGGCTTTATTTCATCAGGGATGTGGGGTTGGGGTTGTATTTGTTGTCGGGTTTTGAGCTGGGTTTGTGCTTGGTCTTGGGTTGGGTGGGTGCGGTGTAGGTTTCTTAACCGGGGTTGGGATTGGGAGTAGAAGCACAATTACATGTATATATTATATCATATGTACAAAAAATATTGCAATTTTACCACCATAATGTTACCATGTGTATGTGTTATGTGTAATTTTACTTTGTCACTGATGTATACTTTGTAAAAAAAAAAAAATGCGATTCGGCTCTCGTGCCGCGAATGTTGTTTAATGAAATAAACAATTTAAAATAAATTAAACAAATAAAATAGAAACTGAAGTTGCGATGAAGTGCAGGTAGTTTCGGTTCTAGGACTCCTACCCCCTGGACATCCACCCCGGATATCCACCCAGTCAACTTTAGGTCTATGGCTAAATTGACAAATTCAAACTGATTGTAAACTTCTCCAATGTGGGTGGCATGAGAATAAATTGTCATCGTCATTGTCATTAGGGACTTTTAGATTTGCACAACGACAACGTGGATTGCTACGATCGACGTCCTTTTAATGCACTGCCTTGAATGGACGTCACACGTATCACTCCACGCAAATCTAAAAGTCCCTATAGTCAGTTGAAACTACCCGTATTCGGACACCTACCCCCTGGACATCTACTCCCGGATAACCACCCCAGTTAACTACCCCCTAGGACAAAATAAAAAAAAATTGGAAGAGCCAGCTTATTCCTTATGTTATCTTTTGTTTTGATAATTTCTTATGTTTTTCAGTGTTTTTATAACTTATGTGTTTTATTGGTTTTTGATGTTTTATTTTATTTCTGACTACATTCAACTATTTTGACTCCCAAAACAACCACCTAAACTTTAAACAAGAGTACAAGACCCAATAACCAATGTTTTATCTATTTTTAGGAAAAATGACATTTCCTTATGTTTTGTACACAAAGCACGAAAATAGCGATTTTCGGGCTGACATGCAAAGACAAAAGGTCACGTGACCTTTTAAAAGATGCACAAGACTCGAAAGAAAAAAGTTTACGAGCGGCGGGGCGCCATCCATATACGTTCCCGAACAATCAGGGGGGGGGTCGTTGTGCAGTTCTGATTTATAATCGGAAATTTTTGTTCCGTGTACTGTGTTTCATTTTTCGAAAAACATGTTGATATTACCAGATAGAGTTTATATATGGATTGTTTGTGATTTAAAATCCAGTGTCCCCCGATTTCCTCATAATATTCCCGAGTTACAACGCACACGGCTGATTACGCAGATTACGCAGTCGTTATTGTTAAAGCAGCTAAAACTGCTGAATATTCTCATTAAGATGCACATAATCAGAAGGCGGTGGATCTCGTTGGATCAAAGAAAGAATCACGTCGAATGTCCATCCGCAATAGGTCCATGATTTAACACTGTAAAATAAACACTTCAATTCGAATTAATGTTAATCAATAACAAATAACTCTATCGACAAGAGAGGAAAAAATTATGATGATAATAATAATAATAAATAACAATAATAATATTAATAATATACAAATATACGAAGCTGTGAGAAAGAATAGTGGAAATTATTTATCTGAGGAGGGACTGGCAAAGTACTGTTTTTTCCAAGGGGCGAAGCCCCGAGGAAAAATAGTAACTATTGCAGTCCCTCCGAAGCATGGGTGTCGATCCCGGGGGGGATGGGGGATATATCCCCCCCCCCCCCAAATATTTCAGGTGGGGGGATGGCCTGTACAATCATCCCCCCCCCCCCAATAATTCACCATCAAAAAAAAAAAAAAAATGAAGAGAAAAATTAAGGATGAGAGCCCGATGAGAGTAGTTAATGGTTATTACTCGCAAGATGACCATCAATATACACATTTTGCTATCTCATTTTCATAATACATTTATATACGAAGTAAATAAGACAACCGTATATGAGACAAGAATAAATTGAATCCTCGCTCATACGGCTTCATCAGGAATTGATGATTTATTCAATTTGTTCAATCAACAGCATCTTAGAAATGCAGTGCGCCAAATGCAAAGACGCAGCGTCAAAAAGCAACGAGCTAAATGTTAAGCGCGAAGCGCAAAAATAGCAATCTGCAATGCACATCAGACAATCCTGGACAGTGAAAACATAGATGACCTCTGTGACGATTTCATGATGAGATCGGAGACAAGGAGAAAGATTTTCGGGCATTAGTATGACTTATAAAATAGTTCTCTAGTTGTTATGTTGTTTCCGTTCACCCTTTTTAAAATTCACGTCAATGTATCTTTATTTTTGTTTTTTTCACTCGTTTTATTTCCTGATATTTCCTAAAAGATTTTTCATTTTTGGAGAAAGATTATTATGTCACAACTTATTTGTAACACAAATTATTTTCAGTGGGGAAACTGAATTCAGACAAGGATTAATATAGAGAACAGAACAACGAATCGTCTTCTTTCTCTAATAATTCAGTGAAAAGGGCAAAGCTGTTAGGGGCAACTGAATTCAGATGCGGATTACGCGTAATAATCAAATGAAACGTCAAAGTACACGATACAACGAAGCGTCTTCTTTTAAGAATAATTTAATGAAACGTAAAAGTTTCCGCGCTAAGCGCGGAATGGGCGAAATTGAATAAAGACTAGGATTAAGAGTATTAATTTATTGAAACGTAAAAGCTTCATGAAGGAAACGATACAACAAATCGTCTTCTTTCACTAATGTGAAAGCTTCCGCGCTGTCCGCAGGAGTGGGCGAAAATGAATTCAGACAAGGATTAAGAGTCGAGAATGGTACATAGGATCGTCTTCTTTCTTTAATAATCTAATGAAACGTCAAAAGGGGAAGGGGGAATTTGATTCAAACATTAAGGATTAAGAGTCGAGAATAGTACATCGAATTGTCTTCTTTCTTTAATAATCTGATGTAACGTCTGAGCTTCGGCGCTGTGCGCGGAGGAAGGGGAACTTGATTCAAGGAAGGATTAAGAGTTGAGAACGGTCCAACGAATCGTCTTCTTTCTCCTATAAGTTAGTGAAACGTCAAAGCTTCCGCGCTTCGCGCGGTAGGTGAGAAACTGAATTCATGAAGGACACGATACAACAAATCGTCTTCTTTCTCTAATGTGAAAGCTTCCGCGCTTCGCGCAGGAATGGGCGAAAATGAATTCAGACAAGGATTAAGAGACGAGAATGGTACATAGGATCGTCTTCTTTCTTTAATAATCTAATGAAACGTCAAAAGGGGAAGGGGAACTTGATTCAAACATTAAGGATTAAGAGTCGAGAATGGTACATCGAATCGTCTTGTTTCTTTAATCTGATGTAACGTCAGAGCTTCCGCGCTATGCGCGGACGAAGGGGAACATGATTCAAGCAAGGATTAAGAGTTGAGAATGGTACATCGAATCGTCTTCTGTCTTTAATAATCTAATGAAACGTCAGAGCTTCCGCGCTACGCGCGGAGGAAGGGGAACTTGATTCAAACAAGGATTAAGAGTCGAGAACGGTCCAACGAATCGTCTTCTTTCTCTAATAATTTAGTGAAACGCCAAAGCTTCCGCGCTTCGCGGGGGGAACTCACCCTCCCTGCACGCAACCCCCTAGGGACCTCGCTTTGCGTGCTCACTACCGCCCCCTAAAATGAAATCCTGGCTACGCGCTTGGGAGGGGTGCAACTTGCCACACGCTTCTACCTCTTGATTGCTTTGATCCATTGCCGAAAATATTTCCCCCCCCCCCCCCCAACCACGAATACAAATCGACACCCTTGCTCCGAAGATATATAATTTCCACTATTTTTACGAACTAAATGCTGGGTATATTTGTTTTATATCACTTCGTTACGATCCGAACGTTTGACTTAATGAATGACTGGCATATTATGGTTTTTAACTTTATTCTTATGTCACCCACATTGGGCCGGGCCGGAGTTTGGAGAAGTTTAACCTGCGCACAATTATATTAACGCGCATTTAATGAGACGCGCTAATTGCGCATTACTTTTGACTGAACATGATGTGATGTCACAATGCTTATCTCCCTGAAAATCTCATAGAGCATGCGCAGTTCTGCCCATGAAAAAATAGTGGAAAATATTCGGAGCTCTGGCAGAGATTTGTTCCTAATAGTGAAATTATATTTTATCACGTGACCACCAATTGACCAATCATGTATTTAGAAAACCCATGAATATTCATATAAAAGGGATATAATAATAATAATAATTTTAAAAAACGATAATAGTAATTACAACGATAATAATGACAACATTAATGGAAGCAATTGAAAAAGAAAGTTACTGGCATCAGTAAATTGATATTTGAATCAAAGAATTGCTGACAATGTTCTTGATATCAATCTGATAATTTGATATAAGACAAAAAAAGAGAAACTGGCAAGGACGTTGATGCGTGCTCTGAACTACGCATTGTACGGTTTGGTTGCGCTTATACAATTAACGCACGGCCCAGCGTGCGTTAGTGGTGAATGCAGTGCACGCAAGGTTTCTTTAGATTGGTGCCGCTTCTTTGCACGAGCTTGCGGCGAGTTCACAGTGCGCACCATCCGAAGATACCGAGCGTACACTGCATTTACATTACGCACAGCAGGGTAAAGTGCGTTATTTGTTTTATGAAATAGCGACACATGAAAATCAAAACAAACGAAATTCTAGATCTAACGTAGTCTTCGAGAGTTAGACCTAGAGTTTATACTTTAGATTTTATAATAGATGTTATTCAATTAAGCACATGGCTGCCTCAATAAGCAGTGCGTCCCATAATAAACGAAACCGAGAATTATCCATTGTTTTATCATAACTTAGTCACATTTATAATCAATAAATGACATATTTGGAAAGCTTAGATCCTCCTCTTTTATTTGATGGAACTCATTATGATGCATATTTCACCCATGAGTGATTAAAATGAATTTGAAGAGAGGAAACCAAAAAGTCATTTGGCGGACGATATCTGAATTTCAAAAAGAAAATCAAATTTCGAGAAAGTTGAGGTTTTGCCCTTTCATATGACACCTCAATCAGGAAAAATGAGCAAGGAATGACAAAGGTGTCATATGAAAGGGCAGGTGAAAAACTTAACTTTCTAGGAATGTGATTTTCTCCTTGAAATTCAGATACCGTCCGCCAAATGACTTTTTGGTTTCCTCTCTTCAAATTCATTTTAATCACTCATGCGTGAAATATGCATCATATGAGTTGCATCAAATGAAAGAGGAGGATCTAAGGCTGCGTTCATGCTTAAATTTTGAAGGCAGAATGAGCGATCTGAAACGCTCATCGTAAACGCTCATCGTGATCGCAGTTCCACGATGTAGTGTTCATGCTTACTTCTCTGGCTCCCCCAGGCAATTCTCAGTGTGTGGCCTTAATTGGTCTTCCAGCTGGATTCGCAAACCTTCACTGTGCATGCTACGTAGACCCACTAGAGGTCAGTGCGTTGACCCCATTTAAACGCTTTTACAAATTGTAAACGCATCTTTTTGTGAGTTTACGATCGGCGATCGTGATCGCCGTTTTTCGGTGATTCTACAAAAGTGAGCTAAGACGCAACCGTGTTTTAAACTAAACGCGTAACAGATGCCTGATTCTGGCCGTCAAAATCAAGCATGAACGCGCCCTAAGCTTGTCAAATATGTGTCATTTATTGATTATAAATGTGATTAAGTTATGATAAAACATCGATAATTCTCGGTTTCGTTTTTCTGGGACGCACTGTATAACTATTGCTTATTTCTGGAATTTATATTCATATTGTTAAGCCCATGTTATAAAACGAATTGTTTATCTTTTGAAGTTTGTGCGTTGGTAATATGTATTAGTGTTGCTAATTTGTGTTTGATTGATAAAAGTTGTTTAACTTTTTCATTTTAAATCGGATTTTTCTCAAACTTTCACTGACCTGTCCCCCTTATGTTTCTGCTTCTATTTAAACCAACTTTAGGGTGGACTTCCCTCTTAATTTGCATGCCAATTTACACTGTAAAACATCAAGTGAATTGAAACTCTCGGCTTAAGTTTAAATTAATACAGTCAACCCTGCCTTGCGGAAATCACCTGTATATAAGGACTACCTGTCTATAAAAGACCAGATTTTCTGCTCCATTTACATAGCCTTTTTTATGAAACGTGTAGGCCTACTGAAGGAACCTGTATCTAAAAACCACCTGCTTGTAAAGACCGCTTTTCTTGGCTCCGTTGAGCAGTCTCTCTGTACAGGTTTCACTGTAATACCATAATAGTTGGTAAAATATAGGATGCCAAATTACCAAATCTAGTTGACATTATAAGCTTTTTGGAAAGAGAGAATGTGAGAAAGGGAGGGAAAGGGAAGGGGAGTAGGGGAGAAGAATGGGGGCGAAAGAGAATTTGATTTTGATATGTTGACATGCTTTTTTAAACAGAATTCGTGTCTTGGAGGGACACAAACAGAGGGAGCTGGTTTATCCAAGCTTTGACAGAAGTTTTCCTACATCATGCGAAAGATGAGGATCTTCTTTCGATGATGACCATGGTAACTATTCATCTTTCAATTTCAGTGTTGGGAGCAATAATCACGGTAAAAATGGATGCACATGCTCTTTTTTCCCATTTTAAAGACTTGCTAATATATACTGCAAAGAAAACTTCTTGAACAAGTACAATTATGAAAACACAAAACACTACATGTGTGTGCCCGTCCCCCCCCCCCCCCCTCAAAAAAAGTTACTGAGATCCAATGGCCCACATGGAAAATACTCAAGCCTCCTTCACGCATTGGAGAGTGAGTGGTTGAAGAAATTTGTGATTACAAGCTTTTCCTGTCGGCCGGTTCTCCTTCGGATGATGATGGAGGGCGGTGCATGCAGTAGGTATACAAGACCTATCGGTAATAAGAGTGAAGCCCATTTTGGGGGCCTGTTCCATTAAACTTGTTATCTGGAAGGAAAAAAAAGTTCTATATCAAATTAGTCTCATGAGTCTCAGCCGATCAAATGCCACGATTTCAGTATAGGAAGAGGTCACAAATCTGTCTTGTTTCCAAAGGTAAAGCTATGATCACAACCCAAAAAAGTAACCGGGCTGCGATTTTTTAGCCAATTTCGTCCGGGCACCGAGCGGCGGCCGCGTGGGCACCGCTTGTTTTTAGGGCATCGCTCAGTCGCCGATGAAGTTTTAGCACGGAGTTAAACTTCGGGCGGCGCCTGCTCGCTTTCACTCGCCGCCTTAAATACGCTCGGGGCCTTTGCGGTCACCGCCCGGGCACAGACCTAATCGAACATTCGCCGTCGAGCGAATAGGTCAAAAATTGAAGCCGCTAGGTCACAGGTTGCGGTCGCCGCCCAGTCGCCCCCATCAGTCGGTCACTGGGCGGCGAGTTCAAAATCGGTCGGCGTCCGGGCAACGCCAGCTCGCTATCGTAGTCGTTGAGGAGGAATGCAACTGCATCGTAAACCTTGTTGACCTCACAGATGCAGAGTAAAAGCGTTGTTGTTGATGACCAGCCTGGTGAAGCCACATAATATATACCCAGGTGGGTTGCGGGCCGCAGCAGGTACGCCTACGAGACACCCGTAGATGCCGCGATCACCGGCCGGCCGGGCAATTTCTTTCAAATCAGCCGATGGCCGGTGGGAGAACGCCCGGGAATCGGTGGGTCATCAGTCGGTCACTGCTGGGACGCCGCGCGGAGAAGCTCCCCTATTTCGCCCAGTTTTTATATAAAATCGAACGGCGACCGACGGGAAACCGACAGGGCACCGCTGGGGCTTTACATCCTGCTTGACTTCTCCAAAATTCTTTGGGCGATGCCTAAATTCCAGCGGCGACCGAGCAGGCTATAAATCGGTCGGTCGCCGCTCTGAGCTGTGACCATAGCTTTACGGCCAGTCCTATTTCCCTTTCTGGCCCTCTAACTTCTTCAATTTCAAAAATCGGACAAAGAGATAGCGTTCTTGCATTAGTTTGGCATCTACTGTTGTCTTGTTGAAAGCTAGAATGATTCGACTACACACTAATTAACCCATGTTCAAGCCGCATATTCAAATTATATTCCATCGGGGGATGGCCCCGAACCGAACATAAGTATTCATTAACGATAATTATAACAATAATAACATTTGCCTGCTGTACAATCGTACCGCAGACAGATAATACTTGGTGATTGATTGATCCCCGTTTTGGGTAAACACTCAAATGGTGTCTAATTCCCTCATGATATCCCACCGTCATTATGTATCTTTTGGACTTTACTTCCCGATATTGTATCAGATAGGTACAATAGTAAGTGAGCTTATATTTCTTCTTCCGTCTATTCAGGTCAATGACAAAGTAGCAAGAGCTTTCGAATCTGCCACCGACAGGCATAAGCAGATGCCAGCCCCCGTCACCATGCTTAGAAAGAAGCTCTTCTTCTTCCCAGGACATTATGAGTAAAGCCATCTTCAAACGAGGCACGATCGGCCGCCTCAACACATGTTGTGGTAAAACATTCAGCGTATTAAATGAATGACAAAGTAATACAACGTTTTGGTATAGGGTCATGAATTTGGTTCAAATGAGCATATTAGAAGCATATGCGATTTTACAATATTCAGTGATCGTTGTCGCGGTTGAAATCGAGTTTAAAGTGATGAAATTGTAAATAATAAACTCTTTATGTTGTATTGCGCCCTCAGGACTGATATTACTTTAGCTTAAAACAATGTTTCTTGACTACAATCAACCGATTTGCTATTTCCGTTCAGAAATTATATATCAGAACTGCATATTCTGAGATTTTCATTGTCGCCGCTACCATGGAACGGCTTTAGGAGCTATTTGAAATATTTGAAATTTACCGGGAGCACCGGTAATTTTTTGATTATTCAATTTCCCGAAAGCAAAAATGTTTTAGGGGCTAAATTTTCTAGAGGTTATAATACATCCACAAGGGCATCAAAATGTGCCCACATTTTAAAGAAATACTATCCATTCAATTTTCAAAATTTCCCAGAACGTTGTATTACTTAATGTATGTCCTATCTGTGGAATTTAAACGTTAGCAGTGTCCTAGTATTCAACTCATGCAAGGAAACCCGTTTACTTGCTAGCTAGACTTTAGTGTCGGACACTATTGAGTGACTGGCTGGCTTTTTTCTTCTTTGGTAATAACATACATAAAATGAGCTGTAAAGGGTACATGAGCATTTGGCTACATCAATAACCCACTTCTTATAGTGGCTAAAATTAAACTGCTTGAATCTTTGCTCTTTGTTCTCTTTGATGGAATCATGGATTCTTCGGGTCTCAGGTCTTTGTCGAGAGGTTTAATAATATTTATAATAGTGGGTTATTGTATAGCGCTCATGTCTGTCAAACTTGACATTCCTGGCGCTCCCGATTATTACCCCCAGCTTTAGCACGGCTGCAATTACGGCGCTCTAGCATTGCAAGGAATAAATTCCTGCCAGGTACCCATTTACATCACCTGGGTTGAGTGTGGCAATTGTAGATCAATGTCTTGCCAAAGGACAAAAAAAAATAATCGATCTTTGCATCGCAATCTAATTGGCACTAATTGTTATGTGAGAACAGGCCGAATAATCAGTGCCAAAGTGATAAAGGCGCTTCATATACCTTTTTGTTTGCCCTCTTTGAAAGAAAATCTATCGTCAGCGCATAAATGAATATCGAATACATTACCTTCATGAACGCGTATCAAGCATTTGTACATCTCCCTGATTCGTCTCTTCTGTTTATTACAGTTTGTACAAATATGACCTAATTTATCTGCCCATGTGCAGACTGTATCTAAAGTGGCTTATTAAACGAGAAAGTCACATTCCAGCATTAATTTGGCACGATATAGGACGACTAGATTCAATGACTCAGATACATCTGTTTAAAGAAGTAGGGTGTTGTATAGTGTAATTTTACACAGAGTTTAAAGATAAACTTGAGTTCTGGTTAAACAAAAATTTATCACAGAATCAAACGAAACTTACACTGAATGTTCAAGATTACCAATAAGTGTCATTTGCCAGACAATTTTGGTAGAAAGAGTATACTGGCTGAATAATAAGCATAGAAAGATAAGGAAACTCAGGTAAGTAGGCCCGACACCATTTGTGTAGTCCCATCTGTTTACAGTGCTGTTACCTTTACCAAGACTGGACCAAATTTATTATGATTTTGATGACTCCAGAACCTTGCAGTACACACCAATACTTACATGCTACATGATCAACTTTTTCTGATCCATTCCACACGTTTTCTTTCACAATGCGATCGCATGACCAGAACTCAACTTTATCTTTAACTCCCTTCTGTCTCCAAACGGAGAATTTGTTTTGCCCATCTTTCGCATCGTTCAGTTGGCTTCAAAACAATATACCGGTAAACATGTACAGCCAACCCTGTCTATTAAGGCTACCAAACAAAGCACAAAATGTGGCCACTGTAGACAGGTGGCCTTTCTAGACAGGTTCTTCAACATGCATTTCCGGCTTTGAGAGGGAGCCAAAACGGGTGGCCACTATAAACAGGTGGCCTTCATAGCAGGGTGGCCACTAAACAGGTTTCGCTGCATTTATAATAGCATTTTGTGATTTGGTAATTTGTTTTCTCTGTACAATGAGTGTTCCTGAATACATCAGCTTCCCGCAAATTGTTGTATAATTGGGATGGTTATTATGAAAATGAATTCTACATATTGTTGTGTATTTCTCTTCTTTATTCTGGCAATACTTAATTTTCATGCCTATTTTGTTTTGAAGATGAAATTCAATACCCTGTGACTATAAAGAAACATATAATGGCATGCCTTGTATTAAATACATGTAACTTTTCCCCCTTTATTTCTGCTGGTGTAGAAAACAAGCTATTTACGTGGGTTTCATGCTTAAGGAAGTTTAGTTAGGTGCATATTTGTTTGCTTGAGGCTTTGAGCTTTTTTTTTAATGTACATGTTCCCGAATGTGAATCGGGTTATAGTGATGAAGGAATATCTAAGTGGCCATATATTTAATGAATACTAATCATATTTATGTCTTTGTGCATTTTGTTTCTCATTCTGTAATTTGGAGCAGATTTACATGCTGCCTTGTATGAATATGAATCTTGTAATTACTTTTTTACATGAAGAAAAAAATGGTATATTATGTGACAATGATTAAACTTGTGGCATAAACAGAGAAGTCCCTGCAATTGTACTTGCATATTGGGAAGGAAAGTTACTCACCGATCCACTTAAAGCTGAAAAGAGGCCCATAGATTATCCCAACTTGGTTCTTGTCTTTCCTTTAAGGAAAATGAAGGGAAATACAAAGTGGCAGATGGGTGGCCTTTAGACAGGTTCTCCAGTGCAGTAACGGATCCAGTGGGGGATCCCGGGGGCTCGGGCCCCCTCCCTTTGCAAAAAATGGGTAAAAAAAATGTAACATTAATTTTACCTTAAAGAAAGAAGATACCCCCCTGAGAATAAAAAGTATTTTTGTTTTGTTTTTTTGCTCGAAGGGGGGGGGGGTGGGGGGTGTTGCGTTAACAAAAAATAGAGCTCCATACCCCCCCCCCCCCCAGTTGAACCAACAACAACAAATGGTACTCTTTACAAAGTTATCCTTATAAAGGCTGCTTTTTTGTATACCAACACATTTTCTCATTTTTAAATCCATTTATGGCTAGATAAATAGATGCATTAAATGCTTTAAATCTTGTATTGTGTGATGAATTGTTGAAATATCTGTTAAATGTAGAAATTGCAAAATGATCTGTTCAAGAAAGTACTTCTGTAATTGAAAATTTTTGTTATTGTGTGTGGTAAAGGCTTATAAAAAGCTATTTTGTGTACGGTTGTTAGATTTCATACATATCGTAGTACCAGTAGTTTCCAATTTTGTTCTTTAAAATAAGACATTTTTATAGTGAATGTATTACTTATGCATTCGACTATAGATATATATATATATATATATATATATATATATATATATATATACTGTGCACCGCCGAAGGTCATGAATAGAGCAATGCCTGCTCTATTTCTTTCAGAGTTAGCCCTTCTGTTGGGCATACAACAATATGTTACATCATGTTTTACATGTCTTGTAATCTGCATTCACACTATTTTTTTTTAAAGCTTAATTTTGAACTGTAATATTTTACATTAAAAAGAATTATGAGGAAGAACTGTTGTTTTCCTGTGCATTATTATTTTTCTTTGCCCATATCCCTGTAGGCAGACTAGTTTAAGATACCAGTAAACAGTCCACTCTTTTTGGAGCAGCTTGTAGCATCCTCCCTTGTGTCATCCAGTTTAAATTACTGTAATTTTTTAACAAAATGAACCAAAGATATTAATCAAGTCATGATCTTCATAAATTTAAAATTAGATAACATGATTTTGTTTAGATCTTCTCAGTAGTATCCAGGTGCGTACGCAGGGGGGGGGGGCGTTGAACCCTCTCCCCCCCCCCCCCATCAACTTTTTTTATGTGTGTGTTTTGGAGGAAACCCCCCCCCCCTTCAATTTTTGTTTTTAATATTTTTAAAAAATAAAAAAATAATACAAAATTGTGGTAATGGGTGACCCAAAATAGCTGACCTTACCCCCCCCCCCCCCAATGAAACAAAATATCGACCGGCCAAATTTTGGGACACCAAAAAAAAATGCTCTTTGTGGTCATTTAACGTTAATTATCTCCTTATAGAGATATGCATGGGCATAGAAGCAGTAAAGGAGTAAAGATAATTTGTATTTTGAACCCCAAAGAACATAACAATAATTAAATCACGTATAAAATTCCATTCAAAGAAAAGGAAAGTAAACAGGAATTAAATTTCCTAAACACTCCGCATGCCACCTATATTTATCACCGGAGGTTTTTATAATAGCGATACATGCATATCGTGGAAATATTGTGAGAGGATGGGAAAGCATGATTTTTTTTCTTTCTTGTTATATGGGTTGGGCTCGGGTGCTCGAGCACCCCTCTCTTTTTGTAAAAGTATGTTACAGAGAAAAAGAAAGAAAGAAAGAAAGAAATAATAAGTGACCTGCCAATGTCACAAATGAGACATAAAGATATGCTCATCTGACCGTATATGCCTAAAAAAACCCGAGCTTCCGGGGCTCTGCCCCCTGGACCCCATCAAGGACCCCAAGGCGGGCCCCTGGATGCTCATCTGACTGTAATTAAAAACCTAAAAAACCCGAGCTTCTGGGGGCTCTGGACCCCACCAAGCGCCCTAAGGCGGACCCCTGGATGCTCATCTCACCGTAGTTTAATATATAAAACCCCTTAGCTTCCGGGGGCTCTGCCCCCTGGACCCCACCAAGGGCCCTAAAGCGGGCCCCTGGATGTTCATCTGACCGTAGTTAAATATCTAAAAACCTCTGAGCTTCAGCGTGGCTCTGCCCCCTGGACCCCACCAAGGGCCCTAAAGCGGGCCCCTGGATGCTTATCTGACCGTAATTTAATGCCTAAAAACCCTGAGCTTCTGGGGGTTCAGCCCTGCATGTAACGTGTAAGAGTGGTGGTGATGCAGATTTTACTTCTGCCCCCACCCCTTCCAAACGTATTTGCTTATTACGCCACTGCCCCTGGAAGGTAAGCCCCCTGGAATGTTTGCCGCCGCCCCCCCCCCCAATCCCAAACAGCTTCCGGCGCGCCTGGATATGAGGGCCCTTTCGGTGTATATGCACGGCATATAATCCTAGAATAGAAAAGTCTTCTCTTTATGACTGAAAAGAGATCACTACAAACATATATTTATAACATGCATGATGCACATTTCTGAAGATATCCTTTAAAAAAAGCGAAATCTTGTATTAAAGGTAAAGACCAGTAATGGTAAAATTGCAGTTCAAGGGTTTCGGGTGCGAAATATCCATTCAATATTGTTTTTATGGATTAAGAGTAAAAAAAACGGTACAACGAATCATCGTCTTTCTCTCATATTTTTATAAAAAAACGTCAAAGCTTCTGCACTTCGCGGGAAAACTCTCCCCCCCCCATCCCCCAGGCGCGGATTCAGGGGGGCGAGCGGGACTTGCCCCCTCCCCCCCCCCCGGCCTACAAAAAAATAAAAAGACGGGCTCCCCCTGCAAAATTGTGACCAAAGAAGAAACAAAATTAGTGCTCACTTCCCCTCCCCCTCCCCTACCGATTTTCAAATTTCAGCACACTTAATTTAGGAACAAACGGGACACCTCACCTATGTTCAAAAGTATGTAAGCATTTTGTTGATATAGGCTTACGTGTACTTACTTAATTTAATTAATTATCATGATCTTGAGTGAAATGGCACTATAACTGAATTCCGAGCTTAACTTCACTTTTAACAAAATAATAGAAAAAAAAAGGAAACACGAATGGGTGCAATTAAGTTAGCAGCAATGAAGACAGGTTTTTAATTGTTCAAAAGTGGGGCGGGGGGTAGTGAGTACTATTTTATTTTATTTTTTTTTTGGGGGGGGGGCCCTCGAAAATTTGAAAAATTGCATCCCCCCCCCCCCCCCCGACGCTCAAGGGGGGCATCTATTAAAAAAAGTAAAATAAACGTGTTTTTACACCTTTTTTCCCCCGGGAGAGGGGGCTGTTCGCAAGCACTCATGCGTGAAATGTGCATCATACGAGTTGCATCGAATGAAAGAGGAGGATCTAAGCTTTACAAATATGTGTCATTTATTAATTATAATGGTGATTAAGTTATGATAAATCATTGATAATTCTCGGTTTCGTTTTTTTCTGGGACGCACTGTATATCAACGTGTAATACGCAAGCGCGTGGACTTCAAACCCTCTCTGCTCGCCGCTGTACAGGATTGTGTAGCAAGTAGAAACATGGTAACGAATAATCTTTCTTTTGCTCTCTCGCCTCTCCATCTCTCTCCTTATTTCTAGTTCGCGGTTGCTCTATCCTCCCTCCCCCTCCCACGCTTTTGTATTCTCTTTCTTTTTAGAAGAAAGATAATGAGGGGGGGGGGAATAAATTATAACATCTTTTTTGCTCTCTCTCTCTCTCTCTCTCTCTTTAGTTACTCTATACATTCTTTATTTTTTTCAAAATGCTATTCTTATCTTTCCTTCTTCTTTTGACCCCCTTCTTTTTTAAATCTCTCTCAAACAACCGCTTGAAATTATTCTTTGATCTCCACACTTTTATTCTCAATCGCTTAATGCTATATCACTGCACATCTTTAAATCAGTTCTACGAAGAAAAGAAAAAGAAAAACACTTTTTTTTGTCATATGTTGCTTTTTAGAGACTAAAACAAGTGAAAACATTTTTAATCTTTTCAAAATACTATTGTAAGGAATTACAAGGATTTTCATAATGAGGTGTGCATTTGAGGATACGGCTTGAATGACACCTTAATGACACTTTAAGTAAAGAAAACGTATTGATGTTTGGTAGAGGAAAACATGTGTACAAAGGTTGCAATAATAGTATATGAATAAATGATATGATTGTTTATACAACATCCTAATTAAGCGAATTATGATCGACCTTCGGCAGCTGCATATGACATGTAACTGCCGACCCGATTATATTCCACCCACGAAGGCGGTATTATTACTAAGAAGATAACTGTGACATCAAGTTTGTAAGTAAAATCTACGTTATCCATTATCCTTCTGTTTATTATTTGTTTCATGGCAAGATTAATTTTACGAGGATCATCGTTGGACGTTTTTCTTTCCTCGTGTCTATACAAAATTCGAATAGGTTTCGGAGAATAGCCGAGCAACCTAATCATATCGTATTCGGTAAAATCACAGGCTGCCGTGTAAAAAAAAAATACGCGTACCGGCTGTGTACCGGGCATTTTTTTTTAAATTTACAAGCAAGCGAATGGAACTTCACCTTTAATTCTAATATAATGAAACCGCTTGCAAAGAGTCTTACGAGATATACATTAGGGATGTGTGCATGATGTGCATGTGGTGGATTAGCATTGAGCAATTATAAGAGCTGATCGAGGTCTACTAATTGTAATATGCAATTGCCTTACTCTCTCAGAAAATTGTATTAAAAAAAAAAACATAATTACAACTCATAGAGATGGCAAAATAATATCAATAGCACATAATTTCTGCTATATTCAAATACTCAAAGGCGTCGCTCGACCTTTTTCAGTGGGGGGGGGGGGGGTATAGAGGCCACCGATTACCGACAAATGTCCCAATGTCTACAAATGTTACCCTATAAACCCGGGGGTCGAAGGCCAAATTATTTTTCCTATGAACTATCTATAGTAGTTGCGTATATATACACATGGTCATTTTCCTCGACGACATAATATATAAGATTTATTTCGTCAACTTAGTCCGTATCGTAGCTATATATTTAAATGAATGCGCGTAGCAAGAATCTTATTTTAGGGAGGCGGTAGTGAGCACGCAAATCGTGCGAATTCATTGATTTTAAAAACTAATTTTATTCATTCTTTTATTCATTTACGTTATGCAAATAGAAATCATACTGGGAGTATAGTGACAGGCGACCAGCACCAGGCTTGTCCTCCACATCATAAAGCATGCTTTTTAAAATTATTATTTCATAAGTGATGAGTTTAAGGTGATTAGTTTAGCTTTATTTTGAAATAGGAGGATTAGGAAAGGAGTAGTCTATTATATGCCGTATAAGATACCACTGTCACTGAAAGACCGATTGATTGTGCAGTCACGATTATAAATCTGCACTTTTCGTTTTCCTGATTTCATTTTTTTATAACAAAAAGGAGAAGAATAGAAGGAAGAGAGGAAGAAAATGTAGCAGAATACGAAGAGGAAGAGAATAAGGAGCAAAAGATGAGGAAGAGGGGATGGAGTGAGGGAAGGGGAGGAGGATGGAGAAGAAGAGTACACATTGCAGCATACAATACAATATACAAATAAATAATTTTAAAAATTGCCCCAATTTCCTGATGAAATAGATCTACTTTTCATTTTATTTAGAATACAGGAGCTCTTTTGGCAATAAACTAGTAGATCTACAGAGCAACAATTCATGTTTTTTTTTAAATCTTGTTAATTTTCACCAGAGCTATCTTTAAAAAGTCCAGAGTATTTAATTAAGCTTTCGCCAGGCATAATCACTCACCCTTCCCATATACCATTTTCATTGCTCCGATTTTCATAGAATTCAGACAAAGTACGAGGAATCGGCTGAGAATGGAGCAGGCGGACAGAAAAACCATAAAGAGGAACATGGTAATCCTCTCAAAGGACATGGACTTTGTAAGCGTGACCCCGGCCCTTCTTGCCCGAGGCATCTTTGAAAATCATCACATAGATAAGTTTGACGTAAGTTGAATGTCATATGTCCACAACATTCATTTTACCAATCAAACATAAATTGGCAACGCCTGTATAAAACGTTCGTGAATCTTCATTCTCTGTCTAGAATATTTTCTATTTTGCCTCAATGAAATAGTAACAGGACTGAATAGAAGCTAATTCCTCACCAATAGCCAAAAGAAAATGGAAATTTATGAAAATTCAGTTCAGAGCAATATTGGTAGAGATGCTCAAAAGGTACAGCCATCTCAGAGTTGCAAAATTGCCTTTGATCGATTAATACTTTAAAAATTCATATCTTGCAAAATCTTGTAACAGATTTTTCTCAAACCTTTACTTTTTTTAGACTCTCATTTTTCTGCTTTTATTCAAGCAAACGAAATATCGGTCTGTGGACTTCCCCTTTAATGGTTTTAAATTTTCAATGTTTTCTTCACACAAGACACGTTTCTATGGGTTTGCATAATAGCGGTGTTGATATTGCTATAGAGTTTAAGGTATTCGTTGTGCTTTTCATAATTCAATTTATACTTTAGAATAACGTTGAAAAATCACAGTTATTTGTTGTATGCCAACTCCACGTTTGATGATAATGAGATAATAAGTTCACTCAAAGATGTTTTAAAGTAGGTATATACCGATCACCTGTGCTTTTCGTTGTTGAATTTGTACCACAAAACAACTTTAATAGTCCCAATTAATTTGGATGCCAACTTTCCGTTTGATGTTGAGATAAAGGTGAAAGGTAAAATTGAAGACATTCTGTTATTTTTTTTTGGACATAATTCATGTATAAATGTTTTTTCCACTTGTTTGTAATAAAGAAATAATTTCAACAATTCTCTTTAACTAATATTGAATATCACAGTCAAAGCCCAGCAAGAAAGAGAAGAATATGGCGCTCTTAATGGACATAGAGACGAGGGGTCCCAGGGCCTTCACTAGCCTAATAGAGTCCCTGATCGAGGCCAACCAAAAACATTTAGCAAAGTTGCTAGGATACTCAGCGTCTGGACCTTCACAGGGCCAGATGGGCCAGGCACAGGCTAAGACAGCTCATGTGAACAGACCGGCTCCATTTGGTCAACCAACCCAGCAAGTGCCCGAGGGTAATTCATAGATTAAAACTTTAAAGTTCTGGATTGATTTATACATACATTTGACAACAGGAATTAATGCTTATTAGATAAGAACACTGTTAACAAGATTATTCAACCATTTTTCTTGTATTAGGCATATCAAAGTCTCTTCTTTCTCTTCCTTTTCCTTCTTCTACTACTATTTCTTCTACTTCTTTTTCTTCTCCTTCTTTTTCTCATTCTTCTTCTCCTTCTTCTTCTTCTCCCACATAATATTTGATATAGTGCGCTTTGGTCGGTTTTTAACTAGTAAATTGCATAATAAAAGAAAGTTTTTACTTATTTTTTCCTTGCGGTTCAAACAGGCTTCACATTTTTCTGTACCATGTAGGACATGGAACGCTTTAAACAGCAATAAGCACACCCATATGGGAGGATGAATGACCATACACCATGAACTTTGCCTATTATTGATCATGTTATTATTTTGATCTTTATTTAGTTTGGCCTGCCAGAGGTAGCAGTGGTGACTACAGCTCAACTCAAATGGATGCCTCAGGCTCGTATCCGCAAACTATGGTGGATAGTGATCTTGTAAGTGGATGGAATTCTCCCAAATCATTGTCCTTACATATGTATCACATATACGTAAAGATATTTTACAACTAAGACAGTACAACAAAAAAGAATATCTTACAAGTTATAAAAGAAATGTCCTTCTCAGCAAACGACACACACAAAAGTCAATAGTCACGGAAAACTTGAAGGCAAGATTTCAACAACGACAAAAGCCTAAGTACTCTAAGAACATTTTGTTCACTACGCTACACAAAATACCCCCAAAATACATAACATATTATAAATATATATATATATATATTCACAAAGACGTTTCATTAAATTATTAGAGAAAGAAGACGATTCGCTGTACTGTTTTCGACTCTTCATCCTTGTCTAAATTCAGTTTCTCCCTCCCGCGCGAAGCTCGGAAGTTTTGACGTTTCATTAAATTATTAGAGAAAGAAAACGATTCGTTGTACCGTTCTCGACTCTTAATCCTTGTTTGGATTTAGTTTGCCCGAAAATGTTAAACCTCTGATTTCTTTAGCTGATATTATAGTAAAGTGAAACTTCGAGAAAATACCATTCTCGACTCTTAACCCTTATCAGAATTCAGTTTCCCCCTCTCGCGCGAAACGCGGAAGCTTAGACGTTTCCTTAAATTATTAGAGAATGAAGACGATTCGTTGTACCATTTTCGACTCTAAACTATTGTCTGAATGAAATTTACCCCTCCCGCGCGAAGCGCGGAAGCTTTGGCGTTTCATTAAAATATTAAAGAAAAGCGCGGAAGCTTTGGCGTTTCATTAAAATATTAGAGAAAGAAGACGATCGTTGTACCGTTCTTGACTCTTAATCCTTGTTTGAATTTAGTTTGCCCGAAAATGTTAAACCTTTGATTTCTTTAACTGATATTATAGGAAAGTGAAACTACAGGTATTATAGTTGTAGTCTGTCTCGAAGTTGTCACAGCGGATAAAAAGTCACAGTTCGTATGGAGAAAAAAAACTTGTCGGCCGACCGACATTATACATCTCATCGACTCCAAACTTCTGTATTGATATAGTACGCGAGAATCGAGCAAGAATACTTACACAGCTGACCCACACAGCAACATAGTTATGCCGTGTGTCTTTCTTGCTCCCTGGACGAGACGACTCCACCCCAAAAAAACCCTCTCTCTTTTTATCCCACCCTCCTCTCTCATGCTCTTATACCTCCCCCTCTCTCTCCTCTCGTTCATCCCCTGTTGCTTTTATTTTCTTTTTCGTTTTTTTTCCTTTTCTCCTTTTTCTCTCTTTTCTTTCTTTTCTTTCTTTCCTTTCTTTCCTCTCCTCCCCAGGCACGTAGCCACGGAGGGGGCACGTGCCCCTCTAAAAATTCCAAGATCGGTTGAACTTTTTTAGACCCCTTTTTTTTTTTACCTCGATCGATTACATGTAAGTGCCCCCCCCCCCCCCCAAACATCGAACTCTGGCTACGTGCCTGCTCCTTCCTCTTTTGTTTTTTTTTTCTTTCTTTCTTCTCTTCTCTTTCCTTTCTTTTCATTTCTTTCCTTCCTTTCCTTTTTTCTTTTTTCTTCGTTTCTTTCCCGTTTCCTCTCTTTTGTCCCTCCCCCTTTTCTACCTGTTGTTGTAGTCCCATATGCACATTAACATGAACAGTGCAACTGTGCAAGTGACTTTAAGCAAGGATGAGTCAATTTCTTATCATTATGTTGATTCCAAAACCTCATGTACACATATTCTTTTTACACTATGCATCATCAACTTTTTCCATATCACTTCCAGGCAGTTTCTTTCATAATGCTATTGCATGACCAGAACTCTAATTATCTCTAAATAATAACATGCCAAATTGTCAACAAGATCTCAAATTTAATTAGTGCATTACATTTACCAGTGTATTAAACGTATTGAATGTTTTCTCCCATAGGTCTACAAAATGAAATCTAGACCTAGAGGTATAGCACTCATTATCAACAACAAAAACTTCAACACCATGAAGGAGAGGACAGGAACGGACGTAGACTGTCGCAACTTAGAGAATGTCTTCAAACAGCTTGGCTTCGATGTAATTGTATAGTATTAATGACTGCTTTGAGAGAAATAGTTGTTTTATTACGCTCAAGGGAAGGTTAGAATTGGGCTATTCCCCGAGGCTTGCCGAGGGGAATAGCCCAATTGTAACCTTCCCGAGAGCGTATGAAAACAACTATTTCTCGAATATTAAAGCAGTCATTAATACTTTTATATGCCGAAAAAAAATAGACTAAAAAATAAAAAATAAAAATATTTTTTTGTCGAAGGTGAGAGTCGAACTCTCGCGTACAATGAGTTATGAATCTTACACCAACGCCTTACACCACTCGGCCATCGCGCGCTGTTCACGAGCTTGGCAGTTTTGTACAATATATACATTAAAGTGGATTGAAACCGGCTTCGGCGTGATGAATGCTTCGCAAAAGCACCCTTCTTTTACTTTTGCAATGCATATTGGCACGAACTTAGATCAAGATCTATCGGCAGATGTTGTTTTTTTGTTTTTGGAAGTTTATTTTCGTCTTCATGTCAACAATGCAAGATAAAATTGTCGGTAAGATCGATCGAGATTCAATTGTATTGAAATTACCGACCAATCCTTCGCACACATACGGTATCCTCGATCGCTCAAACCATTTTTTAACATGTAAACCTATGGGGTAACCATGGAGGCTGACCTATTTTTTTAATAACCATGGTTATTAAAAATAGTAAATGTTTTATGCATGGTTACCGGGAATTTTACAGGAACAGTTGAAGTTTATGAATGCAATTCGACCAATCAGATGGCTGGATTTCTTAAGTGAGGTATATAATACACAATGATCTCACAGGAAGGGTGAGCACGTGTGCGATTCTTAAGAGCATCATCAACATGGCCTTCTGTTGAAATCTATGTTGATACTATATTTTTCATAAGAACTTGTCAAAATATTTGATAATTCCACTGTCTCTTTTGACCTTGAGTGTTTGGTTAATGTAGAATGATATTGAACATGGATCACTTGTCAGCAGAGCATGTATGGTACAACCAGTAGGTCCACGGTACAACAGTAGTAAGTGTAGTTCCATTGTGGTGCAGGGACAAAAGGTGTAATTATTCTTAATATTTCATCAAAATTTGTAGGATATCAAGCAGAAGATTGACCAAGTAAGAAGACACAACCACTCCCAGTTCGACTGCTTCATTTTCGCCATACTCACCCATGGGAAAGAGGGCTCCATTTATGGCACGGACGAGCGTCTGGTGAAGATAGAGGACATAGTTGGTCCCTTTGGTTCTGATCGATGCCCGACTTTGAATGGAAAGCCCAAGCTCTTCTTCTTACAAGCATGTCGAGGGGGTAAGTCACACTTACATCACCATTGTCATCTTTTAGTGTCCGTTTGTTCCTATGTTGTTGGGTTGGACGTTTCATTTCCCATGTGGCCCTTCTCCACGCCTTCTGGTCTTCAGCATCTGCCTTTGCTAGGCCAGGTGCTGTCATATCTTCTTTTTTTTTGGTCCCAACCAAAAATTCGCAACGACTCAGCCAGCCCCTGAGGGGCTAAATTATAAAAATAAAAAAAATAAAATAAAAGGCAAAAGGGGGGGGGTTCCTGAAAATCTTACACATAAAACAACTCAAGGGGGGGGTTAACCCCACCCCCCCCCCCTGCGTACGCGCCTGAATGTAATGCTTCCTGGGAGAAATTTCAATAGTTTAAACATATTTGTGGCTTACACCCAGTAAATAAGATCGATTGATCGATCTGTAAATTGAAAAAATCTTGTATATTGTTTGGCATATTTGGGACTAAAACATAATAAAGCCTCTTTTCAGGTTCATTGGACGAAATCAACTTGTATTCCTAGCAGGTCGAGGCCACTTAGGTAAGATACATTTTTGAACTCTTATTTTGTGCCAATGTCAGAGAGATTCGACGGTGGAGTAGAAGCAACAGACGGTACCGCTGTACCCCCAACTGATAAAGCCGCAGGTGACGATCGGGCCAAGGATCAGGAAAAGCCTCAGGTCGATGAACAGGATGACGATCAGCTGGTCAACAAGATGCTTAAAATGGCTTTAGATTCCACCGATAGCTTTGCATCCAGTCGTAGTAAGGTGCCCAGTCAAAGCGACATGCTCCTTGCATATGCAACTGTGCCAGGTGAGATTTAATTTGGGGGATATTAAAGTTAATAATGAGTTCTATGAAAGCAGGATCTAAAATGCATGTAGGCAATGTAATTGGGCAAATGACAACACATGACCATACATAATTCTTTCCTATATACCACTGCATGCCTACCGTGCAAAAAAAAAAAAAAAATCCCCATACAAAATTGATAACTCAAGGCGCGAGAGGTGATATGCAAGGCTTAATATAAGCTATGGTCACATCAGCTGAAATTAGCCTGCTCGACGGCCGGGCGGCGACTTTTGAGCCAATTTCGCCCAGGCACCGAGCGGTGACCGCCCGGGCACCGCTTGTTTTTAGGGCATCGCTCGGTCGCTGCTGAAGTTTTGGCGCGGAGTTAAAATTCGGGCGGTGCCTGCTCACTTTCACTCGCCGCCCAAAGTACGCTCGGTGCCCGGGCGGTCACCATCCGGGCAGCGACCTAATTAATCTAGCGTTTGCCGTCGAGCGATTTAGGTCAAAAATCTAAGCCGCTAGGTCAAAGGCTGCTGAGCATTCGCCGCCCGGTCGCCGCTGGGAGATCAGTCGGTCACTAGGCGGCGAGTTCAAAATCGGTCAGCAACCTTTGACCTAGCAGCTTTGATTTTTGACCTAAATCGCTCGACGGCGAACGCTCGATTAGGCCTCGGTGTCCTGTGCATAGCGTTCCATTGAAACGTGTAGGCCTACACGAAGACCGCTTTTCTTGTCGTACAACATGGCCAAACCATTTCAAGCGACGTTTGGTTATTTCTTCGCAAAATATGGTGCTTGCGATCGATGTTCAGCCTCTGCCTGATTAGGTGAACTCCAAGAAAGGTCCGGATCGGGGACACCTCATGCCAAATGCCCCAAGTTTATTTCTATCCAATTTACGGAGAGTCAGGGGCGGCGATCCCGGGGTACTGGGGTATACACGTCCTCCTATTTTTTTTTTAGGGGTGATCGTTCCCCCCGGAAATTTTGAAAGGTGCAACAACAACATGGTTAGCACATACTGACTTAAGATTGCAACACCCTTTTAGGCTCTACAGGGCCAAAGACTACAGCGTTTAGACTAATAAAAATGCAAAAATCTTCTCACTCGATCGCTAATTACCTCCCCTTACATAATATAATTATGTACAACTAAAAATTGTAGAAAATCTGTAATCCGTTGGTATCACGTAAGCACAGTTTACACGTACTGTATGTTTACAAAATAAAGAGTTCTAGAAATACATCAGTGCTACAGAAATGAATATTCTGCTTGCTCTTTTCAGTAAGGAGTCAGTACAACATAGTCTATATATTTGCCAGGCTGATATGTGGCATTTCAACTCCCATAGCGATATCACTATACATGTATATGACAGAGGCCCGGAGTGAGAAATATAAATCTCATTCATACCCAAGCTCCCTACTTACTAAAATTTACCTACAAACCTTCGGATTGCACACTAATTACCGGCAAAGTAAAAGTGAAGTGTGAAAAAGGGTATATTGCTTGGTTTTACTATAGTTTTGCTAAAAATTTAATTTTGTAATACAACAAAACTTCAAAAACCTGTGAGGGGGCAGTCATTGTCGTCACCTTCGCCCCTCTCGTTCACTATGCTCCATCTTCCCTCGCTCTGGCGTACTGATGGGGCGCTTGGGGCAGTTGCATCCCCCAAATAAAATTTCTAGTTCGATACCAGTGATTTACAAAATATGTTGCTAAATTACATGATTTTCCGGGAATTATTCTCACTTTGTTTTGTAAATTGTACTCTTGTATACGTTTATTGGAAAATGACAAATTCCAAAATTTACAGTCAGGCAAAAATATGCTTATTTAGAAGCCCACATGGAAGGGCCCGCGGGTCAGCGGGGATCGGGGGCTCGAGCCCCCCCCCCCCCCCCCGGCCCCTCACCTTTTTGAAAAAGTATGTTGAAGAGAAATAGAAAGAAAGAAAGAATAGTGACCTGCCAGTGTCACAAATGAGGTATCAAAATATGCTCATCTGACCGTAATTAAATACATAAAACCCCTGAGCTTGCGGGAACCCCGACCCCTGGACCCCGCCAGGGGCCCTAAGGCGGGCCCTTGGATGCTTGTCTGGCCGTAATTTAATGCCTAAAACCTCTGAGCTTTAGGAGGCGACCCCACGCCGATTAGTGACCAGCCGGTGTCACAGATAATGTATCAAAATATGCGTATCTGACCGTAATTAAGTGCCTAAAACCCCTGAGCTTCCAGGGGCTCCACCCCATAACCTCCGCCGGGGCTTTGCCTCTGGACCCCACGCAAATTTACGCTACGCTCTACCTGATCATTAATACTTTAGCCCCCCACCCCCCACCCCCAACACTTTGCAAAACATTCCGCGGGGCATGCATGTAACATATAAGAGTGGTGGTGATGCGGATTTTTTTTATCTTCTGCCCCCCCCCCCCCCACCCCAACGATTTTGCTCATGACGCCACTGGTTCCTCGCATTTCGTCCCCCCGGTAATGAAAAGAAATTGCCGCCCCTGCGGAGAGTCCAGGATTCTGCTCCGTATGTGGCAATAAGGAGTATAAGGGCTATATGTAGATCCTGAATTTTAGTCTCCTATAAATATCTTGGTTGGACCAGATGGCACTTTTCAGCCTTCCGAATGCCCAAGAAGCCAGTCTTGTTCGTCTCTTCATGTCATCTTCTATGGAAGGGACTGTGCTGCCGAGAAAAAAAACAAATTTATCCACTTTCTCAATGTTGGTGTTGTTAAGTAAAATATATTGTTGATCCTCTGTCATGACTTTGCATTTTGTAGCATTGATTTTCATTCCCCACCCTCTACATATGCCTTCTCCAGTTCATTATTTTGTTGAGATTTGGAGGTGTTTAAATACGATTTCCATGAGAGTGCGTGTCATCTGCATATCATATCTGATGTTGTTAATACGCATGTCACCCATCTGTATTCCACTATTTAGTTGTTAGATGTTCTTCATCACATATTCCAGGAATATAGGTTGAAGAGACTTGGAGAGAGGCGGCAGCCTTGTCTCACCCCAGTTATGACATCAAACCATTCAGTTATCTTGACATATTGACATGCTTTTTTAAACAGGATTCGTGTCGTGGAGGAACTCAGAGAGAGGGAGCTGGTTTATCCAAGCTTTGACAGAAACTATCATACAGCATGCGAGAGATGAAGATCTTCTTTCGATGATCACCATGGTAATTATTTGTTTTCCAATTTCAGTGTTAAGAGCAATAATCTTGATGAAAATGGATGCTCTTTGTCCCATTTCACAGACTTACTAATACCGGAAAGAAAACTTCTTTAAGAGTACAATATGAATTAGCACTACACTGTGTAAACCCATCCCATACAAAAAATGTAACTGAGAATCAATGGCCTATGTAATAAATGCCCACGCTTTCCTTCACGCCTTGGAGAGTGAGTGGGTAAAGGAAATTTATGATTATTAGCTTTCCTTCTTGGGCGGTTCTCCTGGAAGATGGTGGAGTTATGTATATTTTAGATTTTACTTCCCGATATCGTATCAGACAGGTACATAGTAATTATGCTTTTTTTTTCTTCGTCCGTCCATTCAGGTCAATGGCAAAGTAGCACGAGCTTTCGAGTCTTCCTCGGCCGGCAGGCATAAGCAGATGCCAGCCCCCGTCACCATGCTTACAAAGAAGCTCTACTTCTTCCCAGGACATTATGAGTAAAGCCCTTTTCAAACGAGGCACGATAGGCCGCCTCAAAAAATGTCGTGGCGAAACATACTGTTTATCAAATGAATGACAATTAAAGGGATAGTTGAGTTCTGTTTTCAGACCGTATGCCTTCAAAGTGCGGTTATTGCTCTTATTCTTATATATGACATTTCTAGTGCTCTTTTAGAACCCCGAATTGTTATGAAGGTAATTTTAGACCCCAAAATGTGTGAAATTTAGCCAATACGATCATACCAATTCAGCTCCAAAAAATACGGTGACCGTTTATTAATTATTTGATTAAAAATAACAATACATGGGCCGGATGGTTGTGCGTAATAAAACCAACACGAAAATGCCAACAAAAAGCCAACATCGGCATTGGCTGAAATACGACGTAAAAGGCGCTATTTTGTTTTTTCAACGGTTCTTCAAATTATCTAATATTTGTGGTGGTAGAAATCGTTATATTTATGGATATTTCAGCCGTCTCTGAACCGATTTTGATCAAACAGAGAGGATTTTGTCATTGAAATCGAATGTTCTTTCAAATTTGACACTCAGTTTTGTATTATCTCACAAACAATTATTTTGTGTAGCGCCCTCTGCAACAGAACTCAACTATCCCTTTAAGAGGCAGTTCTGTGGGCGTAAACATTGCGCAAGTCATGTACTCTCTTATCTATGTGTCATGAATGCAGCATTAATTGTGAAGCGAATTACGTCTACCCATCTTATTTTATACTGTCGTGGAGGTTTCTTTCAAGCGGTTAACAACGTTGCGTCTTGAGTGAGCCCCTGATGAGAGGACGGTGTTCTCTTTAATAGCCACATGGATTCTTCAGGTCTCGGGTCTTTGTCAAGAGGTTTGACGTTAACGTCTTTCCGGCTCTAAACAGACTATAATGTTATCTTGGTAAAGAAAGTTATATTTAGAAATATTAGGACCCTATATACATGTACATGTACTGCTGCATTTGTAGTTCAGCTCATTTACAAGATGGCAGAGACATCGTAGAAAAAGGCCCCGTTTCGTGAAACTTGTAATTAAATAACAACTTACAATAACAGTTATAATCTACTGAAATCGTAATTGCATTTGATTGGCTGAGAGCAAACTTGTCATAAAATTAAAGCATTTGTAATTTAGAACAAGTTTTATGATACAGGGCCCGGATCTTTTGCAATGTTCAGTTGGGTTAAAGCAATGTATACATGTTCGATCAACCCCAAGGGCGTACGCAGAAGTTTTTCAAGGGGGGGGGGGGTTTAAAATATTTTTTGCTCCCGAATATTTGAAAATCGCGCCGGCCGAAAAGTCGCTCAGTGGGGGGGGGGTAAGCGCGGACACTTTTTAAATATAAAAATAAAAAAATAATAAAAAAAGGGGGGGTTTAAGTTTTTTAGGGGGGTTAACACACATAAAAATACCAAAGGGGGGTTTCCCCCAACCCCCCCCCCCCCCTGCGTACGCCCCTGGTCAACCCCCTCTGTTAAGGCTACCCAACAAAGCACAAAATGTGGCCACTGTAGACAGGTGGCCTTTTTAGGTTCTTCAACATGCAATAAAGGCTTATAAAGAGTTATTTTGTGTTGCTTTGTAAGATTTCGTAAACATTGAAGTACCAGTGGTTTAAATGTTTGAGATTTCAATTTTGTTCTTTACAAAAGAGACATTTTCTTGTAAAAAAGGTAATTTTTTCAGTTGCATTTTAGATTAATTACATTGAATGTATTTCTTATGCCTTTGACTATAGATATATATTGTGCACCACCGAAGGTCATTCTTGATTTATTTCTTTCAGAATTTGCCCTTCTATAGGGCATACAACAATATCATTTATTTTACATCATGTTTACATGTCATGTAATCTGCATCCACACTGCTTTTTAAGCTTAATTTTGAACTGTAATATTTTACATTAAAAAGAATTATGAGGAAGAACTTGTTTTCCTGTGCTTTTTTTTCTTTCTTTCTCTTTGCCCGTATTCCTGAAAATTTCGCAACGTCTCAGCCAGCCGATGAATAAGGGGGGGGGGGGGGTAAGAGCACTTTTTTTGTTGTGTGTGTGTGTCCCAAAATTTGGCTGAACAATATCAATATCAAGGTCAGCTTTTTTGGAGTCACCCATTACCACAATTTTTTTAATGTCTTTTATGTTTTTTTTTAATATATTTTTTTGAATGGTACCAGTACACAGTCCACTCTTTTCTGGAGCAGTTAGTGGCATTCTCCTAGTTCCAAATAACTGTAATTATTTAACAAAATGATCCAAAGAAATTAAATCAAGTCATGATCTTCATAAATTTAAAAATAGATGACATGATTTTGATTAGATGTTCTCTGTAGGTTTCCATGAGGAGTATGAATCCACAAATTAAGGCTTTCAGTAGCACCTTGTGTTAGATTGACTGATAGGGTTGTTGATATATTCTTTCATCAAAAGAATCCACTTATGGGGCGCTTTAATTAGAGGAATTTAGGAAGAAGGATAAAGGAAAGGGAAAGAAATGAAGAGATGACAATGGAATAAAGTTTGTTTTTTCCATTGAGCTAAAGAATCGTGATTATAACGGCAATGAGATGTTGACACTTAAAACTTCATCAACTAGTTGACTAACTCAACGTCCTTGAGCGAGGCATTGTATCTACATTGCTAGTCTCCTCCAATTAATTAGGAGCCTGGCAGGGCCGACGATCCCGGGGGGGGGGGAGGGACACGTCCCCCCTCATTTTTTAAGGGGGGGGGTCGTCCCTACTGGTTTTTCAACTGGTCCCAGTTAGCGTTGTTTCCAATATGGAAATTTGTATACTGGTATTCCAACTGGTACCATTACCAGTTGATTCCACTATATCAATTTCCATATTGAAACCAGTTCACTTAATTAACTGGAATCAACCGGTATACAGGGCCAGTACCATTTGTTTTCAACTAGTCCCTAACTAACTGGGCACTCATGATGAACTGCTAACGTTTAAATTTCACAGAAAGGCGGGACATACAAATACGTGACATGTTCATAATTCCTGCAAAGTTCTACAGAATTTGATGTTGGCTGCAAAAGGGACAATATCTTTAATCTAAACGCAACTTTCTAAATTAGTGAAAAACTAATTTATAAACGCTGTTGTGTTTTTCATGTACATGCAGTAATTAAATTGAAAGGGGGGTACATTTATTTTTGTAGGTATTACCCCCGGGGTCTCGGTCAAATATAAATGATGTAAGCATGCGTGACCGAGAAAATGCGTATACCGGTAAAGGGGTGTTTTTGAGATTGGACGCGGTCCGCGCGGTGCATCATTAAGGGGTTCAAAAACGTCCATTGTGGGCCATTTTCAAGAAAAAGGGTACCTTTTTAAATGGTTCAAAATCCTGCTGTACGCGCCGGTATACGCGTTTACTGGGGTATTTTTTCTAGCCCTAATTAAGGTCCAGACCGGGTAAAAAGGGCTAATAATTGCCAGGGGCGGGCATCCCGGGAGGGACGGATTGTCCCCCGGAAAATTTGAAAAAGTGCAAACAGAAAGTGTAGAGCAAAGACTGCAATAAACTTTTAGGCTCTGGAGGGTCCAAGCGTGCAGCGTTTGGACAAATAGAAATGGAATCATCTTCTTGCTCGGTAGCTACGTTCCCTCCCATAATATCCTTCAAAGTGTTCAAGTAAATATTGTAGAAAAGTGAAGTGTGACAAAATTATATTACTTGTGTATACTATAGTTTTGCTAAGGAATGTAATTTTGTAATACAAGAACTTCAAAAACCAGTAAGGGGGTAGTCACTTCCATCACCTTCATCCCTCTCGTTCACTATGCTCCCTCGCAGTGGCGTAATGGAGGGAGGGGGGCTTGGGGGCAGTTTTCCCCCTAATAAAATCTGGCCGGGGGCTCTGCCCCTGGATATGGTTTATTTCTAATTCGATACCAGTGATTTACAAATGTTGCTGAAATGGCATAGTTTTTCCCTGAGCTTCTGAGGGCTCTGCCCCCTGGACTCCACCAAGGGCCCTAAGGCGGGCCCTGCATATGCTCATCTGAAGGTAATGCCTAAAACCCTATAGATTCTGGGACTACGCCCCCTTTACCTCATTCCAATTATCGACCTGCATGCCAGTAAGATATTAGAATATGCTCATCAGACCGTAATTAAAATAATGCCTAAATCCCTAAACCCCTGAGCTTCTGGGCGGGGCTCTGCCCCTGGATCATGCTCATCGATGTCTAAAACCCTATAGCTAAGCTTCACTGACCCCGCTGGGTCTATGCCCCTCGACGTACCCACACCAATTTACGCTCCACTTGCTTCGCTCGCTTTGCTGTACCAGATCGTAAATACTTTAGCCCCCTGGCCGTGCCCCCCCCCCCCCCCAAAAAAAAAAAAAACGTTTTGCGGGCCTGCATGTAACAGTGCAGGGGGTGATGCGGATTGTTTTCTGCCCCCCCCCCCAAACGTTTTTTGCTCATTACGCCACTTCTCCCACGACCCTCGCATTTCGTTCCCCGGCCCGCCCCCCCCCCCGGCCCGGCCCCCCCCCCCCCCAGTCATGAAAAGAAATCGCCGCCCCTGGTAATTGTCCATTGGCGAGACTACTGGCCGCCGCGCGCCGCCTGGCTTAGATGACAGACGTGGAAGTGCACAGGGGCGGATCTAGCTTTTTGCTAAGGGGGGGGGGGGGTTGACCAATAATGACGATGCAGAGCATCGTCCACGAGCCGCGAAGCGGCGTGCCGATTTTTTTTTGGGTGTTTATTTGAACCCCGTAAGTGATGTTTTCCTGGCATCTATTAACACAATGGAGACCATAAAAAGCAGTGCATGATAACGTCTTTTTAAATCAAGTAACAGTTAAATACACAGTTATATCCAGAGTTATCATGTGTTTGGTTAAGTTACCAGATGAGTTGAATATCTTCTCACAATATTTGCACTTGAAAGGGTTTCTCTCCAGCGTGCGTTCTTTTTTCTTTTTTTTTCTTTTTTTTTTTTCCTTCCCCCCCCCCCCCTTTTTTTTTTTTGGTTTGTTTTTTGGGCCGCCCAAGGGAGGGGTTTAAACCCCCTAACCCCCCCCCCCCGTAGATCCGCGCCTGTTTCCCCGCGAAGCGTGGGCGCTGGATGTGTTTTATTTACTCAAATTGTAGTATTACAACACGTCCGTATTACACCCCCATGTATGGTAATTTACCCTGTATGCCAACTTTTTTGCATGATTCAAACATACCTTCCAGTAAAAAAAGATGCGAGACTGGATTGCCGCAACTTCTTTGCCCTGTTTGCTTCCATATTGCTTGTCACTACACTCAGACCAGACTGATAAAAAAGTGAGCAACTTGAACAAGTAATCCAGGAAATGAGCAGCCCAGCTCAGCGTGCGTTGCCAGGTTAAATCTTCACAAAATCCCCACCCAAACGACACTTAAAATATCCCCAAAGTTGCCAAATTTTGACAGAAAATCCCCAAATTCGTTTTTCATAAAACTCAATATTATTTTCATTCCCAAATATTTATTTTTCATCCCCAAAGACTTCAACAATCCCCCAATTTTTTTATTTTTTTTAATGTGGGGATTTTGGGGATGAGAATCGGCAACGCTGGCCTAGCTTGTCACTTCGGCGGTGGCCCGTGTCCTCAAAAAAGCTGATGGGGGGGGGGGGCAAGGGACTCTGTGACATTTGTTCGCCCAACCCCCCCCCCCCCCTCCCCCCAAAAGAAATAATAATAATAATAATAATAATAATAATAATAATAATAATAATAATAATAATAATAATAATAATAATAATAATAATAATAATAATAAATGAAATAAATACATAGAAATAGAATAAAATAAAATTACAAGTTTAAAAAAAAAGATAAGATTTTAAAAAATGGTCCCCGGATTTTTTTTTTTTTTTTTTTTTGTTTGGGGGGGGGGTTGCAACCCCCCCAACCCCCCCCCCCCCCCCCCCCCCCCCCTCTAGATCCGCTTCTGAGTGCATCTACAGGTAGACAGAAATAACCGTCTGATATCATCATTTCTTTAATAAAACTGACATTTGTTGACTAATCGGAGGTCTAGTGGAGCCAGACGTAGTCTCAGTGGAACAACCGACGATTAGAGAGACTGAAGCTTTTGGTCTAATCTACAGGTTGAATTGTTCTCTACTTGAACAAAAAAAAATTTCATCAGATTTATTTTACAAGATCGTGCATATTTTCCTATCCCATTTCAAAATGCTCGAGGGTTAGAATTTCACAATACTTGTTTAATTTGTGAAATACCCGTTTAGGGTATAAATTCGGGAAAAAACCTCTAAAACTACCCAATTTTAGCTTCAGAAGAAATCCTCGTCTGGAAAATCTGTGGTCACGCATGACTGCATGGGACCCCGGGGTATTCCCAATGGTTCGAGTTCGATGGGTATTCCCCTTTGAAAGAGTACCGGTACACATGGGAGTGATGGGATCGAGGCCGAGGCACCGCAAAAATGACGTCATACTAAGTAAAAATGTATGTAGCTATAACATATAAAATACAGAATCCACAACATATGGCAAAATGGCGCAATGCAACTGTCCTGCTAGCTGTACTGCACATGCCAATGTTAACCAGCGAAATAGAACAAGGAAATCTTGAGTTGGAGCTAACGTAAGTAACTCGATCATCATTATGATTTTCTCATCTAATTATTGACATTTTCCGAAAATGTCCGAATTTTTACAGGAAGGTAGTCCAATGCCAAGGTTTATTGAACTAAGTGAAATTGTATTATATGTTTGTGCTTCTGTTGGATGAGGGTTAGAAATAGATCTAAAAGTACCGGTAGTCAATTAATTCATCACCACTTTTCACTCCGACTCGTACTGACGGCGACGCAAAAGCTGCGTGGCGCTGGCTGGCTTGCGTGCTGGGGTGAGCTGTAGTGTGGGTGGCCGTGGAAAATACGGGAGGACAAGCGTGTGCGTGCACTTGTGAGTATGAAGGGGTGACCAAAGTTCGCGGATATTTTGACGATATTATGAAATGTGTTATTCGACCTATGATTTCTCATATTCTACACAAATTTATTTATTTTAATTATTACCGAATGGACGGCACAGTTTTTTATTACAAATTGGTTCAACTAGAAATGTTTTCGTCGAAGGATTCCAAGAGATATCGCGATCTAAAAATTTGGCGCTAATTCAGAATCATATCCATACTTTGGCCCGTAATTCCATACCAAAAATCAACTAAATCTTCATCAATTGTTTCAGATAATGGTCATGATTAACTGGGCTATTTGAGCACCTCAACGACTTTGGAGGCCCCCCATGATCTCGGCCGTTGAATGTCTGATGAACACAAAAATTTGCATGTTTGTAGATATTTACATAAGGAACAAGATAGTATAATTAGTTTTTTCCTAATATGCACATTTTTGTCGTTACCCTTACAAAAAAGTTGTATAGAATTCTATAGAACGCTTTATAGAGTTCTATAGAACTCTATAGAACTCTATAACATTCCAGATTCTCTATAGAACTTTTAAGAATTCTCTATAGAAAGCGGTTTCCTCTATAGAATTCTATAGAATAAGTTTTCTATAGATTTAAATTTCTATAGAAAAGTTAATTCTCTATAGAATTTTTAAGGTTGTCTATAGAAATCAGTTTCCTCTATAGAATTCTATAGAATAAGTTTTCTATAGATTTAAATTTCTATAGAAAAGTTAATTCTCTATAGAATATTTTAGGCTGTCTATAGAAATCAGTTTCTATAGAATTCTACAGAATAAGTTTTCTATAGATTGAAATTTCTATAGAAAAGTTAATTCTCTATAGAATTGTTAAGGTTGTCTATAGAAATGAGTTTCCTCTATAGAATTCTATAGAATAAGTTTTCTATAGATTTAAATTTCTATAGAAAATTTAATATAAAAAATGGCGTCCCCACTTCTCTATAGAATTTTTAAGGATGTCTATAGAAATCAGTTTTCTCTATAGAATTCTATAGAATAAGTTTCCTATAGATCTAAATTTCTATAGAATTCTATAGAATTTTTTTTCTATATGAAGATATGTATCTCATGCATATTCATGATAATTTGCATGTTTTCACAGAAAATGTAATTATCATGATCTGTCAAGCAAATGTGACAATTAACATCAATTTTGTGATTTATATTTTCTTAGACAATTATTGACAAATATAATATATATGTACGATTTTTTTAAACATGTAACTTAAGACGTAAAATAGATATATTAATATATGTAATTTACTAACCAGTAAAAACGTGTATAATTTTGTATATGTATGTAAGATCTCCGCACTACTTAATTAACAATATATACTCAACTGTATTATGCTTCAAATGATCTTTGTGATGGAGCTATTGCAGGAGTCTATATAAATATGTTTTAGTCGGTGGCCAGATGTCATGCAATATTGATTATTGATTGCTGGTCGCTACTGAATAATAAACTGGTTTTCAACTGGTAAATAATGGTCTATAGAATTATTTACAAAAAAACTTCTATAGAATTCTATAAAAAATATCTATAGAATTTCTATAGGCCATTCTATAGAATGTTTTATAGAGATTCTATAGATGTCCGTTATAGATTTCTATAGAATTTGTATAGAAAAGTGGCCCACTTTTCTATAGAATCTCTATAAAACATTTCTATAGAATTGCTATAGAATAAAATGGTCTATAGCATTCTTTATAAAAAAATTCTATAGAATTCTATAAAACAAATTCTATAGAATTTCTAAAGGCCATTCTATAGAATGTTTTATAGAGATTCTATAGAGGTCCGTTATAGATTTCTATAGAATTCTTATAGAAAAGTGGCCCACTTTTCTATAGAATTTCTATAAAACATTTCTATAGAATTGCGTATAGAAATTCTATAGAATTTTTTTTATAGAATTCTATAGAACTTTTTTGTAAGGGTATAGCCTAATTGATTATGCAAAATGCTAATTTTATGCATTTTAAAGAAAACTTTACATATTTGTCTGTAGACTTGTGAAGAATCTTGAAAATGTATTGAATAAATGTTTCCTTCATCTCAAATTCATGAGGTTTCATTATTTTTATGATATTTGAAAATGCATAGGTTAATTTGCATATATTATGAATACACAAATTACGCATTCGAAATTCATCATTTTATTTTCTTATGTATTTTATTGTTTTTTATTTCTTATATCTATTGTTTTATTTCTAATGTATTCTTTTGTTGTGAGGATCTGAGATTGGTATTGTATGGTCTGTTGTAAACAGGTGGTCAGCTCTGTTGAATAACAAAATATGAGTTGTATGCACTTACATTTGGGTGTCACACGACCTTTAACTTTAAGCTAGAGGGACTACAGGGGGGGGGGGGGGAACATTCGGTGTTACAGACGACTTCAAAGGGGCCTCTTGGACGATATGTTCATTCTTTCCAACTCCCTGGTCGTATATATTCAACTATGGTACATGATATTTCTCCATTGAGGGCATTATGATTATTCAATGTTTGTACAATGTCATGTCGTCATGCTTACTCCTAGAATAAATTTCTGGTGTCATTTTGTTTATTTGATTTCTCTCCAACTGGTCAAACACAACATTTTTCAGAGTTTTTTATGGAGCTTTCCCCATGCATAATCACTCACTCACTACCATATCATTTTCATTTCTCAGATTTTCTTAGAAAGTACGAGAAAACAGCTGAGAATGAAGAAGGCGGACAGAAGTACCATAACGAGGAACATCGTGACCCTCTCAAGGGACATGGACTTTGTGAGCGTGACCCAGGAACTTCTTGCCCGAGGCATCTTTGAAAATCATCGCATAGAGAAGTTTAATGTAAGTTGAATGTCATGTCCATAAGATTCATTTGTACCAATCAAACACAAATTTAAGAATACCCTACCAATAGGGTTTATGTACATAAGCGTTGAAGACCTAGGGGTTAGGGTTACAGTAGGTTTAGTGTTACTTAAAGTAGATATTCATTGATTTTAAAAACTAACTTTATTTTCATTATTAAAGTTGAAACTTTGATTCGGCAAAGTTATCAAAATTCAATGCTTGGAAACTTTTGAAGTACCGGTACTGATTATTATAAATTACAAAACTCTTAAATACAGCTCCGGCATAGCACCTAAAGAGCTCTACGAACGCTGCTGAGATGTGTGAGATCACAGGATGGAAATGATTTGCACTTGTAAGCAGACGATGTCCCATGACATCTCACACATTTAAGTGCCTGTTTTTTCATCTTCTCTTGAGTTCTTTCTCTTACTTAACTACCGTCAGGCTAAATGTATAATCTAGTGCCTCACTTTAAACCCCGCGCATGGTTTTATTTTTATGACAAATGCAGCGGTACAAAAATAAAGAAATCTGTCGCTTTTTAAACAAAATAAGACGCCATTGTATATTCAGCTGCACACACCGCGGTATGTTTTGCGTTTCAAGAGGGAACAAATGCCGTCCTTAATATCATTCCAGGGGTTTTTCAATTTGAAAGTTTGGTTTCTTTGATTGTTACTTAAAGGTAATAAAAAGTTTTGGTATGGGGTCATGAATTTGGTTCAAATGAATATATTGGAAGCATATGCAATCCTACAATATTCAGTGATCGTTGTCGCGGTTGAAATCGAGTCTAAAGTGATGAAATTGCAAATGATAAACTCTTTATGTTGTATAGCTCCCTCTCAAGGTCAAGATCTTAATTGAGCTTTTAAACAATGTTTCTTGACTAAAATCGACCAATTGGCTATTCCCGTTTGAAAGTTATATATATCACAACTACATATTCTGAGATTTTCATGGTCGCAGCTACCATTGTATGGCCCTAGACGCAATTCGAAATTTATCAAAATTTACCGGGAGCACCGATAACTTGTATGTTTAACTTTTCTCGAAAACAGAAGTTTTTTAGGGGCTAAATTTTCTAGTGCTTACATTGTATAATACATCAACAGGGGCATCCAAATATAGCAAAATTGTAAAAAATCACTATCCAGCCAACTTCTCAAAATTTTCTAAAACTTTGTATTACCTTTAAATATGAAGAATATATGATTTATGGGTAAAAATGTGAATTTCATTACCTTATTTGCATAAATTACCATAAATATGCAAATGAGTGGATTTTTCTAAAAAAATTAAAATACCATAGTAATCTTTAAACTTCACTTGACATGCATGCAAATTTTCACGGCGATCATAGGGGGGGGGGCCTTAAAGACATTCTGTTAGTATAATTTTTGGACATATATGATATTCCATTTTTTTGTATTAAAGAAATAAATTCAGCGATTCTTTCTCCTTATATTAATTATCAAAGACGGAGCCCAGCGAGAGGGGGAAGAACATGGCGCTCTTAATGGACATAGAGACGAGGGGTCCCAGGGCCTTCACTAGCCTAGTAGAGGCCCTGATCGAGGCCAACCAGGAACATTTAGCAAAGTTGCTAGGATACTCGGCGTCTGGACCTTCACAGGGCCAGATGGGCCAGGCACAGGCTACAACAGCTCATGACAATAGACCAGGTCCGTTTGGTCAACCTACCAAGCCAGTGCCAACGGGTAAGTAATTGGTAGATTGAAATATACAAGTTCTGGATACATAAATTAGAAAGCAAGAAAAAACGTTTTTCACCCAATTTTTGGGGTAATTGGCATATCAAAGTCTCTTTTTCTTTTTCTTCCTCTTCTTCTTCTACTATTTCTCCTTCTACTTCCTGTTTTTCTTCTTCTTCTTCCTGTTTTTCTTCTTCTTCTTCTTCTCCCACATAATATTTGATATAGTGCCCTTTTAAAGCGTTTTGGTCAGTTTTAACTGGTAAAATGCTTAATAAGAGACATTTTTTATTAATTTTGTCCTTGCATTAAAAGAATGCTTCACATTTTTATCTACCATGTAGGACATGGACAACATTAAACAACAATAAACACACCCATTTGGGAGGCCAAATGACCATACACCATGAACTTTGCCTGTTATTGATCATGTTGCTATTTTCATCTTTATTCTAGTTTGGCCTGCCAATGATGGCCATGGTGACTACAGCTCAACTCCGATGGATGTTTCAGGCTCGTATCCACAAATTATGTTGGATAGTGGTCTTGTAAGTGGATAGAATTCTCCCAAATCATTGTCTTTACATTTGTATCACATATATAACTCTCCTAATCCCAGTGCTTGTGGAAATCTATTTTGAAGGCATCAGATCAACCAATATCATGGGGAGGCTAATTCTGATGTAATTGCCTATGCACGCCTTTAATACTGTTTGTTATTGACAATATTTTAACAACGTGTTTCATGAAAGCAAAAAAATGTCTGTCTTTCGGATGCTGCACAGATTTTCTTTGAATCTGGTCATGAGAATGACCCATGTTCAAACTCTGATGGAGAATAACAAAAAAAAACAGCAAACAATTTGATGTTAAGCCTACACAAAACAATGACGCATTAAAATAGCACCCGCAAAGCCGAAGAAAAAACATCAGCTTGGCCCGTTGCATATAACCATGGACTTACTACAGGGAGGTGATGTTTTGACCACATAAAACATGTAAACTCATTTTTATATTAGGAAGCTTTATTTTATCCTTATCGTCTTGGATATTCAATATACAAAACAAGCTCTATGGCTTAATTATTACCCTCCCCTCTCCTCTGGCACATGTAGCAGTAGGTGGGCATTTACATCTACAGGGAGGTGATGTTTTGACCACACAAAAAACATGTATAATCCAAAGAAAATCAATGAAAAGAAGTTGAATTTATATTTTCAGAACTCATTTGTATCTTAAAAAGCTTTATTTCATCCTTTACATGTAGGATATTCAATATGTATACATACAATACTAGCTGTATGGCTTACACTGCCTCCATGCCATCTTAATTCTGCCACTGATGTCGCATTGCACCATTGATCTTAACTATTTGATTAAGAGAACAAATTTTTATGGTTGCGAAAAATCAGTAAAGTGTCCACTTTTATTGTTTATTGTTTTTGTATATGGTGAGGTCTGACCAGGCCTTATTGCATTCAAGTTCATGACAAATGCCTAGTGTAGCATTCTTCATTCACACATTCAAGCATCATATTTAAGCATCATATTTATAAAGTCAGAGAGCAGTATTTAGGTGTGTGTTACTTTATTGAGACCAGACATCCATCTGACTATTCGGCCTGCACCTAGTTTATATCAGCATCAAACAAAGCTAACAAAGTGCTCCTCTTACTTGCTGGCATGGCATACCTAATTTTAATCTTATGTGTAGTATTACCTGTAGCTAACTTAATTATTTTGGTTGCCAACCTAGTTTGGCTTGCTCGTCAAATTTGAATAGATTATGTCTAAAAAGATATAATAGTTTATTTAATCATCAAAAGCAAGTTAGGCAAAATTGAGCGTGGATAGAAGTTTCATGGTCTAGATTGGAAAGATATTTCTGTGTACTTACAAGAAAATGGGCCAGAATGAAATTGGCATTACTCTTTACCAAAGTTACCTATCAAAGAAAATATTGTTATGTCAAATCTTCATATGAAAAAATTAGACTGTTTTCTTCTTTGACTGCATGTAGGTTCAATTGCCCTATCCTATCCTACCTTCCCCCCCCCCCTCCTCCCCCCACCCTCGCCCCACCCCCCCAAAAAAAAATTTTTTTTTTAAAACAACAACAACAACATCAACAACACACATGTGTGAACGTTGGTCAAAATCATTCTAAATCACCATGTAATTTTTTGCTCCGATTAGGAATACAAAATGAAATCTCAACCTAGAGGTATAGCAGTTATCATCAACAACAAAAACTTCAATGCCATGCTGAAGCTGGGTCACATATTGGAGGACAGGCAAGGAACAGATGTAGATCGTGAAAAATTAAAGAATATGTTCGAGCAGCTCCAGTTTCAAGTTTCTGTACACAACGATTGTACAGGCATAGTGAGTACATGTACCGGTAGTCGTGATACAATGGAATTTTATCATGCATTATTGATTTATGTTCTCTTTTTTATTGAAAAAGTTTGAAATTCCTTTTCTTGCAATTGAAGCCAAACTAACAAATCATGCAACCCCTTTTGTGACCGCGCAAAATGTTATGATGATGATGATGATGATGAACAGCATTTGTATGGCGCCATATATCTGTTTAAAAAAACATTCAAAGGAGCGAGCTCCTCCAATAAAATTATCCATTTATGGGACTTCTAATTCAACCATTGGAAATCGAGGGGATTCAATTTGCAATCAAATCAGATGGATCAGAAGTGTTTATAGGAAGGAAAATGATGACCTATAAATCTTTATTCGCTTATGACCTAGCTAATTTTCTGTAATTTTCTTTTGATAAATACCATTTACTTGTAGTAATATTGAGCGTAATCTGCATTCGACTTGGTGACAATATTTTAAATGAGATGAGAAGTTGCAATGTTTTCATCCATTCCTTGAAACATCTGTTTAAAAATTTGTTCATGAGCCTTTGTGATTTAATGATTGTTTTTGCTCTCATCAAGTGACAATTTTTTTGAAAAGCACATAGTTCATTTATTTAAGTTTTTTATAATACTTTTATGATATTGTGAACCTTTTGCAGAAAATTAAGGAAATCATTGAACAAATGAGGAATTACAACCACTCCAGCTATGACTGCTTCATTTTAGCCATACTTAGCCATGGGAATAAGGGGGACGCTATTTATGGCACGGACGGCGATCATTGGACCTTAGAATACATAATGGATCAGTTTGGAGCTGATCTATGCCCGACTTTGAGTGGAAAGCCAAAGCTCTTCTTTGTACAAGCATGTCGAGGAGGTAAGTTTAATTTGGTAGTGTCTGTTGAAAGTTTAAAGGAAATCAGACCAACAGTAAGAAAATACATGTAATGATATTTTAATCACAACACATCTCAAAATCTTTATTTAGAGCCGAGTCATACTACTGAGTCATACCAATGAGCTTTCCATAGCATTGATCTGATGAGTGCTGAAAGGATTCATTGCGCAAGATGAGTGCAGCGTGTTTGCTGCGCGCCACGCTGATCTCTATTTGCAGCATGTAATAATGAGCCTCCTTTGTGAATTCGGGCCAATATGTTTTCGGATATCTGTCCGTCCCACTTTCTCGTTATCGCGATATTTCAAGAACCACTTAAGTTGTGAACTTCAAACTTGTGATAATATGTATGTTATACTCAAAATTTAAGTTGGATAGCATGCTGTTATACATGTAGGTCCTTGAAAAAACGAATTTTTTAGCCCAGTTAAAATTTTGATTAATGATATTGCCTTGGATTGATCTTTTGACAATTTTTGTTCTTGTATTCATGCTAGGGAAATATGATTACGGAGTACAGGTAAATGCAGTAGATGAAGCTGATAGTTCTGCATCCACCCGTAAGATGCCCTGTCAGAGCGACATGTTCCTTGCATATTCAACTGTGCCAGGTGAGATCTTGTTAGCTCCATGAGATGAACTGCTCTTTTGTGTCCAGGTCCATGCAAATTGAACTTTGAATTTTGGAATACCTTGAGGGGCACCTATTAGATTTTAATAGAGGTCCTTAATCTTAGGAGAAAATGGGCACTTTTTAGAAAAGGAAAAGGGGCACCTATCAGAAGTAACAGGGGCATTTTTCCAAAGTAAATAGAGAAAGTCTTTTAAAACATGATGTTTAATCCATTTTGTTCACATTCTGCACAACCATACATCACATTTCATCTATTTAAAGAAAAGTGAGAGATTAATAAATGGTAAGCTAAATAATGGGTGTCACTAAAAATCAATCATTTGAGACGCACCTCCGTACTTTCTCTCATGCGAGTAAATTTCATACCACATTTTGTCAACAACAAAAGTTATATTTGTGGATCTATAAGTGGTATTCTTTCCCTAGCCTTGTGGGTTTTTTTTAGTGGATCCCCCCCCCCCCCCAATTTCCTCAGAAATTAAGAATTTCTTGTAATAATTTTATTATGTGCAAAGTGTATTTGTATAGTTACCAGAAAAAATGAATTATGTATGAAAAATATGTAATATCTTTGTTTAACTTTCTGTTGGAAATGAAATAAATATGAATTGAATCGAAAAAAGTGGGCCAAACTTCAGCTTTATATCTTGAAGCAATAACACTCATATTTCAGCTCTATAATCTTCTGCAGGAGTAATACTTACCGGTATATGATATTGGATGGCTTTGAGTGGGATACAAGAATATATTGCTAGAGCTATGACAATATTGAACAAGTCGGAGACCAGTCCAATATAGTCATGGCGAGAGCAATATATTCTTGTATCACACAGACAAAGCCATGTAATATCATTATTATCTATATCAGGCTGACAAGCGAAATAACAAAAACAATTTTTGGTTTTCACATGCTTTTTTTGTGTGTGATATCGATATCGATATCGAAATTTGAAGTTCCTGGATGACTTAGCAATACAAAAACAATATTGGTCAGTCATCCGGGTACTGCGCTAAAGATACACTGATTTATTGTACCTCTTGGAAGTCTTATATAGATGATAATACATGATATTGTTTTATACAATAGATTTTCATGGTGTTTATTTTTTATAGGATATGTATCATGGAGGAATGCAGGTGGAAGCTGGTTTATTCAAGCTTTGACAGACGTCATTCCCCCACTCGCAGGATCAATGGATCTTGGCACTATGATGACTAGGGTAAGTAACAATACCTGTAGCTTATGATCCCACATTTGCTCTGGCGACAAGTGCTCAGGGCTGTATTTTGTCCACATGGCTCTGCTCCGCATTACAACATCGGCTTGATCAAGCATTATTTTCCCTCTAGACAGCTACGTTCTCAAAACTCTGGCTTACTTGTTACTCCTAGGGTTAAAACAAAGTGGGGGGAGCGAACCTTCGCTCATGCTGGGCCTTTATTATGGATACTCTCCCTCAATGGATCTAAAACAACAGTTATGCTGAAGTGTTAAAAAACAATCTTAAGAAATATCTGTTTAATTTAGCTTATAATCGATTACCATTACCTTTCATGTCTGTACCTTTCCTATTGCACTTTTGTATATATTTATCATGTATTTCATTTTTTGCACAAGCTGCACCTTGAGCTTTTGACTGTCAAGTGGATTTGGCGCCTTATAAATCTTATGTATTAATTATTATTATTATGGTTAGCGTAGAGATATCATAGTCGAGGAGTTTAATCACTCGACTGAAAATGGAAAGGATGTGGCTTTGAACACACATAGGAATTTAGGTGCTACTCATTGAAAGACTTGAGGTACTCTGGTTTTATTAAAAGAAGCTCAATTCCAACAGATCGAAATATAAGTGACATCATAAATAAAGAACCAATCAGAAACATAAAAATGGAATAGTATTACATAATGGAAGAATCCAGGGAAAGGGAAGAAACAATAGACAGTATGGAAGGGTGATCATGAGGTGTTCTGAATATAAATGAGAACTAAACAATAGAACCATGTGAAATGGTAATGGAACAACGTGTGGCAAAATGGCAATAAGAGTGACGTTTAAAGGTGGAGAGGGGAATGGAGGTCAGGAGTTCAAATGTAAATGAGATGCAAAGGAGATATAAAGTATAGAAAGCAAAATATAAATTAAACATGTACCTATGAGAAAAATTATAACCTTACATAATATTCCATCTTTCCAGACAAATGTCCTCATTTAAAAGATACGTTGTATTTTATAAATGATTCTGAAATACCATATCAAATCAAATCATGCAGTTTTTCTTTTCCTTTTCTTTTTTTTCTCTCAAAGATTTTTAGAAACAATGTGAATACGATTTTTAAAAAAAATGAAATTTGTTTAAAATAAAATATTACATACATTGATACATGTTTAGCAAAAATCTATATTTGTAATCTTTCAACAATGAAAATCTTTCTGACTTGAATAAACAACTTGCTAAATGCAATATTTTCTATTGGGGAAAAAATGCATGAAAAAATTCCTCTGGTTTGATGATCTACATAAATACAAAAATAATTTTCACTAAAGGTAAAGACCAGTTTTGGAAACGCCCCCCTCTCAAAAAATGAAATGGAAGCTCTTATTACCAATCATGTGAAAGAATATGTTTTGACTAATACGTGATCATACAAATTTTGCCGAGAAACCGCCTACTAATTGATATATTTGGTAAATTATTATATCTATTTGGACCAGATAGATATAACACATGTGTCACACACGTGTCGCGTAGTCCCATATACATCTTTCTGTGTACAGTGCTTGTAACTTTACCAAGACTGGGCCAAATTTCTTATCATTTTGATGATTCCAGAACCTTGCAGTACACACCAATATTAAATATGCTAGATGATCAAACTTTTCTGATCGATTCCATAACGTTTCTTTCACAATGCAATAACATGACCATAACTGGTCTTTATCTTTAAGAGAAAGACTATTTCAAGCACAAGTTGGCAATTTTCCATAAAGAATGTCCATGGCAACGTCTCTGCCTATATCATGGTTTCATGAATCACTGTTGGAGAATAAGTTTTTCAAATTTAATTTGAAAAAATATTTGCATTTTGAACTAAGTCTTTATAACCTGTCTTAGATTTAAGGAAACATTGCAAAACAAAGTTTCTTTTGCCAAAAATGTCCATAAATTAAGAAGTGTAAAAAGAAATATATTAATTTTGAATTCATGTATCTAAAATCCTTTTAAATCCAAATATATTAACATCTCAAACATCTTAACTTGTTTCAAATGACTCGAAATTAAGTTTCCACTTGATTCACATTATACTTTTTCAAAAACAATATACATCAATACACCAGTTTATGGTTACAAAAGTGCGCGTGCGCAGACATACGAGTTAACAACCAAATGACCTCTAGAGGTCAGTGGTTTATGCGTAAATTAAGATTGTGCCCATGCAAATTATGATGTGAGCGCACAGCGCAGCGCACAGGCAGTGATGTCATCATAATTTGCATTGGCGCAATCTTAATTTACGCATACTGACCTCTAGAGGTCATTTGGTTTGTTTACTCATAAATTAAAATAGCGCTCATACCCGTAAACTGGTGTATTGTATAATTAAGCTGTTATTTTCGCGAGGGTTTTATTTATTAACACACAAAAATATTGGCATCTTATCATTCCGGAGCGCGAAAATTTAAACATAAATTATATGCTTGCATCCTCGACCGCTAGCAACTAGTAGCTTATGTTCATAATGCAATGCTTTAGCCTCCTGCCCCGCACGTTCCTTCTCTCCCAGCTCGTATATTGCACAGATTGCACGACGCACGCACGTGATTCTCGTACATACGTATCGGTACGGTACTCTGCTGTATGTGGTGCGATGGGCTGCCTACGCGTGTGTATGTACTTATGTGAATGAGTCTGTGTGTGTATGGGTTGGCATGAGAAAGTGTGTGAATGCTTTGGCATGAGAAAGAGTGTGAATGCTTTATGCCCATTCATTAATTCTGCTTTGTGCTTTTCACGAAAGCAACGACTCGCGAAAATGTCTCTTAGCCCGTCATTCTCGAAAATATCAGCTTATATAGTAGTACAAAGTCACTACAGGGCTACAGGTCACTACAGGTTTCAAATGGACTCCATACATTATTTATGGCATGATTTATATTATGATATTGATCATCCCTTACAAAAAAGTACCATGTAAAAACCATGGTTTCAGTACCATGGTTACCATGGTTCTCATGGTGGATGGTAATTTGGACAAAGAACCATGGTAACCATGGTACTGAAAACCATGTAACACCGAAGTATGATAACCATGGTTCAGTGTTAACATGGTGTTCGGTACCATGGTTACCATGGTTCTCGGTACCATGGTTTTCGGTACCATGGTTCTCGGTACCATGGTTACCATGGTTCTCGGTACCATGGTTTTCGGTACCATGGTTCTTGGTACTATGACCATGGTTTTCGGTACCATGGTTCTCGGTACCATGGTTTTCGGTACCATGGTTCTTGGTACTATGACCATGGTTTTCGTTACCATGGTTCTTGGTACTATGACCATGGTTTTCGGTACCATGGTTACCATGGTTCTCCCATACCTTTCGTTACCATTGTTCTCCTGTACCCAGGTTGCCATGGTACTTGTACTATAATGTTACTGCACGTACCCAGTCGCCTTTCCATTCTGTATGTAGCTTAATAAAAAAGAAAGCATTGATTAAGTTAAGCACTTAAGCACTAAATTAAGCACTTTCAACACAGTATTCCTCATAATATCTGCCAGCCCTTGATCATTTAACTTTGAAAGAACATGCTGGTCTGCAAAGTAGACACAAAAATGACAGCAGCTGGCATGAAGTCCACTTTCAGCACAATTATCCATATTCTCAAGGTTCAGCCACTACTCTCGCAAACATCATCTGTTAACAAAAGACATCACAATAATGTTGATCATTATTGTCAAATGATCATATGACATATCAAACATCAAACAATGGAAACAATATGTTTACTTTTTTAAAGGCGTTTATTCAAACGAGCTAAAATCTAGCTCGCGTAAAATATATAAAACAATTTACAGTCGAAAACTGAAGTCTATTTCTATAGCGAAAGACTGCCGCTTGTTACATTGCATATGACACTAAACACTTTCAGCACACAGCAATATTATAAGTAAAGTGGTTAGTCTATTTCTATAGCGAAAGACTGCCGCTCGTATTCAATAGTACAATTTACAAACTGTCCTTCCAGCGGAGGTGCGAGATTCGTCGACGAATTTAGTTTGAAGAAACAGTTGGTAGCTAGGCCTACTTGCTATGGTAGATCATAGATGACATCGGTAATCATAATACAGTTCAAAAATGAATGATGACTGAAAGCCAAGAGTCTGCAATGTCGATCGGATGCGAAGTCCATGTATGGCGATGGTGAAAAATGGTATAGAGTTCGAAGTCGACGGTGATCGAAGACAGATCGAAAGTCGATAAATTCATCATTAGCCGGAGTCAGGATCAGACTTGCAAACGACGAAACGCAAATCGAAGACGAAGAAGGTAAAGATGAGGTTCTTACCTTCAATCAAAGTTTGACGTCGATGGTGTTCAAAGACAGAACAAAAGTTGATAATGCCAATGTCCAAATTCATTATTAGAGTTCGCAACAAACTTCAAGTTCAAACGCCAAAACGGAGGTCAACGACGAAGAAATGGTGATGGTGGCGTTGATGTTTCGGTCAAGATGATGATAAAGAAGGATGTCGATATGGAAACTACTCATTTGTCATGTTGCGTATATATCTGTAATTTAAAAAAGACAATTTTGAATTAAATTAAAAAAACAAAAATATGAATATCAACAACTGTCAACATGAAATCACACATGCAGTCACAGAACAGAGGCAGACATGACATCGATTAGCTTAATTCGTTAATTTGCTGGATTTTTATGCAGTATTCTATTTATTTTCTAAAAAGAATAAAACATTCAATCCTACGAACAATGACACTATATATTACTAACAGTAGATTTATATGACAATGTGTATGTAAATGGACAAACTTTGCTTTGAAAGTTTGAATGATATGCCCCATAAACCCATCGAGATACTACAACAAAATACGTACATGGAATCACACATGTTCAGTCTTAACTGTTATCCTGTCGAAGGTATTTTAAGTCCCAGTTGACAATGTCATAAATAACTATCTAGACATCGACAAGATCTATGTACATATTGTAAATAAAGTAGATGATTCTTAAACTTACCCATACTGTTGTATATTAGCCGGGAAAAAACAGAATTCAGCATGATTTTGCAGATCTAAAACACCAAGATGTCACGAGGCATGAAGCTGGACTGTGAAAAGTGCACGTACTAGCTATATTGCTGCATGTACACAGCATACACGTACACTGCACTGCATGTACAGCGATCCTCGGCACACAAAATGGCTGCTCCTTGTATGTGTAGCTGTAGCTGCCGCGCCTGTGCTGGTTGTGTGGGGTTGGGGCTTGTAGGTAATAGTCTTGACTTGTGCAGACCTTCTTTATGATATTTCAAGCTGTTGCACAATTTCTACATTTACACACTATTGATAAATGGCCAAATGAAAGTTGACTTTTCCACTCCTGTTTTCCCGTAATAAAAATTGCACAAGTCTTAAACTGCATTAATGCATATATTAAATTTTAGTCAGATTCCTAGCTGTATAGGTACACTTTTTAATTGTCAGTTTTTCATTTAAACTAAAATCTTAGAAAACTAAAGGGCTATGAAATTACATAATTTTACTGTAAACACGCGATATAGTTTTTCACTACAATTCTAATAAAATAACAAAATCATATTAATCATGTTTTTTATGATTCTTCTAATTATTTGTTTAACAATTGTTTTTATATATATTTTTTAATCATAATTTTTTCTATCTTGTTCTTAATGATTCTTAATTATTTTTGTTATAGTTCTGATATGTTTTGTTATTTGATTTCATGAGTCCGGTAAAATGATTTCATGCATTCGGTAATTTGTTGTTGTTTTTGTTTAAAAAATTTGCAAACGATTCCTACCAAACGACTTATAGCTGGACATTAATTGTATACTAACAAAGGTTATTGTATACTATTATTAGGCATTATTATCTATGTAATACTTATGTAAACATATAACCTCCTATTTGAGCGCAGAATTAAATCAATCAGACAAACAAAACAAACACAACATATGGTACTGAACCATGGTGTCGAAACATACAACTGCCAATTAAGTACCACAATGTACCATGTACAAATTTGGAAGTACCATGGTATACCATGGTACTTGTCATATAACCGTGGTAATACCATGGTTCTTGCATGGTAGTACCATGGTTAGAGACGAGTACCACAGGTACCATAGAGTACCATGGTACAAATTTGGAAGTACCATGGTATACGATGGTACTTGTCATATAACCATGGTAATACCATGGTTCTTTGATGGTAGTACCATGGTTAGAGACGAGTACCACAGGTACCATGGTGGTACCATGGTTTTACCATGGTTTTACCATGGTTACCATGGTACTTTTTTATCAGGGATGACATGTACATTATAACTATTTCATCTAGTCGTGTACTTGATTTTACTGTATTTTAATAGAAAATGAAGTAAATAAACAAACTGAGCTGGATAAAAAGTGGGTACCTAAACATGCTGCAAAAATTGGGAAATAATAATTTTGTGTCTGCACAGCAGAAGCTCCTCAAGTTTTAACCTCATTGATGTGTGTTCCTTCTCTTTTCAATATTCTCTTCAGGTCAACAACAAATTATCTAGAGATTTTGAGTCCGTTAGCGAGGAGAAATATAAGCAGGGATGTAAGCAGATTTCAGCCCCTGTCAATATGCTTACAAAGGATCTCTACTTCTTCTCAAAGCAAGACAGGGAAAACTTGACATACATGTAACAAGGTCGGCTAGAAGAGGCAACTGTTCTAGCGAGGATATATAGAAGGGATTTGGTGAGTGCCCCATTTAACTGATTCACTTGTCAGGCAGGATGTAGAAACATCATGGCAATCTTAGAAACAGATTATAATAGATATTGTTCATAACAACGTACCACATAGAAATATAGTTAATCCTTATCATGTTCCCTGGGTCCACTTCTTTTTTTATTTAGATTTTAATGACCTCCAATTTGTTAGTTCAAGATAAATGTCAATCATTTTTGCTGATGATACAAACCTTTTTATATCTGGTAATAATATCAATGAAATTAATTGTGCAATAAACACTGAGATGAACAAGGTTCATATTTGGTTCTCTGCCAATAAATTAGCACTGAATTATGAAAAGACATGTTATCTGCTGTTCAAACCTAAAAACAAGGGAAAAAATGTGAGAATGCCTTAAATGTTTTGGTTGGTAATTATGAAATACGAGTCAACCCTACAAAATTTCTTGGAGTTCATATTGATGCCAACTTAATCTGGAAAGAACATGTGAATCACATTCGTCAAAAGATATGAAGGACTATCGGAGTATCGAGTCGACTAAAATAAACATTTCCCCAAAGAATTTTATTATCATTAAAGGTAAAGACCAGTATTGGAAACGCCCCAATTTCAAAAAATGAAATGGAAGCTCTCATTACCAATCATGTGAAAGAATATGTTTTGACTAATACATGATGATACAAAATTTGCCGGTAACCGCCTACTAATTCATATATTTGGTAAATTTGTTTCTCTCATGGTCGTGTGAGAGATATAGGGTAGTCCCATATACATCTTTCTGTGTATAGTGCTTGTAACTTTACGAAGAATGGGCCAAATTTCTTATCATTTTGATGATTCCAGAACCTTGCAGATGCTAGATGCTAGATGATCAACCTTTTCTGATCGATTCCACTACGTTTCTTTCACAATGCAATCGCATGACCATTACTGGTCTTAACCTTTAACACATTGATTTTATCTCATATTATATACTGCAATATCATTTCTGCTCCTCTTCAGACTCACATACAACCTCTTCGACTTGAACTTCATTGGCTGCCTGTACGACAGAGAATAGCTTTTAAGATCCTACTACTGGTCTACTAGTCTCTCAACCACCGATGTCCCCCGTAGATAGCTGACTGCAATATGGTTCGTCGTCCTCAAGTCCGAAATACCCGCTCAGCATCACCCATCAGGATCACTCAGTGTCTTTCTAACAAATATGCTGGTGAATTGTCTTTCCCGGCATCGATTGCTGCAAAACTGTGAAACCAGCTACCTACTGCTGTGCAGACGGCCTCATCTGTTGACCACTTCAAGAAATTAATCAAGTCACATCTATTCTGCTAGAAATTACTTTATTACCAGCCTACTTTTACTGATCTTTGAGAAGTGACTAACTTTTGTTTATAAGTGGCCCAAACATTGTGGAGCGGTGTATGCAGCGCATTGTAACTGCAAGGGAAAGGGGCTATATCAAATATCTTTTGGATTGGATTGGATCAACGGGGGTAATTGTTCATTATATTATTAAATAGAATCATAGTCTTACAGAAACATGCTATACGTATTGTTAACAATGTACCACCACTATCCCATACTGATCTTTTATTTTAAAACTTCAACATTTTTGAAAATAATGAAAATAAATAGATTACAGATTGCATTTTTTATATTTTTATAATTTGACAACCTTTTACCCCAGACATTTTAGTGGTCCTTTTTCTTTGATTTTGCAATCCACAATTACAGTACTCGTACATCAACTTTTATACAACACCTACTAAGATTCTTGCAACCTTATTGGTCAATTCTTGATCACATGACATGCGCTAAAAGTACCATTGAACGGCATCATTCTCCAGCCGTGCAATTCCGTTTGATCCTTTCGCACCATTGCACTCTGACGTCACTAACAATGTACAAAGTATATGGTGAGCTAAGTGTTGCATTTAGGCCTAGGAAAACTGTTTTAAGCCCGTTAACGTCTGAGGTGTTGTATAAAACAAATAGTGAATGGTCTTTATTCATGCAATATTTTGCATTCGGTGAAAGATTAGACGCTCCATTCAACTCGGCTGCGCCTCATTGAATATAGCGTCTCTTATCTTTCACCTCGTGCAAAATCTTGTACCATTGCACTCATGGCCATTCACTATTTGTATAACATACACTTGCCGTGTACGAGTATAATTTTTCACGCAAAACAATAACTTTCACTGGAGCAAAATGCTGGAATGAAATGCCCAATGAGTTGAAAAAATCAAAGTTACCTGCTCAATGTAAACGCAAATACAAAGATTTTCTTTTGAAAACTGAAAAGTAAACACTATGGCTGGTTTTGTTTCATTCATTTAACAAAAAATACTATCATAGGATTGTGTTCAATTGAGCACCCTTCCTATTTCATATGCACTATTTCATGCAATGTAACACACACACACACAGAGTGTTTGAAATGGAACATTTGACATAATTATTCTGTCTGGAATATGTATGTATTACTCAAAAATACATGTAACTAAATCCTGGCAACTCATATATGCTCTCTGAAATAGTACATTTTGATACAATGATGCTAAATTCTATTTATGAAATATAGTATTTAAAGTGTTCAATCTGAAATAATACAAAGATAATGGAATAGTGATATTTAACTGATATAAGTAGTAAGTACTTACAAATTTTCCTGGAAGTGAATGACATGTGTTTGTTAATTTAGAAGAAATAATTTGTGGTTCTGAGGTATTGTATGGTATAAAGTAATTTTCATAGTTCATTACTGCATATTAGCAAAGTCAAAAATAATGAGTGATACAGTTTATCAACCCATAGCAGTTTTCCAATGGTCAAAATTAATCAGCATTTCTTCAAATCAGCAACAATTGCCAATTTAGAGACTTTAATGATTATTTTCAATTAAATTGCTCTTATTCATGAATGGCAACAGAAATGGACTAAAATTGTCCAGTTAATTTTGCCTTTTCTGAATTTCTGTTCATGTACGATTGTAATTCAGAGCGTTCTGTATCAAAAGATAAACACAAAACGTCACTTAAATATGACACTTAACTGCTGTGGGCCAATCATGGAATGTAAATTTGTATAAAAGGGAAATCTAAATTATATAAACATATATTGTCTATCATTATTTGTACCGTATACTAGAACATCATATCTGCCAACTGTTCCGATTTAATCGGAATATTCAAATTTTTCAAAATTCTGAATGATTTTTAAAATAATTTCTTTAAAGCCAATTATCGAGTGAGCAGCGAATTTGTACCGGGTATTAGTTTTTTGTACAGATTTAACGCGTATTGCCAGTTACACTACCGCTGCATACATGGCCATGGTAAGGCTGTGCAATCGCCTGTTAGAGATACTATGTCCCTTTTGCAGCCAACATCAAATTCTGTATAGAACTTTGTTAGAATTATGAATATGTTGTGTATGTCCTATCTGTGAAATTTAAATGTAAGCATTGTCCTAGTATTCAGATTATGCAAGGAAACCCGTTTACTGTCTAGACTTCCCTGTCAGACACTATTGAGTGACTGACTGACATCTTTTTATGCCTCCTCCGCCACCGAAGGTGGTGCCGGAGGCATCATGTTTTCGGGTTGTCCGTCCGTACGTCCGTACGTCCGTCCCGTTTGACCGTTATCACAATATCTCAAGAACCATTTAAGATTTAAACTTAAGACTCGGGAATAGTATTTATCACCATAGGAAGACGATCTGATTAGATTTTGGAGTACGTAGGTCAAAGGTCACAGGTCACAGAGGTCAACTTATGAAATTCCTTGCATTGAGTTTGTTAGCGCGATATCTCAAGAACCATTTGAGATTTAAACTTAAAACTTGAGGATAGTATGTATCACCATAGGAAGACGATCTGATAAGATTTTGGAGCACGTATGTCAAAGGTCAAGGGTCACAGAGGTCAACTTATGAAATTCCATACATTGAGATTGTTATCATGATATCTCAAGAACCACTGGAGATTTAAACTTCAAACTTAGTGATAGTGTGTATCACTATAGGAAAACAATCTGATTACATTTTGGAGCACGTAGGTCAAAGGTCAAGGGTCATAGAGGTCAACTTATGAAATTCCATACATTGAGATTGTTATCATGATATCTCAAGAACCACTGGAGATGTAAAAACTTCAAACTTAAGGATAGTATGTATCACCATAGGAAGACGATCTGATTAGATTGTGGAGCACGTAGGTCAAAGGTCAAGGGTCACAGAGGTCAACTTATGAAATTCCATACATTGAGATTGTTATCATAATATCTCAAGAACCACTGGAGATTTAAACTTCAAACTTAATGATAGTGTGTATCACCATAGGAAGACAATCTGATTAGATTTTGGAGCACGTAGGTCAAAGGTCAAGGGTCACAGAGGTCAACTTATGAAATTCCATACATTGAGATCGTTATCGCGATATCTCAAGAACCACTGGAGAATTTTCACTTCAAACTTAATGATAGTATGTATCACCATATCATAATATCTCAAGAACCACTGGAGATTTAAACTTCAAACTTAATGATAGTGTGTATCACCATAGGAAGACAATTTGATTAGATTTTGGAGCACGTAGGTCAAAGGTCAAGGGTCACAGAGGTCAACTTATGAAATTCCATTCATTGAGATTGTTATCATGATATCTCAAGAACCACTGGAGATTTAAACTCCAAACTTGTTTAAATTGCTCTATGGCGGAGGCATCATTTTCGACTGCGCGCAGTCAAAATTCCATCTAGTTTTCTTTATGTGGTAATAACATACATAACATGAGCTGTAACAGGTACATGAGCATTTGTCTACATCAATAACCCCCTACTTGTATAATGGCCAAAATTAAACTGATTGAATCTTTGTGCAGCACAAAACATACAACCATTCGGCACAAGGGTCTGAAAATCAGACTATTACTTGGGTGATTGCAATCACTTATGTCGATTCGAAAACTAATGGTCGTTATTTTCCCACAAAAAGCCATTTTCAAACCCTTTCATTTTGAGGGAAGTTCTAAATAATTAGTGTCTTTCAAATGCCTTTGGAATTTGACCTTTTCATTTTTTGACCTGCAAATAGGACATAGTACCTTTAAGGGTACAGATTTCTTATATTCAAGTGTTGGCAGGTATGGAACATGGTTAATGACAGAAATATATCATACTTCATATCAATAGTAGTTAGTAGTGTGGTTCCTTACAAGTTGCATATGATTAGGAAAATTATAACGATTAAAGAGGCGTTCCATCCTGATATTCAGTTGGTTTTGATAAGAGCAGGAAAAAAGAGAGAAACGTGTAAAAATTTGCACAAAATCTAATAATTTGTTTATAGAAAATTATAAATTAGTTGTTGCTACTTGTGGATAGGACAAATAGTATGGCTTTCCCTACCTAAGCCATCTTTGAGTTTGAGTTTGAGTTGAGTTTATTAACAACAAAAATAATAAAAAGTAAAACATAATGTATCAAGCATGATTACATAAAATATAACAATATAACACAAGATCGATAACATTACACATGAATAATATAAATATTGTTTTACAAAGTATGTCATATACAAATGGAATAAAATATTATGTGTACACTTTTGTTGTTAAAGGGGGTACCAGAAGTTAGCACAAGTGCTAGTCGAGTCTGGTTCCCTGTCTTTGGCAAGAATTTTAAAACTATTTTTGTTACTATATACTACATTATATACATGTGACATCAACTATATAAGTAAACAAAGAAATAGAATAGTCATTTAGAAATATTCCTTACTTAAAATATATACATGTAAGTCAAATGTGTGTCGACTTCCATATCAAAACCAAACATACAGTAAATAAAAAATATATCATTATAATAATAATAATATTGGATTCGTATATAGTGCCATTTTAAGAAGTCTTAACTTTTAACTCAGTATTTAGATGTTTCGTTAACCCCTTCCGAAAAGCATTTTTAGATCGTATTCCTCTTATTCGTATGGTATACCATTCCATATTTTCACGCCCATAAATGTTATTGAAAATTGACCTTGTGTAGTTTTGCAATTATTCATAAGAGGTGGAGGATATATTTTGATTACATTACAAAAATTGCCAATTTGGTACAACTCATGTGATGTCATGTGATGTGATGTTCATCTGTGCTTGAAAGAGCAAGTTTTTTAACTTGAAGTTCATACAAACTCTATAGTTTTTATGAAGTAGTTGATTCTCTTCAATGGGAAATTTCAACTAGAGACCACATATTTTTTATGAACTACAGTACTTGTGTTTATTTTATTAGTATGATATATATTTATTGCCACATCCACATTCCTGAAAACTTGATGGATTTGTTCATTTTAAGCAAGTGATGGTTATGCCAAAAGAGTTTAATATAATTGTACATTAGGTCTTTCTGTTTCTTATGTTTAAATTTTGTATCATGAATTTAAGATGAATATAAATTTGTATATTTATATGCCATTGAAACAAACATTTTATGAATTGGAAAAACAATACTAAATGAAAAATCATTACTACTTGTAATTGAAAGTCTTCATGTATGTATAATCTGCATATTGATGCATATTATTTTCACTATTTATTGCATATTATATCTGCAAATACTTTTTAAAAGGCAATAACTACTGACATACTGCAGCTGAACAAAGCTTGTGGTTTCTGAAAACCTCTGAATACAGTACTAACAATTCTCTTCATCTAAATGCATATTTGTATTTGGTATGTTATTGGAACTACGAGTAACAGGGTTTCATTTTTGATATGTATTGTATGTTTTCAACAAGAATAAATAACTATGCATTGTATTTATCTTGAATTCAATTTAGTATTGTTGTATTTGTCTTGTTTGATATTTTATGGCTACCCCATCAAAGATCACAAGCCGTGCGCTTTCAGGAAATTTCATGTCCTTCCTCCTTAATATAGTGTTAAGTGACACTAGGCTGTATTGTATAAGTTCTGTGTCATTATAGGACACAGAAATTTATATGTAGATTAATTTTCATGTATCTCATCAAAAATAAAGAATTATTCCTCTTTAAGCAAGACTGCACTACTTGTAGCTACTTGCGCCCTCTATACAGCCAACAATGCCTCGGCAGTTCCCATTGATCCCCCATGGTCCCCTTTTTCTTAATTGAGAGCTGATTTGACGAGATAATCACCTGCCAGTGACCACGCAGCAGGGAGGTCTAATCCCCCCTTGCCAAACTAGTGCAGATAGGCTTTAATTAAGGCTAGTTCGAATATGACGCGGCAAAACCGCAATTAAAAAAAGAAATGTAGGATGATGTATAATGTAATACACTTCAGATTTCTGCAAGGCCTAAAATAAAAAACTTGTTGTATTGCCCTTTGGGTGCCAAAACATGGGTCAGTCGGTTGGAAAAGTTTTGTTTTTTTTTAAACTTTTTTTTTTGTCACCCTCTTTAGGCCGATATTTTTCAGATTTGAATGTTTAAATTTGTTTCTTCTTTTTTTCCGCCCTCTTTTCGCTGATATTTCTCAGTTTTGAATGCTTTAATACATGTGTTACGTCTTCATTCTCACCTCATACTCATCCATAGTTTGCACGAGTGAGAATTTTGGAATAATTTGATTTTATGCATTTATATCCTATTTAAACAAACAAAGTACATATTTTTTTTATTCATTGATAAAAAAAAATCTAAAAAACAGTTTAATTCATTTTTTTATTTTTTTTAAATGCCGACCATAGATTTTCAGATTTTTGGGTCGGTCACAAAGGGTAATACAACAAGTTTTTATTTTGGCCTAATTATAACACAGAGCTCAATGATTACGCCCAAGTCCTTTGTTGTGCGCAGTTGCCAATCATTTATGCTTTTGAGAAAAAATGCTGCGGCTTTTTTGCGGCGGTTTACTGTGCCATATCTAAACGAGACTTAAAGGCAGGCTTTACTAATTCACCTAGAAGAGATTAGACCACCCAGCGAGCCAGCAAGGTCACTGTGACAGGTGGCTATCTCATTAACTCTCATTTAACATAAGAAAAAGAGGATCATGGGGGACCAACAGGCACCGATTGGGGAAGTTTTCTATATAGAGGGAGCAAGTAGCTACAAGTAGGACAGTGTGCCTTTAATAGTACTTTATCATTACCCCTGGAACATACATCCATGATCCATCAAACTGTTGAAAACTAAATTCTCCTATTGAGGACTACCGGTAGTTTATTTTTAGGCCGAAAACTATTCTCTAGATTCTCTAAATTCTTTGAATTTCCTATTTGTTTTAAAGCCCCACTGTCCTACTTGTAGCTACTTGCTCCCTCTAGATAGAAAACTTCCCCAATCGGTGCCTGTTGTTCCCCCATGATCCTCTTTTTAGTTGAGAGCCGAGTTGATGAGATAGCCACCTGTCAGTGACCTGGCTGGATGGCCTAATCCCTTCTGGCCCAGTAGTATTGACGGGTCTTTAATATCTCCTCATAATTCTGTTAAGAATTCTTCCAAAATCATATTGCAGTCAGCTAGCTAGATTGTACAGACTGGCTTAGTTTTGATTTGGAGAATATGTGATTAACCCTGCTAGAAGCTGTATAAAACTCTTTTCTTTGTGACCGAGATGAGATCACTACAAAGCACTACCGGTATATAAACTGAGCAGGGTAATTTACACATTTCATTTCCTGTTTCACATACACATACATTGACCTAGCTTTTCCACAAAGTGCACACTATATAAGGAAGTAGGATATGGCTTAAAAGTCGATACTAATGTATGCAACACAGCATACATGTATACAGTAAACACATGTTAGATACAAAGGTAGGCAGAAGTGCACTATTAAAGGCTTGTTCAGATATGGACGAGTAAACAGCCGCCACCACAAAAGCTACTACACTATGATTATTATGTATGAACTAAATATACAAACTAAATATCCAAAATTGTGACACATTATGTAAATGTTCATTGTAAAGGGCAATTTTCCCCAAAAATAAGTATCTGCTTTTCCTGTCGAGTGAGGGGTTTCCCAACAACTCATTTTCAGTAAAATGCACCCTCATCTCATTCGACTACATGTATTTATTCCAATTTATTTAATCGATTGGCATTTTATATGAAAGTATATTAAATATGCTCCCAATATTTACATGGGTCACCAAAGTCAACACAAGGTCGATTGGGTATTGGAATAAATTGAGTTTGGTTTTTTTCAAGCCTACCAAGAATGAAATTTGTATTTTAGACAATCAAAAAGCACTCTCAAAATTTAATGTTAATCAACTGTAGTTAAAAATTACTTTTCTTTCTTATTAATTTAAATATTATGGAGAAAATGTCCCCACTGTAAAATATGCTGTAGTACATGTATGTTCAATTATAATTATAGCCTTGTTAACAGAGACTGTATTGAACCGCCTTTTAAAAATTAGGGCATTGGCCCATGGCCAATTACAACTTCATAACCACTGTGTACTTCCGAATGTTACCATAAATAGAAGTGAATATACACAAAGGGGCCTTTGTTGGGAGAATTTTTTCTTTTTCTTTCATTCCAACCCCGTGCCATTCATGTACATGTAATATTGTCATTTTTTTCCCCTTTACGAGGCGATTTACAATGTCATTGGGGAACAAGGGTTATAGACTTGAACTCATATACTGTAGCTCAGTGGACGAGGCTTGGACTTTGAAAATGTACTATAAAACCTGAACTTGAAATATAATGCAAATAGCTATTTATGTCCCATTGTCTGTTTGGAGCCGAAAGGGTGTTAAGTTGTGAAAGGCACTAACGTATGAAGTTTAATTCATATCAGCTCAGTGGAGGAGAAGTTGTGGCTTTGCTCATGCACTATAAAATGAGAATGTGAAATAGCTATTTGCATTATATTTCACTAATACTATTTACGACCTATTGTCTGTTATGAGCAAGAAGGGCATTATCTCATGAAGGGCATGAACTGGTATTCTTTCAACATCTGAATTTTTGTATTGAGTTTTATCATGTGCAGTATATTATAACAATAGCAATTCAATTATTCGACCACAAGAATGTAATGTATTCAATAAAATTCTTCAATCGATCAATTTAATACAGAGTCAAGACCAATCTTGCTCAAAACAGACAATACACCTGTATGTATATGATGAGTAACTGCACGACTTCACATATAAAAAAGAGACTTGTAAAGACATCTTGTATGATAAAGACAACAGGTTTATTCAATATGCTCAACCCACAATCTTACAGTTACAGAAATGAGGGGGTACAATATACAAGTATGACCAACAAACAGTTTTTTTTTAATACACAAAACACATTCACTACTTTCACACATCAGGCTGCAAACAAATAAGACGCTTGAATAGTAATCGTTATTCTACCTACTCAAATCATGTCCCCTCTCATCCTTAATCTCAATCAAGATTTTTTTTAGTTTACAGAGCTCAAATGCTGGTTTTATTTCGCTCACGTCACTACAAAAATGAGCAGGTTTCCTCCTTCCCTCTTTGCCGTCATGATTTCTTTTTTTTTTAAGGATAAGTTTCGACTCGACTTGAAAAACTTCTCTGATTGGCATCATTCCAACACATACACCAATGAATTTTTTTTTTCTGTGTAAAGAGAGCATTGTGAGCCACACCTTTTGACCGTTGCTTTGCAAGAGCAACAAGCGTCACTTATTTGACATAATTCAATAACTTTACAATAGGCTAATTATACAATAATAATATTAAAAAATGTCCCACGTTTCTCTACATATACGACTAGAAAGATCAAAATCTTGCCATGTATTTACGCTGTCATGGCGATTCCTACGTGCGGAGCCGGAGCTCCAGTGATTTATATTAAAAAGTGCCGCTTAAGAATCCACGTCGGAACCCGGGAAGCGTGCATTTTCGCAACCCCGTTCCTGCGTACAGATCAGTAAAGGCCTGATGTTTTTTACACCATACATTGTAAATTGCTACCAATACAAGAAAAAAAAATTGAAATTACATTTTCTCTTTTTTTGTTTGTCAAAATTCATCTTCTCCAGCTTATCTGTGCTCAAATATAACAACAAATCTAGCAAACTACAATGATTAGCTAAGTAGCCAACATTCTCTCTCATATTTTTTTTGTATTTTTTTCTATAGTTTTTGTTGGCAAAAATGGTATACATTAGCAAGAAAAAACTGTACATTCCTAGCCGAGTATACAATGAAAAAGGAATGGAAAACCCCCAAGGTCGTATAGTACCTATATAGCAAACAACTGTACAAATATATTATACTTTTTTAATTCTCTTTTCTTCTTTTTGACAATTATCAATACACAAGGGTTAACTTCAAAGTAAAAACAAACAGAATCTTTATGAGGACGAAGGCAAATACAAAATAATAGTAATAATAAAGATAATAACAATAAATTTGTTTAAAATGGAACGAGTGCCATCAATATTAATTTTGTTAATGAAATGCCGACAGTGTTGGGTCAACAGCTACGATATCTTCATCCTGATAAGTAAAATATGCAAAGTAACAATCTGCAGTATTTTCAAATGTGTGCAGCTAATTGAGCTAATGTAAGCGGATAGTGAGTACATTATAAGCTCAGACAAACATTCATACAGGTGAAAGAAAAACTTCACATGATATTTGCAGTGTCTGCCACATCCGATCTTTCTCAAATTTGATCTATAAAAGGCATATTGGAATTCAATTGCGACTATCACGAGAACAGTCGGTCAGAATTCAAATTGAGTTATTTAAAGATTTTGTTTTTAAATCTCCCATGATCTGATCTGCATCATTTTCCAAATTGCGTTCTCTTTGCATGTAACACTAAAAACACATCAAAAGTACACCTACAAACAAAAATAAATAAATTAAGAATAATCAATCCTACTTTTGTACATAAAAAGATACCATTTCTTCTTTTGAACACAATAAATACAAATTTTGGTCAACTGGATTTCAACACTCATGAGATGGACATTACTTTACCATGTAAAAGGAGAGGGGCAGATATTCCCTTTTTTCAATTTTCAATCAATCAAACAAGATACAGTTTACTTTCTTATTCATCTTTTTAAAAAACCAGAATATATTCAATTCCTAAATTTTAAGGTGCAGAGGAGAAATTCAAGTAAAATATAATATTGACAGAAGCCATATTACATCTATTTCATTTATTTACCATTTACTCATACAAAATCTTGAATTCTACATAATATCAGAACACACTTCATTTATTCTGCCGAGTCAAACGTCCATATTTATACAAACAAGATGAAGAACATGATTCTCAGTTCTCAGTTTTAACAGACACGATTTCTATCTATCCCCGGTGAGAGCATCTGAATACTTCACACAAGAAAAAATTCAACAATTTGCAAAAAAGATTGCTCTTCGGAAATTTGAGATCGACTTCATCAAACAAGTTGTAAAAAGTAATTCAAATGCAATGATCACATCAAATGTTTTTGTTTTCTTCTTCTGAATTAGTTACATAGCTTTACAGCCCAGCTAGAATGCATTGTAATGCCATCGGGAGGCAAGGGGGCACGGGACACATAAGAAAGGGAAAAAAAAGAATCTGAATGTATTCAATAAATTACTAAGCACGTCCAGAAAACCGTTTCGATATGACTTATGCTAACTCTATCTTTATTTTTTTTTTTAAATCAAGTAAACACACTTTTCTTCCACAGAATGTTAGATAAACACCACCCTCAAGAGAAGCAACAATCAATTATACATCCATTATTTAGCCAGCGGCAATTTCTTATTCCTTAAACCGAAAAAAGGTCATATTTGTGCATCAGCAAATCTACAAATTACAACAACACACAAAGAGATGCTTATACATGTATTTAAAAAATAAAAATAAAAATAAATGTTGAAAAAAAAGAAATTTTTGTTGTGTAATTGCTTGTGTAAATGAAAACATAAAAAAGAGAACATTACAAGTAGTGGATGACAAGAGAGACATGCAGCTGCCAATAGGAGTTAGTAGTACATCTCCAATACATTGTTACCATATGAAGACGCTTTTATAGGGTGGAGCACAACACGCTGGATCTGATTCAGTGCAACGTTCCTCGGCCCAGTTCACACTGCCCAACCTATCAGAGCAAATGACCTGCACATGCGTGACCACACACAGAAAGCTAGAAACGTCAAAGAACGTTAACACTGTTCATAGATTTCTAACTTGTGGCATCACAGTCATGTGCAGTTGACCGAAGCAGTATGAATAGATAAGATGCCTGCATGTTCATCATCAACACAATCTGTATTGTTTGGGTAGTTGGGCATTGTGAACAGGCTCGTATTGCATAAACGCCCCCAACACTTGCACACTCGCACATACCTTGTTAATGACTCCCAGATTCACTTGGGCATGTTAATCTCCACACTGTTCAACCGTACTTAACATGCTGGATCTGAGCATAGCTTTCGACTACAGTTTTTTACAAAAAACAAATATGGCAGAACAACTCCTCTGCCGATTTTTCAAATATCCTAATTTTAGGTACGCACAGGAATAACCTTCAGTACCTCCTGATAAACAAAGACGTGTAATTCGGCATGAATTAACTTATCTCAGCCCTAGATCTTTAATGCTTTGGATCTTAGCATGTACAGGTAAAGAGAATCAAGAAAACCTCCCAACGCCTTACTCCCAAGCACCCAATGCCTATTACATCCATCATGCCATTGTGGTAGCCAATTCTTCCATTTCTAATACAAGTCTGCATATGTGCAAAGGACATGTGCTTTTGTTTTTAAAAAAAAACTAGTCAAGCAAAAGACACACGAGCTAATATATATATATACACAAGGAAAAAAATGGGTTGTAGTTTGTTTGCGAGGAAGAAGGTGCCAATTTGAGCACTTCCTCTTTCGACTTGTACATGTGTAACAACTTAATGAGTTCCAACTTAGTTTGGCATTTTTTTTCCCTTCGTACACTTCTGTTGTCGACGTTGGACCCCAAATCATTGCACTATTCCATACACAAATATAAAACTGAAACCAAAGAGAGAGAAAAAAAATATATATATGAGCACGAAACTTCTGTAGACAACGCCACCTAGAAGGTTGTATGAATTTGCATTTCAATTTAAACACGTTCCAAAAATGGAAAAGAAAGTTCACCGTTTCACATACAAAGACTATATCTAGGTGGTATTAGGTGGTCTATACAAACATGTTCACATAGCACTTTGGCTATGCAGTACAATTCATTGAAAAATGGTTGGTGTGCATGCTACATATGCTAGAGAAATTGAAAAAAAAAAAAAAAGGAAAATTAAAACAAAACGAAAACGTGCTGAAACGATCTACGACGTTTTGTTTGTATAACGTTTGGAGGCAATATCAATAGCAAGAGACAAACATAGAAATGACTGCTACTCGGCTGAATGTATAACCAGCAGCTGACAAACATTCGATATTTTTTTTTTAACATTCAATTTATGAACTACTCTACTTTGCAGTACTGACATGTGCACGAATTAGGCACATACAGTTTTTTTTCTCCTCTTAATCATTGTAAGAATTTAAATATTCACTTGTAACAGGTCAGAATATACACTGTCTATACACAGGATGGACGAGGACTAGGCATCTCTTTAAAAAGATGTTACACGTTTAAGACAAAAGTCCATGCCTCAAAGAGTTTTTTTTTTGTATTTTTTTTGTATTTTTTTTTTCTTCAATAATTTTTTTAGATACAGCTGATAAGCTAACCAACAGTACATCATAAAGTTAGTGGGTTTTTCTTTATACAAAAAAAGAGGGTGAATGAAGACAACAGAACCGAGAGAAATTCAGTGGCAGGATGGGAAATGATAATATGAACAAGAGGCTTTTTTTCCATCATTTATAACTCGCACTCATACTCACAATTGATATTACGCACGCGCACACACGCACACAAATAAGAAAGAGATATATTATCCACATCTACGTTTTTGCCATACAACACACCCACTTGTTTTTCATGTTTTTTAACGTTTTTATCCTTCCAGAGCATAATAAAACCCACCCCGTTCGTTCACATCTAATTAATCACAAAGAGAATTATAATCGGTTGGGGCCCCTGTTCGTAGCAAAAAGCTAGTCCACAGAAGAATCACACACCGCGTCAAAATCGACACGTGCTACCAACTAGCTGCCATGGTGAGAACACAGACATCCGTCACCGGTATAGTTTTTTTTCGTAAGCTGACGTCACATGTAACATGTCTCTACACTACTACATTATTTTGAAAACAAACTAACAAAAAGAAAGGAAAAAAAAATGGTTTAAAATCTTGAAAAAACATGATGCAACTTTTGCAGAGAATGTCTAGTTTTTAAACCTCTCTCTCACATAAACACTCATCAAGAATATGAATAATTATTAAATCAAGATTACATGGTGAATTCTTTTCCATTTTCAGAGTCTCGTTTAACGCTACGTGTATAAGTAAGTGATTCAAACTTTTCTTAAAGATGCCTGCTGGAGATTAATTTTTTTGTTTTGTTGAAGGTGGTGGTGATACATAGCATTCCACATGTCTTTTAAAAAGTGTTTCTTTGTTTAATATTCTCACAAACTCTGCTAGGGTTTTCTAAAGTGATGGTGGCTCGCCCACCACTGATCCATCCTCAGTTCCAGACCTTGAGGAAACTGTCCCAAGATCCTGTCGCTACTGCCATACCGTCTTCTGTCACTCCCAAGCAACTCACTCTGTTGTCGTGGCCAGCCAGTACACCTGCGCCAAGGGAAATAGGAAAGAAATACCTTGTGAAGTGAAGGTTCTTGGTACGAATATATTACATTTATGCATATTCATGAATATGTAAATGATAAGAAGGCGGAGTCAGATTTGGTGAAGAGGAAATGGAATAAACCAGTCAAGTACGGTACAAGTACAGCAATTCAGGTATTATTTATTATTATTGTTATCCTTTTTAAGTATTATATGAAATTGGTGATTTTGTGATTCTCATACAATAGAACCTGTGTTCAACCATTGCTCCATGCTTACAACCTTTAACAAGGTGTTTTTATCAACTCTTGTATGTTTAAAAGGGACCTAGCGAAAAGCAAAACAAACCTTAATTGCAAACAAAAACAAAAACAAACAATCAGAAGCATTGTTTTCACTATAAGTAGTTGGTAATGTCACTGTTATGTAGTGCCAGACAACTTTCTATTCGTTCCAACATACAAAATGACTACATTGTCATTTTTGTTCTCAAAACGTATGACTTGGGAGGGTCTTTTTCTTTACAGGACCTATAATAATATACTATCCATGATATATATTTTGAGAAGTGCTCCAAAGGAAAAGGCACTCAAGGAAAAACAACAGAAATTAATGATATTTTTGTATCCACCGACAACATTGCCGATTTGAGATTTAGTGATGTCATATTTCAAACATTCATAGATCTCTTAATATTTGACTGATTTATTTTTAACTTTCGCCATTCGTTTTCTCTGATGTTTCTGCTTTCATACAAATGAACTTATTACAAGGGTTAGACCGCCTCTATCTGTCATCCTGCATGCAAGATGATCAAAATGAATTGGAATTTTCCTACCATAATGTTATTACGCATATGTGCTGCGTGTAATTTTACTTTGTCACTGATGTATATACTATATAAAAAGAAACAGCAATTTGGCTCTCGGGCCGCGAAGGTTTTTTAAATGAATTAAATCATTTAAAATAAATCATTAAATAAATAAATAAATCCCCAGAAAAAGTGGCGAGAACACTTACCAGCTCGTTCGCCCTTCATGGAGTCCCACACATTGCAATTAAAGTCATCATATCCAGCTAGCAGCAGCCTGCCGCTCTTTGAGAATGCCACCGACGTAATTCCGCAGATGATGTTGTCATGTGAGTAGAGTATGAGTTCTTGGTCAGCGCGGATGTCAAATAGGCGGCAGGTCGCATCGTCTGACCCAGTGGCAAATGCATATCCATTAGGGAAAAACTAGACAAGGAAGGCAAAGAAGAACAAGCACGGATTAGTAACATTTGCATAAATAAATACTGAAGTCATCATCATCATCATCAAAACTAATATTAGATCCCGTTAAACGAAGATAAGTTGATGTTATTCGCTCTTTTTCAATTGATTGCAATTTCGCAGTTGACCAGTATGTACAATCAACCGATCATACGATTGATTGCAAAGCTCTGTGTTACAGGGGCCCGCAGTAGAATGCATTGCCCATTGTACAGCTCATAAGAGATTTATTTCCTTCTTTCATAGCTTAGTTAGAATTGAAGTTACAAGTGGATTACTGTTATTTTCAATGTGCTTAGTGCCCCTTCCAACCCCCTCCCCCTTCCAACCCCCTCCCCCTTCCTGCCCTTATTACAACAGTTCTTCTTTGTATCACCATTGTTCTTTTCCACCCAGGTGCTACCTGGGTACTCGGTAGGATGCAAATGTCAGTGTAATTGGAAAAGTATGTGCGTGCCTGTAAAAGTATGTGCGTGCCTGGAAAAGCATGTGCGTACATGTAAAAGGTGACTACACTGTAGCTGGAAGGCTCCCCAGGGAAAGAAGACTGTGCATGCACTGTAATGTGTGCATTAGTACTTGACTCCAGTGGCTGGGGTAATAATAATACTGTAAACGCTTTGATCTGCTGTAATTGATTAAGTCCTTACTAAGAAAAAGTTATTATCGTAATTATTAATTAAACATTTGTTTATCCACTGATTGGTTTTGGTTTTGGTTTTGGTTTCATTGTGCAAAAACAGGAAAGGATACTTGACTTGATCTTGAGAGAGAAAATGACCCATTAATTTTTTTTTTTTTTTTTTCGCTTTCTTTTTGACAAATCAGGTTTAGCGTAAGTGGGGGAGGGGTTCTTACATGTATACTCCTTGAAGCACTGTACTTTTGATATTTAGTTGGTTATCATGAGTACAAGGAATTCTCAATTCAATTCCTACTGAATAAATTTGCATACAAGAGGGTGAGTATAAATAAACTTTATATCTATAAGGGCAACTACTAAAGTCAAAGTAGTTATAGATCCATTTCCCTGATTTTATCTATTATGACATAATGACTAAATGACTTTCATGTACAATTTTAGGGGAAATTTCTCTTGAGCCGTTTCTATCGTATCCACTGATTAACAAGAAGAATACATGTAACTCTCTAAAATGCATGTTCCAAGATACAAAATGATGTTCTTTCTCCCCCAATGCCCCCCCCCCCCCTTCACCTGTGACTTTGCCAGGTCCCCAATGAGAAGGCAAACACATCTACCCCCTCCCCCAACGGCAGTGCATGTTCCAAGATAGAATATGATGTTCCTTCACCCCCAATGGCCCCCCTTCGCCTGTGACTTTGCCAGGTCCCCAAATGAGAAGGCAAACACATCTATTCCCCCCCCCCCCCCCCCATAAAGAGGACCCTCCTTGGTCTATCATGGCTTGAAATGGCTCACCATAGAGACATTGCACATTCACCCTATCTTTTCTCACAAAAACCTACACACTACTGCAGTGCAGTTGATTGTGCAACTGTCGCTTTCCTAGGGTAATGTACTCCCATGAATTCAACAAAGGGAATACAGTGGGACAGTTTAGATTTGTAAGGTGGATCATAAATGCTCCTCACCATTTATGAAAATCAATTTCATTCTTCCTAAAAACAGGGTTTCACTCTCTTTATCATATGAAAAGTTATTTGTAAGCAAAAATCAATAAATTATCCTTTTCAATGTTGAAACAACATCTTTGAACCGCCTTTCAATATTCTTCTAATGAATTTTCCTATAGTCTCGTGCATGTTCATCATACTGGCGTGTATCAAGCAGGTCACTGGGTTCTACTCTCATAAGGCTCCATCATTTTGTGGGACAGAAAATCACTTTCCTTGTAGAGAAAACCTGAACGGCTGATAGGTCAGAATTGGTGTCATCATGTCATAAAGACATCAAATGTTACTAAAGGCCTATGCAATCGGACCCTAAAATTGTATATCTGGACCACATTAAGAAAAAATAAATTTTGGAGCTATAAATTATTATTATTCATTCTTACAATGAATGAAGCTACTCTGCAATAATTTTGGCTTTAAAGTGTGTAGTTTATTTCCTACATTAATAAATACCTCTTAAACTTCAACCCTAGATCAAACGCAATACCTCATTTAAAGTTTTCTATCTAAAAATAACATGAAAACTGACTTGTAATGCAATCCCTAAATGACAACATTAGGGAAGTGCAAGTTGCATGCTTCATACATGAGTTCATGTCAACAAACATAGCAGTTTTTCTGTTAGACAATGCTTTCAATAGAGTTAGATAGTTCTGCCTGTGTGAATTGCATGTGAAAACCACACAATTCATAAAGAGTTCAACTTCCTTTTTCTTTTATTTGCTTCCTCATCGGATGAAACTGCAGAGTATTTTGAACCGTGTACTTCCTGTTAAGCCCTGCAACTACATGATCAGGAATTCTTTCAATGACTAGTCAACGTGACTTTGAAACCGACTTTGACCAACATGAAAAATTACTATACGGCTAAAACTTTCTAGAAATGTATACAGTACAGGGTTTAGTGCTCACTGCCATGTTAGGAAGAGTAACATTTTATTTTTGAAATCTAGAGGTAATACTCTATCCCAAATTTGACTTAGACCACCATGGAAAATTGTTTACGGCTAAAAATTTCTAGTTCATGCTCCCGTTGATTTTCCAACCTTTCTAGAAATGTATATAGTACAGGGTTTGGTGCACACTGCCATGTTAGGAAGAGTGACATTTTATTTTTGAAAACTAGAGGTAACACTATCCTAATTTTCAGTTGAAGAATGATTCTTTGGAATAGTAGATGCATTTCCCATGGCCTTCACGTTCAATGGGGTGAAATGTGGAGTCATTTTGCATGTGGAATTTTTTCCCTGGACTCTTGTAAAGGTTGAGCCATGCGTAATAAACCATGGTCACTGTAAGAACCTTGTAGAGGTACATATTTTTAAGGGGGTGTTAATTCCTCTTTTTTTCTCACTTACAACTTGTAGGATTTCCACTCTTACAAAATACCTTAGATCAAACCTAATACTATGCCTAACCCAAAACCAAACAAAATCCAAAGGCAACACTAACCCTCATTGCTATATCCTAGACAAAAAAAAAACAGAAAAAAAACCTGCTGAAATTGTTGTTGGGAGCATATATGGGTCATTCCAAGAATTTGGGGCAAGAAATATGACGGTGTCCATGTAACGTTGGTTTGAGATATTCAACTATACATGGTAGATGAAATTATCTGTTGAAGATTTGTATGCAACGAATATATATATATTGCTCTGCCAGAATCGTTCCTGTTTAAGTAGCTTATCTTTAAAATCTTTGCTTCATAAACATTTATCTTTTTGCCACGGTTACATGGACACCATACTCAATCACCATGAAGCTTGAGTAATTCTGAAGATAGTTGGCTATGCTTTTTATGCAAAACTCAATTTGAGAAAAAATGGTTACAGTTGATATAAGACATAGTTTCTCACTTCTTGTAAAAATGTCACAAAAATTGTCCCTACTTCGTGGCATGACCCGTATCGTATGACTGGTCAACAGCAAGAGCTACATGTCGAGCTGGAGGTTAGGTACGAAACTTACTGTTACAGCGTTGATATCTGACTCGTGGCCTGTGAATGTTTGTTTGCACATGCCTTCTTAAATTCGTGATTCAGCCAGTTCAAAACATGCATGCTTATATTTGCCCCCGAGTTCTAAAATTTGTGCTAGCCGATCTTAGCGCTTATCCGTGAAAATTAATGTACCACTAATATTTCTGCGTTTACAGTATCGTACGACTGGTCAACAGGGAGAGCTACATGAAGAGTTTGGAGGTATGAAACTTACTGTTACAGCGTTGATATCTGACTCGTGGCCTGTGAATGTTTGTTTGCACATGCCTTCCCGGATGTCCCAGAGTTTGGCTGAGGCGTCGCAGGCTCCGGAGACGAAGGTCCGGTTGTCTGGCGAGAGGGAGAGGCTCATTACATCACCTGTGTGGCCCGTGAAGCCTGTGGTCTGTTGTCCGGTTTCTATGTCCCAAAGGCCACTGTAATGATAATAACGATGATTGGATTTATATATAGTCAAACCTGCTTTAGCGACCACCTGTCTACAAAGACCACATTTTTTGTTTCCTTGAAAATGGTTTCTCATTGAAACATGTACTACAGGAACCTGTCTACAAAGACCACTTTTTGTGTTTCCCTTGGGCGGTCCCTATAGACAGATTTGACTGCAGCACCTCTTTCAGAAAATCAGTATTTGTAATGTTTATCGAGTTATGACTCGTAACATTCCTTGTCCTAAACATGCCTAAATTGATACAAAATATTTTCAGTTACATGGTTCCCTAAAATGTTTACTTCCTGTACCTCAAGATTTCCCACAAGAACCCATTCTGCCTTTGTACAAGTTTCACGTTCTTGTTGTTGGTGGTTTGTTTTTTACCCCACTGCAAAGAAAGCATGTGCACGCTTCTCAGTGAACAGCTAGAGGACTGATAGATTCAAGCCATCTCTGACGGACTTGGTAATAAGGATTAATGCCTTACAAAGGACACATGTGTCTTGGTTTCGAACCCGGGACCTCCCAGTTATGAGACCACAGCTCTACTACCTCTGGGCCATCATGCCTCCTTGTTATGCAAATTCAAGAACAATCTAACAATCACGCCATTTTTTACAAATTTCAAATTAAACTCACTTTTCTGAATAACAAAAATATTACAAAGCTCACTGACCATTCCCCCCCCCCCCCCTTCTCTCTATATGTATCAGGATAGAATGTCTCTCGCTTTCTTTTATTAAATTAGAAAGAGCTTAATGCTTGCAAACATTGCTTACCATGACATATCTCCTGAACTAGTTACTATTTGATTGTCATCGATAAATCGGCAGCATGATAGGTAACCTGCAAACAGAAAGATGAAGGAAAAATTAAACATTTCCATGAAGTAACAATATCACATTATGCATTGCCTGTATTTGGGTGTAATGTATAACAAATTACAGTTAACTCCACCTGCATAACTCAAAGTTGCACAAGTCAAGTTTTCTCAATACACTTCCTAAGTCATACAATGTTTTGCATTTTTTGTACTTTGTTAGGGGGTCTTTTTTTAAACAGATATTTAAAACAAATTGTGTCTCCTCTTTTTCTTAGAGGGCAAATTTGGGGGCCATTTCAAATTTTTGACAGCTGTTTAACCTAAAACATGTTAGTTATCTTCAATCATGACACACATTCACGCTTATTCACATGCAGTTTTAAAACTAAACTTGAAACAGAAAAAATCTTTGCTCATTGCTCTCCATGAAATAAAATATATAAACTTGGGAATTTTCCGAACGAACGCTCTCTATTATATCATTCACTGATGACTAGAGCTGAATAATACAACTAACAGGATAAAAAGGGACAACACAGCCTTCACAATAGTTTTCTGAGCCCTGCTTTATGAGGAATGGCAAAATTGTGATCGATTCTAGCTGACTCTAACTTGATATCAATCGCAATATCTGTACTTTAGGGAGTTAGGGAATTTGTGAGATGCGATTGACTGGAGGACCTGTCGCAACTCTCCATAAAACTGGGCCCTGAAGTGACACTGGTCCAAATGACCACCAACTGGGGGCCATCTGTGTTCTGAGGAGGGAGCCCTGGACTTACCGGTATGTCCTGGGAGTTCTCTGCTTACACGAACATTGCCTTCTCTGGTCTTGAGGCTATAGATTGAACATATGTTGTCGAGACCTCCACAGGCCACAAAACTACCGGTAGGAGCATAGGCACAGGTCATCACCCAGCTGGACCGCAATGGAATTGCATGCACCTAGAAGAGAGAGAGAGAGAGAGAGAGAGAGAGAGAGAGAGGAGTGTTATAGAATGATGCATAAGGGTTACTAAGGAAATGGAAAGCATTATTTCAGAGCTTAAGAATTTTAATTATTTTTCTTTAAGCCCCACTGCACTACTTATAGCTACTTGCGCCCTCTATACAGCAAACAATGTCTAATTGGTGACCATTGGTCCCCCATGGTCCTTTTTTTCTCATGTTAAATGAGAGCTGATTTGATGAGATAGCCACCTGTCAGTGACCACGCAGGGATGCCTAAGCCCTCCTGGCCAAACTAGTGCAGACAGGTTTAAAATAGAATCATATGAAATAAAACCCATACCAAAACACATGGAACCTTATGGAGGTCAAATTTTGTTTTTCAAAACAAAACTAAGGAAAAAATACTTCCAAGAGTCAATCCACATTCCACACTACATACGTTTAGATCTATCCTCCTGGCCTGATGACCTATTTCAAGTATATTTCAATCCTTTATGTTCTACATTCTTCCAATAACAACCCCTCCATAAAAATAATGGCATTTGGCTTTGGTACATGTAGCTGATCTCCTTGCAATTTAGCAAGGGACTGTCCCCTTCCCTTTTCAAATATACATTTTGCAGTGATAAACAGGCAAGATGCGATTAGATTGCTATAAATATACCATCAGAACTTTCTAACTGTCTTCATGACCGGACTCAATTTCACGCCATAACAATGTGCCTATGTGTGCATTTACAGTATTAGAAGTACATGTACTTTTCACTTGTGTAGAGGCACATATAGTAGTAAATACGTTTCTCTGTATCTGTATTCTGTGAATATAGAGCCATTTCAACAACTATGCTGGTAGTTGTGTTTTTTAACAAGGATAATACGGTTTATGCAGCTGAAACAAACAGCAATGGTGTCAACCACCTTTCCAATTAACATGTCAATGTGGTTACACCATAGAAAAACTAGACGAGCCACCGGTAATTTTTTGTTTGCCATTTATTGTTCCTCATTTGAAAGTACAGTCATGTGAAACCAAAATTCCAGGAAGAGTATCAAGAATTATATCGTTCTGAATTCTGATACATATCAATGCAGCATGGTCACATTGATTTTCAGTGTAAAAAGAGCTAAAATCCTCCATTCTGTATACATTTTTTTTTTTAATGTTTCCCTTTTAGTGCCATGGGGGGGGGGGGGGGGGGGGGGGGGAGCTTGGCTAAAGCCAGGGTAAAAGTAGTACTTTGTGGGCATCTTGAATATCCCTTGGATGGATATGAGTGTAATTTAAGTGCGGCTTTTATTGGTACACAATTTTCAATATGTTTCACTCAGATGCTCCAGTATAAAACATTTTCCTACATTACTTTTACACAAGAGTCTTTGTATAAAATATTGTGGTCTTCCTTATAGAACTTTGGAGGGGGAGGTGGAGGGGGGAGGTGGAGGGGGGAGGTGGAGGGGGGAGGTGGAGGGGGGAGGTGGAGGGGGGAGGTGGAGGGGGGAGGTGGAGGGGGAGGTGGAGGGGGGAGGGGGAGCAAGATTTACATAAATTTGACTTACCTTATTAGTTGTGTATGAATCCCAGACTATCAATTTGCCATCCTGTGACGCACTCACTAGGTTTCTGCTTAGAAAATAGAATAAAAACCAGATACGTTCTCATTAACTACATGTACATTCAATACAGTAATATATGTAATTGATCACATTGTGAAACTTCTACATCCTGTTTTGGCCCATGGCCCCATTATATGCTTTACTGTAAAAATGATAGCTTAACCAAGCTTTCTATTTTCTAATGCCTCTTAATAACATAATCACAACTGCCCTACCATTGTGCTTTCCATTTCCTCTCTCTAAACCATGATAGCGTGAGGCGGAGCTTTTCAAAAGCAGACTAGTTGTTAAACCTTGCCTTACTTAATCCATAGAATGGCTGGTTCATGTGCCAACATTACCAAGAAGTTCCACAACATAAGGAGGTAGAAACTCATGTCCACGGATTAGTGTTTAGCGTCCTTTTGAGAATATGAGACAATACTTCTAAAAACTATAGACAATGATAAACAATGAATTAAAATGAAGTGACCCATGAAAGGTTGATGAATGATTGAGGGATGAATGAGGGGTGCTACCAAAATGATATAATTTTTGTGATTGTCCAACTGTGCATTCGAGCCGATTGAAATAATAAAATAACTGCATGACTTTCAAAGCCCCCTATACTGTTTCCTTTCCTTTTTTGTGTACGGGGGGAGGGGGGGGGGCTCAAAGTCAAATCGATTTCAGTTCTCTGTTGAATAAATATCTTTCCAGAATTTCAAACATGGAAATCAACTCCCATTTTCTTTTTCTGTATTTAATTAAGTGATAGATGTGCAAAGATATCCTATTTATATCATCTATCTTCTATATAATTAACAAATAAACATGGATAAAAACCCAGAGGTGGAAAGTACAAGGGATTTTTATATTCACAATTTGCTATGTGGTTAAGTGTAGTTATAATAATTATACTAAACCCACATCATGCATACCAAATCAACATATTAAAAACACCAAACTTTAAAAAAGTTAAGCCCCAAAAGCCAATCAGTTGAACAAAATGTTAGTCATTACAAAGATAAATAATCCTATACAGGTAACTACCAGCAATATACAAAACTGCCATGTCTCCACAAACATTAGCCTAATAACAACATTTAAAATGTACATCAAGATTGCAGGGACTAAAAGGGACCCATCATAAAAATATAAATAAATGAGTTATGTGGGTTGTGGTTCTTTGCTCACACCCTGCAGTGTGTACATTCAAAATATCAATCCTAAATGTTACTGCTGTAAAGAAAAAGTGTATTGCGAATACTACACTCAAATAAATGGCAAAATAGACTTGGTAAACTAAAAGTGACCAAAGTAGACTAGTTGATGTACTCAACATATCCAATAGCATAAATTGTAGGGTGCATGGAACTTTACCTGTACTTCAATGCATAGCCTTGATGCAATATAACTTCTTCACATACATGTAATGCTCTTTATTTGTCAACAATTGAAAGGACTCACTTTGATTGGAGAAAGATTGTGTTTTAATCAGACTGAAAGTATTTTAATTCATTCATTAATTTCATTTTATCTCATTTTATCTATTAATTTAGTTTTATAATGATTTTTTGTGTGTGGAGCTTTTGAGAATGGGGAGAGAGCTTTTCCTTCAAAATGTAGAAAGTTCAAAATATTGACTACACACAAGACCACAGACACCACAGTAATACTATATGTACTGGTACATGTACATCACTAAAAATATGGGGCACAATTTATCATATACATTTACCAGGAATTATCCTGCAGCAAAAGATGCCAAGGCATGTATAATAAATAAAACCTCTTCATCTAATCAAGAGTACCATGAATTACCTTTTAAATCCCCTCCCCCTTGTTTTTTTTAATTTGCTTTTACCGCAAGCATAAATCTACACATTTGGTTAAAAGTATGGAAAATAGAAGGGGGAAAAATCCCAGTTTGAAACAAAAAGTGATCAATTTTTGCAATATTTAGTATTATATACATTTGATATTATCAATGTATCATTTTATTAGGTAATTTCTCAAGATCAATAAAAAATCTGTTCACAGTCAGGATGCAACACCCAAAACGCCATTCTATGTTGATCAGTATTTCAACGCCTCCTTCGCTAAATATCCCTGTACACTACCTTGATTAAAAATGTTAATAAAATCATCCTAAAATACTGGTATATACAGTACGCATACGGTGCTACTTGATCCTGAAATAATAATAGATGAATACAAATTCACTAATTAGCATTGCTCTTTTGAACCAATCTAATTAATGTAGGAAGAATCTTTTATAACTGAGTGCACACTAATGCCAAGAGCGCAAAAATACAGGTACTCTAATCTATATAGTCAAAGTGGATCTCGTCTTTGTAGAAATTTAGTGAGCAGTATTACACTGCACACCTACACATGAGTATGACCATAATTTTTTACATGTACATTTAGTAAAAAAAAATAAAGTCATAGGAAATATCTTATAATTTACATACATGTAAATTCAACATTGGAAAAGCTTTGTTAAGATTAATATAGCCTCCACACAAATTAGAAATGCTTCAGTAGATAGAAAGTCACATGATTAGCTAACCCCACATGCAAAACCTGCCACCTCATTCATACACTTTACATGTATCTCCACCATTTCATGACAATACAGCTACATGTACAGAGGTTTTTAGTTACTACATCTCTATGGAAAGGTTTGGTAAAGGTAAAGTTACAGGTATGAAATACCCAAATTATAAAAGCAAGAAAATGTAGGGGGAAAATAAATGCGCTCTACTCTACAAGTAAATATATAATCAAATGGAAAATAATACAACATTTACACAGATTTTTTACTACTAGAAAAGAAAGTATAACCACGGCCAAGCAAGAAAGATAGGATAAAGGTTTCTAAAAGTTAGGTGCTATACACAACAGTATCGGTTTCCCATAATTAGATTCCATTATCAAGTTTTAATTAATAGCACCTACATAGCAACTAGATAGAAAAATAGGCAATAATACATGTAAGCCACACTTGGGCATAGTAAACTGGAGGGCGTTTCACAGAACTTGTCATCAGTGACAAATGAGTATGACAGTTTTTGTTATAAGCTACTGAAATCCTTGCTTCTGATTGGTTATCGGCAGATTTGTCACTGATTTTTGTCATTTGTCATTGAAAGAAGGCTTTGTGAAACGGGTCCCTAGACAGTTCAACAATCAGATTACATAGAATACATGTTAAAGAGGCCACTCAAAGCTACAGTAAGAACGAAAAACAAAGGAAACGAAAGCCACACTAAGATAGAAGTATGTAAAGTTGCGTTTTGTATCACGCTTTGCCCTCCTTACCTTGCACTATTATTTAGAAGATAATAATCCAATAGTTCCAGATACATACAAAGGGTGGAAGAGAAAGACAACAATCATGAATAACTTAGGCTTGGATTGTGCGACAGCCTTAGTGGGGGGCATGTGTTATATAAATGTCTTTTGGAAGTATCTTTAAAATGTTGCTGCATCTACTACACATTTGTACCTGTTCTTTTATTTCTAATTATGCAAAAACATATTTGGAATGATGCACGTAAAAGACAGTTTATGATTTCGTGAAAAACAAGAAAAACGGGGAGAGAAAACAGAGTGAAAATTTAGAATGTAGATGCATCTCACACCTACTTAATGTAAATGTGTACAATCTTGTACATGTACAAGTTTACTTGATTGTAAAATGCTCTAAAATGTAATGTTTTGCTTCCAAATGACATTAGCACAGTTTCAACTTTCCAGTAAACTTAATGTTGAAAAAAGAGAGGTATACATATAACTGACACCATCTGTGAAGTCCAGGGAATCTGCTGCATGTGGGCAATGTCAATTATTGTCATCATTATTTGAACATAAATCCAAGTCTAAGCAAAAATATATATACACTGTACATGTGTATATCAATTAAAAAAAAAAGTGGAATTAGAAAACAATTACATGAACACTGTAGATCTCTATATTTCCAAGTTGTCACACCATATCATAACAAATGTTATACTGGTTATTAATTTGTTTTCCCCTTCCATCTCTTTTTTGGGGGTATCTAAATTTGTTTCTTACAGTGAGAATATGATACTGTAGGATTCACACAATGCCAATGAATAGGGACATGTGATGATATGGATGATACAATGGACTGAAGCTAGCAGGCATATTTGCATTGATATTTCCTGTACCAGTCAGGTACATGGCACAAAAAGTAAAGGCTACCTTTAGCAAATATGCACTGTACCTGCTTTGCAATGTGTTGTAATTATTCAAATTCAAAGATATGACTGTACAGGGACATGAAACCCGGAATAACTCCTTTATAGCATGCATACATCTAACTGACATGTAAGTCTGCATTCCAAACTGTAGCTGCCCCTCCCCCCCCCCCCCCCCCCCCCCCCCCCCCAATTAAAAAAAAAATTGCTATTTATAGAAGTGCAATTAGCATATCGAGCATAATATGCTTCTACATTGCATGAGAGAGAAAACAGAATATTTAAAAAAATATTTGGCTTAGTTTAGCATGAGCCACGTGTATACATATGTACCAATGTAGTGGTAAAAATAGACATTTATAAAAACATTCTCTTTGCACGCAAAAGAAATTTTTCTGTAGTAAGTGCAATTTGGAATTTGATTTGACGAGAACTTCCTTCTTCCAATTAATGTTCAACAGTGAATATACACCAGTTTCACAGATTTGTTTCAAAGCAATAAAGCTGACATTCAGGTTTCCCATAAATATTGCCTGTCATTCACATTGACAACCTGAAAACAGAATGGGAGCAATGTAGTGGTAAAAATAGACATTTATAAAAACATTCTCTTTGCATGCAAAGAAATTTTTCTGTAGTAAGTGCAATTTGGAATTTGATTTGACGAGAACTTCCTTCTTCCAATTAATGTTCAACAGTGAATATACACCAGTTTCACAGATTTGTTTCAAAGCAATAAAGCTGACATTCAGGTTTCCCATAAATATTGCCTGTCATTCACATTGACAACCTGAAAACAGAATGGGAGCAATGAATTTTAGCACATTTTAGTTAATACTTTTGCATTTTTGTTTGTTTGTATGGATGTAAAGATTTCCTCCTTTTATAGTATGATAAGGAGTAGCTTCTATTGCACAAGCAAAATTTATATTTTCTTCATACCATTCTCCTTTATAACGGAACTAATTTTGGGAGGATAAAAATCCAGTGGTTTCATACGAAAGCATACTTAAAGGTTGTTTCCTATTTTTAAATTAAGAGTAAAATGCTGTATCTTTCCTTGATAGAAACTCTCCCAAATCTATCAACTTAATAACTTGTTCGTGGCAGAATTATGGAAATCCCTTGGAAAATGAATTTTGTTCATCTCCCTTTCTCTTTTCTCACCCTGAAAAACTTATTTCTCCAAACTTTATGAGGTGATCCACATTTTCTCATTTCAAAGAATATCTGGGCAAAAGACTTGAGCTTGCAGTAAATATGGCCAAATACCTCCACCTCATTTTGCATAAAAGCTGCCTTGTCTATAAATGTACATATGCAATTTAGCATATTTATCTGAGTTTGAATGGTTAGTGAATGAAAAGGGGCTTTTGCAGCTTTGAAAGAATGCCATGCATGGCGATTCTCGTCGACTAAAACCAAAATAAATTTGGTTAGTTAGACATCATGGGGCGGGCGCCTTGTATATAATCATACCTTGAATCTGTACCCCAATGCATGGCGTATATTTTTGCCAAATGACCCCGAAGTGTGCGACGAGTTCTCATTTGAATTCTTCCAACTGGATCCATATTCTGTGTGACTTGCATCAATGTGGTATCTTGTACAGCCTTCCTGGCATCCTGTACAGAGAGAGAGAAAACAATTTGCGAAAGAAAGGAAGAAACAGTTCATGAGTTGTGTTTACATATATTTCAAAAGCAGAAATACACACAAAAGTCATTTGGAAACACTTGATCGGGAAGGGAAATATTCAGAGAAAATATAGGTACAACAACAACAAGAAAAATCTGAAAAATCTTTAGTACACAGCTGGGGGGGGGGGGGGGATTCAAAATAAAAGTTTATTTCAAACAAAGTAGCACACCGACCTTTAGATGTACCTACATTTTGTACAGGTTCGTTGGTAGGTACATGTATGTACTGTATACCATGACATTTTTCATTAAATATAAATGAAATATTTAAAGAACAAACATCCAAAATAAGTGGTCAGTGAGAATATGATAATCGTGATGGTTTCTTGACATTTTTTTCTATTGGCAAGTTAAGAGTGATTGAGCTTATAAATAGAGATAAACAAATTGATATTTTCAAAAAAGGGAGGACATCCCCTTGTGTATGTTTGTTTAATTGTTTGTTCTGAAGCACATGTGGGTTTGAAACATGTGCATGATAATTACAGGCAAAACAGCTGGCCGTAACTACAGCATCACTTTCATAAAACAACATGTGAGAGTGATCTAAATTTATGTATGAGCCTTGTCCCATGTTGATTTCCAGCAGTGTATTGCTATATTCAACACACATGTTCATGTACATGTACATCCCTTTTCTTCTCAAGTGTTTATTTCATCACATGCCAGTCGCTATATTCGAGTCATTCTTATAGATTATTAAAGACTTGTTATAACCAAGGCAGCATTATTTACAAAATATGTTGTGACAGTGACAAATTATATTGAAAGAAATACTAATTAATAGCTTTCCCCTTTCAGCAAGCAAGTCGGCCAACGATTGGCATTCATCTTGCAAGGCTGTTGCTTGCTGTACGCCGTTACACCAAGTCTAACTGATATTGCCTTTGTCTACAAAGGGAAGGTTGGATGATGATGGGAGGAGGTATACTACTTAGCTACCATGGTGACGCACATCATCCAAGTCCGTTTCTATGTGGTACTGAAATGATGGCAACCAAACAACGCAAATCCACATTGTAATCAGGCATTGTATCGGAAATGTGAAGCATTATGAAATGAAATAGAAGCAGAAGAATAATTGTATTACATCCACATTTAGGAATGCAAATCTAATAATGGATGTTTTGTAAGAGCATTTATTTGACTAATATGCTTTACAGGAGGGATGTATAACTGTATGCCTTTTTTGTTGTTTATATAATCAAATGGAAATTGGACGCAACTTGCTATCGTTGTATAATATAAGAGGACTGCATATATAACATCTTCATGCCTATGAAAAGCAATATATTTCCTTCCCATCAGCCAGCATCACCATGGCTCAACGCATGTGAGAATGGTGTTACTAGGCAACAAAGGCAAAAGAGGATACTCTACGCATGCCGAGATGACTAACCGCACTGTGCACGGTATAATGCAGCTAATTATGTATGCAGAGAACACCTCCCTGTTAAGCTCACACAGCAGCAGCCCTGCTGTAGCTTATGCGGCGGCCGCTGTGCATTGCTCAGCGCACACTACCACCACATCACTACTATACCCTGCACTTTGCTTGCCAGTGTAATGTACATGTAGATGTTCACATGGGCGTAATACACACACGTGAAAAAGCCTTGGCTACTGTACAGGCAGCTAGCTATGGGCTGGCTTTTGCCTACATTGACATCATGTACAGTATGAACGACGTGAATGTATGCCCTTCATGAGATTATTTCAAGGCATTTTTATGTTATCTCCCATTAAAATCTGAGAAAAAGCAAATTGCGGTATAATTGGCATCTAATGAAAGCACAACAATATCCCATTCAAGGCCTTAATAATGACTTGCATAATTGGTATTTTGGTCACCTCCCATGTCATAGCATACTGTGTTAGCTCCATATATTTTGGAGGGTCTTGAAAAAAATGAGCAAATCATTCTATTTTTATTTCTGTATACAGTAGAAGCTTAGCAAGTGCATTTCTGATTCAAATTTATGTGGTATTTTTTTCTTGACATGTACTCAGCAGAATGAACATGGTCTCTAATATATGGCTAATAGAAAAAAGTAGCTCCATTTTTTAAATAGTAAATCTCGACTTCCATAATATATGGCTAATAGGATAGTAGCTCCATTTCTTAAATAGTAAATCTCGACTTCCATCAAGTTGTTAACCCTATATCATTTTTTCTACTTTGCTTCAAAGCAACATGCAGTCTGCTCAATCTCCTTTTATCAGTGTGTAAATGTCATTAAAATGTGTAGCATCATTTTGATTTTCAAGGTAATTTTCTTGCTTAAGTGTCTTGATTCAGTGATATCAGTAAAATTATCTGGTAGTTGGTTCACAAGTCCATGTTCATGGAGACCCTTTGAATGTCAATCAAAACTTGTTTTGATCTACTAATTTAAACATAGGAAAACTAGTTAAGGTAATGCAAAGTTTTGGGAAATTTTGAAAATTGGATGGATAGTAATTCTTCAATTTTTTTTGTATAACTAGAAAATTTAGCCCCTAAAACATTTTTGCTTTCGAGAAATTGAAAATTAGAAAATTTACCGGAGCTCCCGGTAAATTTCAAATAGTGCCTAAGGAAAATCTCAGAATATGTAGTTCCGATATATAATTTCCAAACGGGGGAATAGCAAATCGGTCAATTGTAGTCAAGAAACATCAGTGTTTTAAAGCTAAAGTAATATCAGTCTTGAGAGGGAGCTATGCAACATAAAGAGTTTATTATGTACAATTTCATCACTTTAGACTCGATTTCAACCGCAAGAACGATCAATGAGTATTGTAAAGTTGCATGCTTTCACTATGTTCATTTGAACCAAATTCATGACCCCATACCAAAACTTTGTATTACCTTGAAGGATATTAATTTCATATAGTATAATTATGGCAGGCATTTGCATTGGGACTTGCATGTCGTCGTCATAACCCTACTGTAATGTAAATAAATTACTCAAAGAAATAAGCCAAACTACAGTCTGTATGCAATGATTCTATGCATTACAGACTTATTAACTCATGATTTCTATCAGGGCCACGCCTTATAAAGAGTTGCTATTAATTGCAACTTATCTATGATTGATACAATACCAATCGCAACTAGGTACATGTACATACATGTACATGTAAGAGATAGGAGACTGCAAATTTGCGATTGATTGGAAGACTTGCACTCGATTTGTATCAATTGCAAATCTTTATCAGACAGGGCCCTGCTCTGACAAGTTCGTCGACGGAGACAGGGAATCTCTCTCAATCCTATCTTCTTTTTCCCCCTTTTTCTGTCGACTCCTCCGAAGGAGATTTTGTTGGGGAGAGGGTTCATACATGTACACGGAACACACAAGCAAGAACAGTCCACTTTTAGGTTTACAGGATCTAAATGAGCCAGACAATACATGAAACAGAAAGAGGAACAAAGTCTGTGCAACAACACACATTACACAATGAACAAGTACATGTACATACTACATGTACATGCACAAATATATACAATGAACAAGGAAATATGCACTTTGAATTCACGATTCCTATTGATCATCAGGACTTGTAGGACATGTCCTTGTCAGCTTGTATTTCAGGAAATGCGCAAGAGTTAATGGAAAATTCAGGGTAGTTTGGGGTCTGTCAGAAGCTTCTTGTACATGTACATGTATATATGCAGGTATGATATAAAACCCGCATGTATATACATGTACATTATAAATCTTAACATAAACGATCATTCATGCATAATGCGAATGTGCCATAAGCTGAAGAGGGGAATGTAGTTTTATACATGTCATGAACATGTATGTAACTTTATTACTGGTATTGACTCTCAATAATTTGGGTTTCGGGTGTGTAATCTTCTATTAGTGACTTTGATTTGCATAATCATTTCACTGCATGTATTGCTGTATTTAGATCTGGCCAAACCAGGATATGAATGTGCCCAAAGCCTAAGAGGGAAATGCTGTTTTATATACCCATTATGATCAAGTCTTAATTGTTTGTGTTTCAGTTGTGTGTTTTCTTGTAGTGCAACTTTGATTTGCATAATCATATCACCACATGTATTGCTGTATATGTGTTTTACTCGATTTTCTTGTTCTTCGTTTCTCAATCCTCGGACAGTATACATGTAGCTCTAGTCAAACTAGGATTATTTTCAACAAAAAAAGATGATTTAATATATATTTTCTCGATATTTTCTATTGCAGTTCAGTCAGGCAAAAGTATCTTCGGGCTCAAAAATAAACTCCATTGATATCTTGCCATGCATGCTTAATGTGGCTTTTCATTTCTTCTTTTGCTGCCATTTTTTGCACGTAGTTTATGGTTGAAATCATTGCCATTTGATTCATTGAATTCAAGCAATGCAACCAGGCAAGCAAAATCTATTCTTATTCACATATTTTTCTTCCACTGAAACATACCACTCGCGAGAGAACGGTATATGAATGACGTCACATAAACGTGAGGAAGAAGAAGAAGACAAAGCACTATGATGACAAATACTAAGCAACAGCACATGCAGGATGAATGGAGTGATAGAGTAATTGATGTGCGTCTGCTTGGCTGGCTGGCTGGCCACCCCTTCGGCTGAGGCCTCCCAGTGCATGGGTACATACATTCATAATCAGCATCCAGGTTTTTCAAGCCGGCTGCACGATGATGATGATGATGATGCCTGAAATAGCTACCGTCTGTGCCTGACTGAAGGCGAGTTTATGTTTCCAAGCTATTTCTGGAGACATGGCAATCTCTGCATTTAACGGCCGTCTTGGACCTTGGCATCACACTACACACAAGTAATATACTGAGCTCGTACCGAATTCATTTTCATTGCTCAAGCGGGTTATCTTGCTTTATTACCACAAGCATTGCCACGCCCACTCCATAAAGACCATTCTACATCCCTGTCACTTCTAAAATGTATTTTTCAGATCGTTTTCCCTTTTTACCTTTTGGACCCTTTCCAATCACTTCCAATTTCTCAGACAAGTCATCTTCTTATGTACAGTTTGTCATAAGTAGAAGATCATTCTTCCCTAATTTTCCCAAAACAATGAATATCTAGGCTGTTACACAATGTTGATTTGGACAAAATTCACATCAAATTGACAAGAAATATATCACAAAAAGAGGACAGATTGAAAAGTTTCCTTGTGAATTCTGCCTACAATCAAGCATACTCTTCCAAGCAAAGAGTTTCATATTGTTTTGTAGAATAAAAAGCCCTTCTTTTTTACTTTGCAAATCCATCAGTCTCAGATTGGTAAACGTTTGGTTTTCACCAACTACTATCATTTTCAGCGACAATTTTTTTGTCACTGACCTTTTTCCAGGTCTCTGATTGGTCAAATTTAGTCAGTGCTGATGGTTGTCTGCGGGCAAATGTTGATGAACCTTCCACCCCCCCCCCCCCAGAACACACAAGTCCACTAACATGCAACAGTACAGTAACATTAAAGCACTATGAACACCAAAGGTCTTGGATTACATGTAAAGTAGCCATACTCACCCTGATTTGGTTTTTTAAGGTCTCCCCTTCATGCCGTAGATGTTCTAATTCAGTCGCCATTGTTACCTAAATAAAATATGAACCTGCAATGAAATGAAGATAAAAAGATAATTCTACATTACTTTTCTACAATATACATTCGCATGTTTTTAAACACATTTCCATTCACAAACTTCACACAAAATCAAACATACCATCATCAAACAGAGCAACACAAATATTTCAGAATGCCCTGATGAACGAGAAAACAACCCTTGCGATTTGTAGGTCACATTGAGAAATGCATGGCAATCTTCACACATGTACAATTTACACATGAAGAATGGGTTGGTTTATTTCAGAACAAAGAGAAGCTTGGTATCATAGTGCATGTGTGCAAGCAGTACACAAGTTGTGTCCATTAAGAATAACAAGTCTCGTTCCAAGAGATCCTGTAATTGAAGAAAGTGCTTCACAATTACAGGTAACCGGAATTCCTTTGCCTAGCCCTTGTGTAGTATCTTTATTTAGAGATCACAGTCAGTGTAACAAAGTAAGCCTGAAATAGACATATAGACAAGAAAAATGTAGTATTTGATATTAAGTCTGGAAAAAAAAAAATAAGTGGGGTATTGATGCCTGAAATCAGCAATAACCTACAAACTAACAGCCCGGCTTTTTATCTGTATTTGCATTATGATAAGTAGTGAATTTATAATTTTAGAATTAAAATGCATTGGGCAGAGTGCAATCAATGACCTTTAACCTACATTCAGACTACTAGAGTTCATTGTGTAGCTATAGGAGAATTGTGTGGGTATACATGTACAACAAGTGCAGTTTTTCTTAGTCTGAATATTGTATAAAGAAACGTTATATACATGTACCTTGCAATGTAACACATGCTTGGGCATCGTTTTGACCGAAACCCCCAAAAGAATACGGCTACCGTTTTAGACTAGACGTCATATTGAACGAAAATCGTATTAACTGGGCGGGGCTAATTGTGAGCACACACAGATGACTTCAAAATTCATTTCTCTGTATGACATATCTTTATACCATCTTGTTTTCTAGTCTGTGCGATACCATTTTTGGCACAACTTTTATGCAGTTTGAAAAGGCTATTGGTCTCTAAGTCTCTCCAGTAGGTTGGACAGATTGTCGTTAGAGTAATGCAAGCTTCTCCTGACAGAATAAAATGACCTTTTGTGCAAAAATTTCTACACCATCAATCTTGCAAAACAGAACAAAAGTATACAGAATCTGAAAGCAACATACATGTAAACCCGAAGAGCTTCAGAGAGCTCTGTTAGATCTTTGAGAGAAAAAGAAAAGTCCAGACAAAGAAATCTTTCCTTTACAATAGAAAAGCCAAATTGAATCTTGCAGATGATATCGATGAATTGCTTTTTTGCACATTTGCAATAGACTTTTTTTACATTTAATATTGAAAACATACATAAACATACCGGATTACCGGTACATGTACACTGTACATGTACATGTAGGTAAGGAAATACACATATTGGTATTGAATTTTCTTGTACACATGCACATAATGATATTCAAAATGGCACACACAAAAGTCACAAATCTGTGATAAAGTGCTTACTACACAATGTATTACCTTTTGATACGATTGAGAACTTTGGCAGAAGTCTAATACAATAAATTTGAGCAAGAATGTCCATAAATCGGCACCACACCTAAATCATATGTGTAGGCATATGATAAATACAATGCAAGTAGAAAAAGCCAGTTCAAACACACACTGCAAATGCTTACGGTAGTAGCATGAGATGCATCCGGGCATGCATGATCTGTGTGTGCTCTGATGCAAGCTCTTCAGCATAGAATGCCCGTGCTCAGTTTAATGCATGAATAGCAAGCAACTGAGCATGTGCAGTACTGTAAACTGTATTCATAGAAGTTACGTTCTAGTCAGGTAGTTGTATGATGTTGCGTGTTTACTTTCAAAATATAAAATTAAAAGTCATTCCATGTCTTAAAACACAAGCCAATCGAATCGTCTGAAAAGTGACATGGGGTAGATTTGGCTGGATTTTTTTTAGTGAATTTAAATGAAAAATAAATTTAAAAACCCTGAAGTTTTAGTCCTACGGGCCAACAGGTTTTAATGTCGTAGCAAGTTCTTCTCATGATTTTGGTCAAAACATGGACAGATGTTTTAGCTTTTATATTACCTTGGCTATGTAACCACATGCATTAATTGTGTAAAGCCTTATAATTTTGTCAGAAGTTACCATAAACACAACTAAAACCAAAGACCCACCTCTGGAGTGGTTAAACATTACCCAATTTAAAGGGCAATCCTACCCTTGTAATAACTTTTTTTTGGTATGGTAGCAGAACAATAAGAGAATCAGGAATAGTTTGAAATATGAGATCACTAAATCCATGCACATCTCATATTAGCAATTTGGTCAGTGGATTGTGACATACATTTAGCCATGGGACAACTCTCCCGTTTTTCATGTATACAAATATCCTTAATTTGTCTTTTTCTCTTAAATGCCTTCTCACTTGGGGGACTTCTCAAAATATATTACGGATATCAAATTATTGTAGGTCCTTTAACCCTTTGAACCCGAATCGCTGAGCATATTTTTTATTATATTTTATCATACATGTAGCAATGCTCATTGCATAGTGCACCCATCATTCCAAAAAATCCTTTTGCTGTCTAGCATTGTTAATTATTCAGGTGACGTTGCCTGGATAACATCTAGAGAAAGATGTCACGTGCATTGGTTATTACACAGTTCTAAGAAAATTACTGATACTATTTTTTTAGACTTCATTAATTATAAAAGTGAAAAATCAACTTCTTCCTAACTTTAAAGAGAAAGCGTGACAGCAATTTTTCAATCCACTTTAAAAAAAGATGTAGTTACAATTTTATGGTAAATATGCATATTGCATTTCCAGATTCTATGATCTCCTATTCAAGGTTCAGGCAACGGTCAAGAGGTCATTGAACTTTATATTGTTTTGAGTGGACCTGGAATATAATGGCAGATTAAGATTGCTTGTGTAGTTGTCTTTCTCAATATGTCAATAATCAATATCAACAGCTTTTACACAATAGTAACAGAGAAACAGTTGGCAACATGCCTGTGGAATGCAAGACAAAGCGTGAAAACATTAGGTCGATAGGGCAAAAAGATTTCTGAGCCTGAATTATCCTATGAACCTCGTTTGGCCAGTTCGAAGGGGTTAGTTTTTACATGTAAATTGGATGATCTAATGATATCATTCTCTGCTTAGATCATGGATGTTTATTCGAAATTACAATGATTTTTTTTTCTTCTTATACCGACTTTTTTTTGCTGTGCACGGTAATCAGAAGCAGGCTTTCCTACAATAGCACTAAAGGTGAAAAGTTCATGGCGCATTGATTTTCACACATTTTGCACGTTTGGCATGCAACAACAACAAATCAACTCAACTACATGTACATGTAGAAATGTATTCAATTGATAAGCATTTTCTGCTGGTGATGTAAACTAAAATTCTAGGAAAGCTGGAAATATTCTTCAATCAAGGAAACAATACAATTACTCTCTATTGTATAACTTTGGGATATACTGTATGTACAACAAAGTATATATTATACTATGATAACTAGTTCTTGCGGACAAAAATGTAACACAAGATACATGTAGTGCACATACAGTGCAAGATAATGGTATAATAAGATAAAAGTGAGCACTTTTAGTGCCCCAAAATACAACAAAAAATCTTGACTGCCCAAGTGTGAACATAAATTTGGTTGGTTACTATTTGGACATTCTAAAGTACATTGTACATGTAGCCCCACTTGAAAGTCCATTTCAGTATCCACATAGCCATCATTTTTTTTCAGACGAATATAATGATTTTGCCAATACAGTTTTATAGCAGACTGGCCCTATGGCCACTTTTCTAAACTGGAATACTGGCATACAATCATGATACATGTAGAGTGTACCTGTGCAATGACCCACATAAATTTCTGATTTAATAATTAATTTCAAACTAATGATAGAGTATGTAGGTACCTACATGTACATTTAAAATTCAATCAGCTTCCAATGCCATGCAAATTATAAACCCCTACTGATTTTTATCAATAATGAATACAAAATGGAGGTCATTTAAATTTCAAGCAAAAATAGATCTTCCCTTGCTTCCAATCTTTTTGTATGATTCCTTTCATATTTGGTTGTTTGTCATTCGCTAGAAGGTAGTGCTTATATCATTGGCTTCATTGCTTAGGCTTTGGTGTGACGGTGTTTACTTTATTTCAAGCAAAAATGTACCTTTCATCTAACGAGCAATAACAGACATTTATATTTTTCTAATAATTAGACGTTTTGTGATTTGTTCCCACGTTTCGACTATGTTTTTATGTATCCGGTGGAAATTTTCAAACCCATGTAACAACAGACATATTGAACATGTCCACAGGTACATGTACACATGTATTTGAAAGGCCTAAAATTATTTGATTTCAATCAAACATGAGTCATTCTATTTTCTTCACCTCCATTTACATGTACAGGTAGTTATTATAAAAGCTCCCAAATGCTGAGTAATGATGATGTGCTATTTCTGTATAATCATATTCTATGAGCCACTTCGAGGCATTATCTGTGCATGAGCAGGTAAAGGTCATTTGTACAAAGCTGTAAAAAGTCATAAAGATGACTAATGGATACGTGTTGATAAAGTTATGCAATTATTATTCATTTATGTACAAGCAGTACATTATATGATAAACAGGTGGAAATATTCTCTTCAAGGGGAGGGGGAAGGGTATTCAAAATCACCTCCGCTGCTTTAGGAGCGATTATTCCAAAATGAACAAAGTGGGATGTCTATTTGGGAGTCATTTCAAGTGTATCTTTTAACTGTCTTGTTGCAATGCTTCCAATAGACCGGTGCAAAAGTATACCCAGATTCTATGCAACAATGGTGAGAAAGGACAACTCAAAAGCTTGGTAGGGACCTGTCCAACACAGCAATAATTAAGGTACATGTATGCAAATTGCATTCAGACTATTGAAATACAAATAACTGATGACAAATTAGCACAATCCTCTATCATAAGGTTATTGGGCAACCAGGCCCCCCCCCCCCCAAAAAAAACTCCGGGGTCAAAGGTACTGCATGCGTGTTCCCAAAATCTCTGGTATAGGGGTACTTTTTCATGCGACAACGTCTGGCCCGCCATTGACTTTCACACCGGAGAACGGGGGAGGGGTGCTTTCAAAATGAAGGAACATGCATACGCGTACCCTAAATAACACTGAGTGGGGTCAGGTGGGAGGTGGGGATGGGGTGCTGGGTTGGGCAAGAACTTAAGAAATGCTTATAAATTTGAATGTATTTGTTAAAGGTCTATTCATCTACATGTATTAACCCTAATTCAATATTTTCATCATTTGCAATTTCATTGCACGCAATAATTAATTAATGTATTCATATCCTCACTTTTAGTTCTAATATAACACATCATGGATGAATTATAAATAAATACTAGTTTCCTCAAGTGCCTCAAGATAAAACCACAGCCTTCATCAATCATTAATAAGTCAGTTCTTAGTTGCAGTCTGAGCATGAGCAGATAAAGGTCATTGCAGACCAAAATTGTGAAATACACGAGACAAAATGCTGGAAACGTGCTCATGAAAGCAGCCCTGCATGAAAGTTATGTAATCATTATTCATGTATGCACAAACAGTGCACTTCGTGATACACAGTATCAAAGTACAAAGTATTCTTTGAAAAGGGCAAACAAAGGCTATTTATGTACATGTACAATACATGTAGCACCTCCATCACTGTGTCATTTGGGACATGTGCTAACCCTGAACTGGTCTATTATTGTAGTCAGAATGAGAGTTGAAGCCAATGCACACTCTTATGCCCCGTAGACACTTGCCCGTATTTTGGTTTGCGCATAGACACATACTCTTGCGTGCCAATGCGGGAGGATACAGGCGGATGCGGGTCGTGCTTGAAATGCGTGACAGAATTTTCAAAATGTTCAAAATTTTGGCAACGTAGGTGAACACTTTGTGAACTAAACGCACCCTATGCGCTACCTAATCGTGCTAGTGCGCGCTGATGCGTGTCCGTTGGCCTAGAGGCACACATGTTCACGACTAGTAAACGACTACTTTGCTCACAATTTGCGCATTGGCTGCACATACTTCCCGCGCAGTTTTGGCATGCCATGCGCATAGTCTACGAATGCGTGTCCTGGTGGTTACACATTGCGTGAACTATTTGTAAATTTGACGTGACCCTGCGTGCCACTAATTGGCACCTATGGCACGCCATATAGCGGGGCAGTGCGAGACCAAGTGTCAACGAGGCATAAGACTCGGTCACAAATAGGAGACGCATGGAGGATGCACGGCCTGTGCATTAAAAATTTTCAATTTTTGCCAGTGCGTTGTCATGCGTTATTATTCCTTGCCGGCGATAAGGCAGCAGCGCCGCATCCCCAACTTTGACATTTCATAGAGAGAACTTGTAGAACACTCTTTTTTTTTTACAAACTGATACCAAATTCATTAATATTCTTATAAATTTACAAGAAGTTTACCTAACCAAGGGAAACGCTCTCGGCAGTCTAGCCTGCATTACGCAATTCGATATGATGAAAAATTGAGGTTGGAACATTATTTATAGGCAGGGTGGCTCATTAGCCGGCCCCCAAAAATGAAATCCTCTGAATATAATCAGCATTTTGAAGTGATTATTGACCAAGAATCACCAGAAGAATTGTACCGGGATCAATAACTTGAATGAAATATGAACAAATTAATTTTTTTTTAAAATCTTTTATTAATTCTCATATTAAGTTATGAAAACATAATTCAAGTCTACTGACCAAAAATGACCTTTGACCTTGTGACCTGGAATTGTGTCATATGATTTGAGATACTTGATAACCCTTGGGTACAAGTTTCATGGAATTTGAACAAACAATTTTGAAAATATGCTAAAAATTCAAAATCTTGATGTTGATGCCACAACAAAGTCTAAGTTTGTTGACCTTAAATGACCTTTGACCTTAACTTAGTGACCTGAAATTCTCCTCACATGATTGGGGATACTTGATAATCCTATAGTCCAAGTTTCATTGACTAAGAACTTATACTTTAAAAATGATATCAAAAATTCAAAAACTTAACCTTAGGTTAAGTTTTTGATGTTGACGCCGCCGTCACTGGAAAAGCGGTGCCTATGTCTCGCTTTTTGCCACGCAGGCAAGACAAAAATGATCGTAATTTAGCAGATCTTCATCGATTTTAAGCTAGTACTGTATCGCACACAGATTTGGTATCCTACAATACCCCTACCACGATGTGCGGTGTAATACTTTTTTGGCGATGCAATGGTACGGACTTAGATCTAGATCTATCGGCAGATTTTTATTAGAAAAATAAGTTAAGCTTCTTTTTTCGTCTTCATGTCAACTATGCATCATGAAATTCACTATGAATATGATAGACAAAGAAAGCGGACAAAATATACAGTTCCTCAGGTAGACAAAGAAACATCCCTTCACTGCTATTATGTAAAAATGTGTAGAACAGGTGAATATGCATGTGACACCTGTTCTACACATTTTTACATAATAGCAGTGAAGGATGTTCCTTTGTCTACTGGAGGACCTGAATATTTTGTCCGCTTTCTTTGTCCGTCATATTCATAGTGATTGTTGGTAAGTTGTGTGGAGTTATTCTAGAATTGTCCTGTACCATTGTTTAGTCATCCTAGTCCCATATGTTCAAATGTACGTGCTGTTTTGACCGCTGAATTTTGTTGTTGTAGTGTAAAGGCCGCTTTTTGATATTCTTTCTTCCAAAAACACTGTGGCTTTATCTCCAGCAAATACGGTACTCGTTTGTAGAGAGCACTGGACTAACGCTATACATTCGACGTCATTCGCTGTGTGCATCAGGATTTTTTGTGCATGCTCATAAGTGTGCGCGGAGCTCGACGCATGAATGTTAATGCCAAAAGGACGCCAGACCCAGACTTACGCCAAACATACGTTGGGCACACGCCCTGTATACGCGCAATGAGCTAGCAACACACTACACATTCGGTGTCAGCTCGCTAGCTTCTTCCAAATCCTGACAAAAGTCGGGCGCACAACCTTTTCTGATTTTCAATGCGGGGGCCGAGCGTCGTCTATGTGTGACCGGGCCTTAACGAAAAGAAACTGCGTCATGATTACATGAAGATGAAAATTGTGAAATGTTAATTCTTCCTGATTAATAATCCAAAGTGATCACATGAATAGTACTACTAAAATTCCTGGTTACATGATGTATGTTTAGCCTGTTAGGCTACGTGTACAGTACATGTGAATGGGCAGCCATGCCACTAGAAAGACACTGCTATGACTTATTGAAGCTTTGGCCTTTTATCCAAATGGAAGGCTTACAAAATCCAGCAGGTTTAATGGCTCTATGCACATGACCACTTGGAACTCCATGAGAAAGAATTGACATTTTCCTAATGTTATCCAATTGAAATTCCCTTTACAGATCTCAGTTGTAACCTGGTCAAAAGGCAAGTACATGTACATGTAGATGCCTTTCCACCAATCACTTACTGCTACACTGGGTGACCCTCTGACATGCTTAAAAGTTGCAAAGAGCAAGTATTATAGTACACATAAAATTTGACAAGAGCCATGAATATGTGACCTGGGGAGTGTTTCGCAAAGACTAAGATCGACTTAAGTTGGACTCGACTTTAAGTTGGACTCAACTATGGCAGGACGTTCATGCCACTGTTTTTTCTCACCATTTACTGGCATTGGACTCTCATGGAAAATTCAAATTATGGTCCCAAATCTACAGAATTAACATTTTCAGATAGTTGATTATTGAAGAAAAAAATATTCAAAGATCATAACGGTGTGAGAGCGACCAGTGGCATGAAGGGCCTGCCATAGCTACATGTTAGTCCAACTTAAAGTTGATCTTAGTCTTTGTGAAACGACCCCCTGGTCTACCTGCTGAATTCCAAACTCTTTCATGACATATATGCACAATGACATGCAGAGTGTAAATGTGCATGTACTGTACATGTGGTAGTGTAACAGCACAATTACAAACCACTTCCTTGTTCCGACACACTCACTAACTCACCTAATAAAAAAAGAAATGATCAACAGGATGGCCTTGGGATAAAACCAACCTGGACCTGTATGAAATAAAAACAAAAGAGAAAAACAGAAAAGGGAATTATTAGATCATAAAAGGAAAAAACAAAATTAACAGGATGTACATGTACAATATGTAAATGCACATGTGGCAAAAGTACATGTAGTGGACTATCATGCAATTTTTTTCTGATTTTGCATACAGTGCATTGTACTACTGTACATGTACATGTAAATTTCAACAAAAATGTGTACAATGTACATTATTCAAGGAGAAGGGATCACAGCAAAAAATGATACATGGGAGCAGTGAGTGATTTAGCTCTGATACATTACAGTGCAAGCTCTCAAACTTCTCAAAGAGTTCTAATACATTGTAAATGAACAATAAAACATGAATATCATAGGGAGTAAAAATCACTTAATACATCAAATCCTAAAAGAGCTTCAATGAACAGTATAAAGTGTTTTTCACAGTGTATAGCATAATACTAGTGTGTATGTGTGGGAAGTTGATAATCTGGCTGGTTTTTAATTTAACAAACTTCCTTTAATTTCATGATCTCTTTCCCCTACCCGCCCACAAGCCGTAATATAGATGATGTGATTCATGAGTCCATACGCCTAGTCTGAAAAGCGGGCGTACATGCACAAGTACAGATTTAGGATCAAGGCATTATGCCACCCTAGACTTGCAGCAAGTACAGAGATAACGTGGAGGTAGAGATTGTTAGAATTAAATGGGCCAGATTCTGGACTAGATAGAATACACATGCAGTAGTTGTACAGGTGTCTATTCATCAACAATTCTCTGGCTTTCCTCACAAAAACAAACCACACAACACCTTTACATACATTTTTTACAACATAAAATATGTCAAGGAAATGTTCTTTAATATTCAAGTATTATTTTTAGAGGCCATTATCAATATTTACATGTATTTGGTCAGTTACATGTATTACATCAGAAGTCAACTTTAGTGGATGGAGGCCTTGGCTTGAAGGGGGAAATAAATTACAGTACTCATTCCACTTCCATACAATTTTTACAATAAAAAAACAGTAATGGACAAAAGAATTTGAAGCTAAGGAAATAAAGTGACAGTTTAAAAAGTAATCACAGACTGACACCTCTAGCCAGTCTACATGCATGTGTGCATGTAAATTACATTTGGCCTACAGTATGTGTACATGTATTTAAACAAAACATTTACATGTACCTTCAATACACTCCAAAACATACACACATACTGTACCAGTGTCAGAATCGCATGGGCCGCTGGGCAGCCATTGCAGTAGTACAGCACATTGTACACACATTCCTGTGTTGTATTTTCTACCAAAACATCATCCACACAATAGTTTTTTTAAACAATAAAAAAATCATGAGAATTTACACTGTATACAGTAATCTACACTATAATCTGTCCAAAGAAGACAAGGGGTAATCTGGGCGTGATGTCGATGGTAATTTTCAACCTAAAAATTACCCACATAAAGAAATATGGACAAAGGTCATAACACAATCGCCTTTTATGTGCAAAGTTTACACAAACCAGCACAATTTCACCATGAACAGTGTAGCTTATTACAGTACTTCAGCATAAAAGTTACAGACATCATGGTACAGGTCAACAGATTATGTCTACAGACTCTACACAGTGTACTGTATTGCTGTAAACTGAGCCAAAATCAGCCGGTATTCGTGGCGGTTTCAGACTTTGACAGGGTACCAGGAGGGTTCAGAGAGCATTTCAATCGGACTGCATCTTTGTATTTCAACCATTTTTTTAACACACATTCGATTGTAAATGCACTGTAGTACATGTAGTCTTGATCTTATTTATTCTATTGTTTACCTCGTAAATGCTCATTATGATGTTGGGATTTAAATAAAACCCTTAGGAGTTGAAAAAACAGTGTTGCTCATTGTGGGGCTGCTCGCTGGACGAGCAGGTGAAATCGGATTATAAATACTGATTGCAGATCATTGATAAATGATCGAAAAATGATCAGAAGAAAAGATTTTTTTTTTTTTTCTTCAAGTTTTGAGCTATCAAATTCTTTAAAAAACATGCATACATGAAGCTGGGATTATTTTGTCATTTGGAGTTGTTGTAGACCATGTTTGTTGTAAGGCTGTGCACAACTATGTAATGAGGTACCCGAGTACACTTCCAGGCTTACAAGCGAATAGTCGAATATTCGGACGCCATGAATTTTGTAATTTTTTGCCACCACCATACTACTGCAGCAGTATCCCAGGTCCGTTTCTGAAATCTCACGCAATTTTAGTTTGAGTTGCAGTTGAAGGCGCTGATTTAATAATAATAATAATAACAGTAAACAATGCTGTTTTAAAAACCAAAGATGGCAGAATAATCCATTTTCCTCCGAGTCCAAACAGAAATCCGGACATTTGTCTGAGTGGTGATTTTAACAGTGATTGAGTTGGGAAACATTTTTACCAACGGTACCATGCCGGCGGCCGGCGCTCTCCCTGGCACGGGTAACCGTCGGCCTGGACAGTGCCAGGTGACCAGGATTTTTTTTTTTTTTTTTTCCGGCCGAATATTCGATTACTTGTCGCAGCCCTAGTTTGTTGAAATTAAGGGGGGTGTAGGATGACGAGACTACGTGTCTTTCCCGTGACCTGACTCAAGGCCCATCAGATCACTCACCCATATCATGCAGCTCACTCACGCCAGAATATTGACTCACCACTCAAAACTAGCATATCCAAATTTCTGTTTGGACTCAAATTTCTCTGTAATCTTTAGTTTTAAAAACAACATTGTTACTTTTATTTGTGACAAGTTCACAAGCACTTCAACTGCGCCTCCTAATAAATTAAAGTCCTTCCCTGCATGGCTTGGATTTCCGAACGTACCATACAGAACGCTGAAATAACACGCTATCTGATCTAGCTTGCTGGCTTGCTGCCTTCGGTGTCGGCAAAAAAGCAAAACATAAACAATTTTTTTTTGGGGGGGGGGTTGCTTTTTGGTCTTGGTCCTAAAAATAGGGTGCGTCTTATACACGCAGATTTACGGTACGCAAAACGGAAGCGTGAGGAAAACTTTGGTTTGTTTCGCGAACACTAGCGCACCCTGACCGTTAATCAAGTCCATTCATTTACGTGCTGTTGTCCTAAAGAAGTCGCAATTGGCGTTAACCAGTATTTGACATGCTACATCCCCTTTAAGTAAGCCGGAGTCAAAACATTAACCGATGATTAAATGACCGCAATCATCAAAACTGTTTAGCATTTCTCGCTCCATTTAACCATTATTTTAGTGCAGTTTGTTAAATGCATGTTCTTTTTGTCCTTAATATTTTGTTTTATTTTGATTATATTTTAATCCGTCTCATCGGCACCGAAAAGCGCATTGACGCCGATTCATTTCCTTGTTTCCATTGTTTGTTAGTGTTGCATGAGTCTTTTGTTAGTGTTGCACGAGTGACGAGTCTTATTTTAGTTTGTCCTTAGTAATTTTAATTATTGTGATAGGCACGAGATGATGCCGATCAGTTTATTATTGCGAATTTATTTTCACGTTTCGTTCAACAGTTTATTGCAGTTTGTTATTGTCACATAAATCCTGTTATGAATCTAATTATTATTTTCAGATTTCCGTATTGGCATAAGTCCTGCCACTAATTATTATTTTTGGATAAATTTCTGTATCGGCTACGATGTCTCGCCTCTAATTATTAATTTAAAAGTTTTGTGGCGGCAATGATTTCTCGCCACTAACTATTATTCTCGGATCTCTGTATGGGCAACAAATTCTCGCCACCATATATTATTTTCAGGTCCCTGTATCGGCTATGATGTCTCGCAAATAATTATTGTTTTCAGATCTCTGTATCAGTAAAGAAATTTCGCCACTAATTATTATTTTCCGGTCCCCGTATCGGCTTAATGTCTCATCAATAGTTATTGTTTTCAGATCTCCGTATCGGCAAACAAATTTCGCCATTAATTAATATTTTCGGGACTCCGTATCGGCTATGATGTCTCGCCAATAATTTTTTTTTTAAAGATCTGTGTAACGGCAACAAAGTCTCACCACTAATTATGTTCGCGATCGTGCGTGCTGGAATTGATTTCTAGAGGTGTCACCAACTACTAAAAAACAACTGTAATCAGATACATAACCTGGACAAAAAATTAGACAATCGTCGAAGAAATTTGAGGAGTTTGACTGGGTACATTTTTATCGAAAGAGGACTGCTGCACTAAGCACAATGCTTGAATCCATTTTTATACTGCTTTTTACTGCAGAGGGCAGTAGTGTGGATTCTAGCCTTGTGATCAACATAAACAGTACAAGTGAACATACCTTGCAGCAGGCCCATTCCAATAAAAAAAATGTACATGTACTTGTACCTAGAAGCTCCTCAAATATCACTATTTCTGTGGCTTTCCTTGGACAACTATTGTATTCTTCATCCAATTTATGTATCGGCTTACGGTAATTTTTAGTAGTTGTATTTCTAATTGTGCTCTCGTATTTATGAATTCTTGGTACGATCATGTATATTCGTTTGGGTTTGTTTTGGCACACAATCACATAACAGCTAATGAAGTGTATAGCACATTCCTTTGTGACTAGTCCGAACTTGCCTTGCAACAGCTATCAGTATCATAACTTGTTGTGATTGCTGAGTAATTTTCAGCTCTTAAAAGAAGCATGCAGTGTTTAGAATGAGAGAAAAATATTATTTTGTTTTAAAAAAATATTCGATCTGTATGTTATCAAGAATGTTATAAAAAGCTGTTTTATTATTTTAACATTAATGTCTTTTTAACCTGATTTATTCATCCTATAGAGCCCCGACAGTAGCTACATGTACATACTTGCCAACATTTGAAATTCAGAAAACGGAACGCACATCATTGTGCTAGTGCGACGCGTGCACGCTGTGCGATGCCTATGACTGAGGGATTGTGCATGGCACTCTATGAGCACTCTACGCACACGCAGGCTCATTATTACACGCGGCAAATAGACATCAGCATGGCGCGCAACAAGCATGCTGCACGCATCTTGCGCAATAAAATCCTTCCAGCACTCATCGGATCGAAACTATGGAAAGCCAACTGGTATTTATACTACATGAATAATTCCCCCAAATAGGAACGTTCCATTTTTCATGGCTCTAAAAACATAAAAAACGTAACAGTTCCGTTACAAACGGAACGGTTGGCAAGTGTGCATTTCGCTTGCTTGCTGCGCTGGCAACAACAACCCCATGCCGCAAACAGCAAACATTCAGAACTGCTTTGCAACCCATATTTATAACGGCAGTTCGGATTGATTCAGGATGAGCTAGAATACGAATTACAAATTAGTAAAAATAGTTTTAAGGTGGATGAATTTTTGTGGTGTGCAAGACTGCGGTTTCTTTTCATTATTTTCATTGGAGCGTCGGTTTCCCAAAAATTTAAACCGGGACCTGATAGCGACGGTCGGGATTCAATGTGTCCGACCATACCAACTCAGGCATTAGGTAAAGCTGTTATAAAATGGACTTCATGTGCATCTATCTACATGTACTGTACATGTACATGCATGCAAAAACACACAACCATTGGAACAGGATTTCCCCCATATGATATCAAAAGTTGGCTGCGGTGGAAGCAGGGAACGGGAAGCAACCGATAAGTAAACATTCCAGAAAAATCAAACAAGGAAGCTTTAATTTTTGAAGGTCAATATCACTGATATTGAGAATCTCAAATTTAGTTGTCAAAAGAAAGTTTTGTTCGAAAAGTAAAATTTCATTTGTCATTCAATTTCATAGTTAACTGGTCAACATGTACATGTACATGTACAGTATTTGTAACATACATGTAGCCACATTCATTTAGTACAGAGCTGCCAACCCCATTATCCCCAAAAAGTCTAATTTTTAAAATAAAAATTCTGTTTTTTGATCGATAAGTACTTTTTCTTTTAGACTGTGTTCGTCGACATTGAAGATTTATGCACGAGTTCATTTTACAAACATTTTGTTGAATATGCAAGAGTTTGTCATGAATTCTCGTTTAAAGGTACTATGTCCCTTTTGCAGCCAACCTCAAATGCTGTAGAACTTTGCAGGAATTATGAATATGTCATGTATGTCCTATCTGTGAAACTTAAACGTTAGCAGTGTCCTCATATTAAAATTATGCAAGGAAACCCGTTTACTTGCTAGACTTCACTGTCAGACACTATTGAGTGACTGACTGGCTTTTTTCTTCTTTGGTGATAACATACATGAGAAGAGTTGTAAAGGGTACATGAGCATTTGTCTACATCAATAACCCACTTCTTGTGATGGCCAAGATTAAACTGATTGAATCTTTGCGCAGCATAAAACGTATGACCATTCGGTACAATTGTCTGAAAATCAAGACTATTACTTTTGGGCTCTATAGCCCTAAAGTCGATTTGACAACTAATAGTCATTATTTTCCCACTTGAAGACATTTTTAAGCCCTACCTTTTTTAGGGAAGTTCTAAATTAGTATTATCTTTCAAATGCAGTTGGAATTTAACTTTTTCATTTTTTTGGCCTGCAAATGGGACATAGTACCTTTAAAGAACCAATGTAATGGTTGAATATATGCTTCAATGAACATCCACAAATTGCCGATGTGAGAGGCTTGTAGGATACATTACAGTAGAAAATGGGGAATTTGGCCATTGAAAATGGCACACACAAAAAATACACAAGCACATTCAAAAATTTGTTTTGTATTTTTTTTTTTTTTTTTTTTGTGGAAAATCATATTTTATTGGAAAAAAAAATTGTAACGAAATACGATAAAAACGTACGAGTCGGCAGCTCAGTTTGCATCACACCTGCCATTCCAAAAATGCCCTTTTAATCCGGTGTCATACAAAAGAGAAGTTGTGGAATGGTACAGTGTAGATGTCATGCACAATGGGCATTGTCATGTAATTTCTTGAGTTGATCAAACCAAAACGTGAAAACTGTTTGCCAACTTTACACAAATCATACATTTTAAATCTTCTATATCTTTGAGGTTTACATTAAAAAAATTCCAAAATTTCATCTCAAATCACTATGAACCACACAGTGAATTTCCAGGTCAAATCAAAGGCCATCGGGTTACTGAACTTTTTAGTTTGGCGTGGATAATATAATGACAAGATTTTTCATGTGGGTATGGGTGAATGAATTTTTCTTTTCCTTTAGTTACAACTTAAAACTTAACTTTACAGTAGGCCTTGGTATTTGAGGCTCATTATCAAAACATTTCAGAGCAAAATATTTTGGGTGCTAGTCCCCCCTTTAAGCTTTGTTAAGAACTGCTCTCCTACATGTTTTAATGAGGTACAAAGAGCATTGTTAATTTGAGGGTTTGTCACCATTGCATGATGACATCCTAATTCCTAAACAAAGATGCACCCCCTCCCCTACACACTGTAGCCTACATGAATGCAATTAGCATTTTGCAGTGTGCGAGTAGTAGGCCTAATTAGTGTTTTTCGTAATCTTTTTATAGCTTGGATATGTGCAGTTGACAGATTTGACAGGTCTTGGAATTCTGTTTTATCATTTTTGCTTGTTTCTTTTCATTGGTAGGTCTCTGTTGAACAAAGTGAACCACCCTGACATGTTCCATATTTGTCAGAGTAAAAAAAAAATCCAATTCTTTTATTTTTTGTACAGAGCTCTTTGTCTCATTTGCAATCCAAAATGTTATGTCTTCCTTTGTTTCAAATTTAGTTTTCAGAAATAAGTCTGACTTTGGCTGCTGAATTTACTCAGCATTTCTATTCAGAAAGGGAGGGTGTATGTTTTTGTTTGGATTTTACAAAATCATGTACTGTATTGTATTGAGATTCTGCACCCTAACTAAAGCGTTACATGTATCTCAATGACTGCCCCTTTTAAAATGTCTTCCGTCTTAGAAACCTTAAACAAGTGTCACAATGTTCTCACTCACACTCACACATCCAAATAAAAAACAAACAACAAAAGTAAACAAGAGAAGCTCATCAATATGCAATTTATTCATCTACTTACAAATAAGAAAAAAGATTTACATTTATCAAAATATTAGAACAGGGTTTTTAAAGTATGCAAATGGATGAGAGCGGGAATGCATATCATAATAATGAAATATCATGTATAAATGTAAAATCCTGTAGTAGCATAATTTTGAAATTAAGTAGTAAAATCAAATGGGTAACAAAATCAAATTATTCGGATTTGCTTACACAAGAAGCAGATTAAAATATTCTAGGGCGATGTGCGTACTATTTTGTTTTTAGTGTGATTGCAAAGAAAAGGGTTCACAAGCATAATAAATATCAAACAGGATCTCTTTTCAAAATTTTAAATTTTAACACATTTTGTTGTCACTGCTGTTTATGTGACAGGTCACAGGACTGCAAACATTCATGCACTGACTGTCTGTACAATATCTACTAACCTCCTAAACAAGCATTAGGTTTCATGATACACTTCGATACATTTAATAAATTGAATATGGACTTTAGTAAATAAAGCTCATATGAATTTTTCAGACATATTCAATACAGAATCTGTATTCTACACATTTACATGAAAACTGTTCATGACACTTGGCAGCCATTTTGAAATAGTTCACCGGTGGATACACAATTTTGTGTAAGCCAATAAAAATAAATGAGAGGTCTTGTCAAGCTAAAGAAAAGGATCTCACATTTGATGGAACACAAAATGAAATAAATTTGCAAATATAACCACAATGCACGTAAACATGATACAGTTTGCAAGGTTACTACCGCCTCTGGTCCAGTCATACACAATTGCACACACACCACTCATGCACACAGATAACATTCAGAGTCATTACATCCCACAATACTGCCTAAATACAGACAAATTTTAGCTGAGATACCCCTGCACATGAATTTATTTGATACAAGCATCAAACTATGTCTCATACCGAATAGCTGCAGATGTGTATAATCCAAATAGCACTGATGATAAACCGATGCCTCCCAAAACACGGAACTTCCACAGGCCTGCTACATTGACATGTATGTCCTCCCTTGTCTACGGTTAGCTGGCGGGCTATGGGGCCAGTGTACATCGCACTGCATAGTGACAGTACACCTTCACATACTCAATATACACTTCCCACAGGATAATGTATGTATCAATTGACAATGTCTACCGTTCAAAATAACCCTTAAAATTATGGTTCCGTACAATTTTATGAAAATTTAAAAGATGGCACTTACCTGTATATAGTTTTTATATACACCGTAGCTTCCCTAGTAATATACCGGCCAAATTCATGCGAATAATCGAAGATTTCTCCACGAAAATGTATTCCAAAATTCAGTGATAAGGCCGAAACATAGGGAGTGGTACATCTATGCCCTGCCTTCTATCGCGGGAAACCCGTCTGGATCTGTACCCTCGAATGTAACACAGTGTGCGCATGCGTGAACCGATGTGAAAAGTACTGCGGTACATTGGCGTACGGTAATGTTATGGGATGATCTCCGTGAATAGAAAGAGATGAAACATAATTATATGTACTCAAAGAGGTGAAATCAATGAAGATTTACAAGAAATAAATGAAATGTAGACATCTTTCGTACTTCTTCATAAAAGGAGGGCAAAGCAATGAATTGCAGTGATAACTCACAAACAGCAAGTCGTTTCAAACGGCCAACGTCCTATCCTATCTACCCCTGTATCTTACGAACTTATTTGGTTTCTTAAATTAGAAATACTCAAGAAAAGTTTTTTGTATCCATTGGTTATTGTTGTTTTTATTATAAGTGTTTACCTATTTTATATATAACTATTAGGATATCAAGTTGCATTCTCATCACCCTTTCTCTGCTGATGTATGAATACCCCCATTATATAATGTAAATATATTTATTTACCACATATTTACCACAGGATATATATTATAGGCAATTCTTATTTCTTGGACCCGTGTATTGTAAGTCATTATTTAGAAATCATTCTTGATTTTTTAGTTCTTTGCCTTTAATAAAAAGTGAACATATTATAACAATATAATCGATGTTTTTGTTTTTGTTATCACCTGCGTAGAAACAGAGGGTACACGCCCACCCTTACAAGAAAGAGAGAGAGAGAGAGAGAGAGAGAGAGAGAGAGAGAGAGATGAAGAAGAAGAAGGACATGGTGAATGAAGAAAATAGAAGGAGCAGAGATTGGAAATATTATACGAATCCCTGCACGAATCCCATAGTTCGCTCCCGAGCTCGTTCGCTTTACGCTCTCTTTGATATTTGTGATGTTTTGTTTTGTTTTGAATATCGATGGTGATTGGTGATCCCATTTATATAACAACAAAAAAAATGAAGCCCCCATCTGTGCCTTATACTCATCATATGTGCAAAGTTCTGTAAGAAAATGTGAACTTCGCGATAGAAGTATAAATCACAATATGATTGAGATGAGCTGGACCTGGACGCTATATATATATTATATAATAATGTCGATTTGTCACCAACAAAGGATAAGGTCCATTTTCTCCAGCCATTTTCTAGATAAGGAGGCAAAAGAAAATGTTGGCTGTAAAACATTTTTACAATGACAACTGTGAAAGTCGCAACACTCCTAATGCCCTGACGACGAACCTGCAGCCGGTCAAATTAGTGCGGTAGACTGGCGTAGCGATGGCATATCCATAAAAGAGGGATGGGGGGAGGAGGAGCGACCCTATACTATTAAAGTACATAACACACGAGAGAATCGGGATCTAGCCGTCTCTCGAGCTCTCCTCCTCCTCCTCCTCCTCCTCCTCCTCCTCCTCCTCCTCCTCTTCCCCTCTCCTTCTCCCTCTCCCTCCCCCCCTCTCTCTCTCTCTCTCTCTCTCTCTCGCGCGCGCTCTCTCTCTCTCTCTCTCTCTATCTCTTCCTCTCTCTCCCTACCCCCTCTCTCTCTCTCTCTCTCTCTCTATATATATATATATATCTTTCTCTCTGTGTCTCTCCCTGCCCCCTCACCCCCTCACCCTTCTCTCTCTCTCTCTCTCTCTCTCTCTCTCTCTCTATCTATCTATCTCTCTCTTTATTTTTCGCCATTAGATTTTGGGCACATTTTGATGGCACATGCGCCCCACAGTCAAAACATTCTGCTTACAGGTGTATCTCCTCTCTTTCTCCATGCAGGATTAGCTAGTTTTATCAAAGAGAAACTTTGGTTTTATTCCATGAACTTGAAAACCCTGAAAGACAAATTTATACATTTGCCAAGACTTTCTCGAAAATAGAAGAGAAATTATACAACAACAATTAAACAAAAACAATAAACACGCGCCCTAAACTGTTGATTCCTTTTGGGAAATGGGAATACTAATCTGTATTCAGTGTTACACATCCATCGGAGCTTTATTGATATTATGTTTTCATCATCTAAATCTCTAGGTTTATTCCGAAGATGAACAGAAAGTGTAAACATTATTACAACATGACGATTTAGAAATGATTTAAATCCTGCGTTATCAGACTAAACTTTTCTCTAGATAAGCTCACGGCCAAGCTCAGTCATCCACGTACACGTGAACGACTGGAGTCCACCGCAGAGTTGTAACAATAATAGTCTGCAAGTTCATACTCGGTTTGCCATTTTTTCCTTACTAATAATGTGAATGGAACGGACGAGATTTATGGTCAAGCCATCGTCGTACATAATTTGATAAGAATCATTGACGTGTTGATTATTGACGGTCGATTTGTATGATACAAATATTGGTTTTTGAGAAAAATTGCTACAATCTTCTATTTTATACCGACTACGGATTGCAGTTGCGTTGAGCTTTAGTCTACAACGCAGAATAATCAAATTATTTAAAAAAAATTATGACAAGATGATACATATATATATATATGTGTTCCAGGTTCTTACCAGGGCACAACAAAGCTGAGTATTTAAAATGTGTTCAAATAGTTTTAGACCTGTACCTGTTTGCCAAGGTACTTTCCAGACGGTGATACACCATGCATCATTTGATGAATTTAATATATCTTGTTTTAATGCGTTTAAAATCGAATATAGTTTATAAACATCAACACACTAATAGCTCTTTAAAATCTTATGCTCTTATTTCTTCTTACAAATATTTTTTCACCATCCAAATGTCTCTGGGCCATCTATCTTTGAAGAAATGGCGGAGATAGAGGAGCGAGGGGAGAGAGAGCAAAGAGAGAGAGAGGTGAGAGAGAGAGAGAGAGAGAGAGAGAGAGAGAGAGAGAGGGGGGGGAGAGGGGAGAGAGAGAGAGAGAGAGAGAAAGAGAGAAAGAGAGAGAGGGAGAAAGAAAGAGAGAGAGAGACAGACAGACAGACAGAGAGACAGAGAGAGAGACAGAGAGAGACAGAGAGAGAAGAGGGGAGGGGTTGGAACTACTCCCTATAGCTAGTCTGCAAGCACAAATCCTGGTCGGTCGTAAAAGTGAGTCTGCACTATAAGACTACCATAGGCCATGTACTGTAGCTGCTCCTGACACAACCAGTAGGTAGCTGGGCTAGGCTTCTCTCAAGGCACAATGATTTTTTGATAAAGTGTCAAATTAGGGTCTTTGCTTGCAGACTACCCTATAGCTATATACTAGTAGTCTTTGGAATCCCTGGTTGTGGTAACGCCCCAATAACGTCTACAAAGGTATTGAGCTGTAGACTAGGCTTATCAAGGTGTACCAGTTTGTATGACAAACAAGATGACATCATTTTACCATATATTACCTTCCGGGCTCTTATTCACTTGGCGTCATCCTCACAAAATGCAAACTAATAAGCCAGAATTGACCTCGACATCTTTCCTTTTTCTATATTAAAGTAATATCATGTCCATGATTCTATAACAGTTATAGCAAGCCTTGGTCCTTGGTTATTAGTTGATTATTCAAGCTATAAATTAGAAGGAAAATATGCTTAGTATGCTGTCTTTTTGAAAAAGACAAGTTAAATGGTAAGTATCCTCCAATAGGGAAGTTGACTAAGCATTGAATTGTAAGTCATTGGCTTAGGTCATCAATTTCTTTGATAAAAGTCGGATCAAGGGTTGTTTTTCTCTCTTTCTAAAAAGGGAATAAAAAACCCTGGGCCAAATTGACAAATAGTAACAAGGGTAGCCATTTGTACATAGTTTCCATTTTTAGGGGGCAAAGTCCTGTTTATTTTCCTGTCAAAGGGATAGAGAGAGGGGAGAAGGGAGAGGGAGACAGAGAGAGAGAAAGAGAGAGATTTAATATTCGTCGTCTACATGACGATATAGGAATTTACACAATATACAGCTTCCTACGTTTCATATTGTCATCAGCTAATATGATATTTAAATAGTAAAAGAAGCTACATGGAATAAATCTTAGTTTAAATAAATATGTCGATGTATTACACCAGGGTTTGTGTAAAAGAAGCTAATTTGTCAGACTCAAGTGATTTAAATAGGATCTCTAGAGGAATATAATTTGATAACAGTTAATTATTGATGCATTTATTGTAAAGTTTCTGCGATATGAATAGAACTATTATTACATATTTCGATTAGCTTGTGTAAACAGTTTTGAGTTTTATAATTGTATCCTGTTTACTCAAGCATTCATGCTTATGATAGTTGGCCTCTGCATTTATTTTGATTCTTTGATTTACCTCCGTACTTTTAAGTTTTCAAATATAAATTAGGCCTATATGTATTTTTTTGTGCGTTTTTAAATTGTCACATTTTATTTTTCAATAAATGCAGAACCATCTGTTAAAATAAAATCTTTGAAAAATGGAATATTCAATGGTTACTCTTATTGATTTATTTATTGTCATAAATGGTGTACAGAACAGGGTAAACTTTAACTAGCTCTTGCCTATAGACGTTGGCTAGCCAAATGTATACTTATTGTTATGCTGAATTATAATGTAACCTTTTTGGTAAACAAATTTATTATAGATAAATATTCATAAATAAGTTAATATATAAATAAATAAATTACTAAATAATTGGATAAATTAATAAACAAATGAATAAACCAATTAATAAATGCTGTAGTTGTTATGTTCTTTGTTAACTGTTAACGACAGTTCAAAGACGAATACCAACTGATTATTAAAGAACGGAAAATTCAAATCTGATTTGAATTTTGAGACTCGATTCAAACAAACACGAGAGGATTTCTGCATACGTATTATTGATTCCAAGACCTAGTCTAGGCCTGGCCCTACTCCGTGGGCTTAGAAATGGGTCAAGGTCGATGACACCACGACCTCTCTCTATTTACATCATCACACTGCGCGCATCGCGCATAGTGTATTATTTATAGGTCAGTGCGCGTACCTGTCTAGACGGTATTGTGACGTAATAAAATATAGCGTACGTAAAAAGTTTGTTGACATTAAGTTCACGTAAAGTTTGTTGA